TTAAATAAGAGCTATTAATATATAATAATTAGGTTAGACTAGCTATAAGGTAAGTAAATCTAAGGTTGGTTTATAAACTAAGTATACTAAAATATCGTTAACTTAAGCGGTCGGGTTATAGTCTATATACGAGATAGTAGATCTTACGTAAATAATTATATTAATAACCAAGGAGCTAGGTAAAGACTAACTATAGTAAAGCTAGGCTTCTTATATACTAAGTAAATATTATATAGTCGACGATAGTCGATTATTATTTACGAGCGCCTTTATAATATAGTCGATTATAGTCGCTAATCGCTTATAATCGTTTATTATACGTAGTATACGGGTGACGTATAATAGGATAAAAAAGTAAGGGGCACGTGAGAGGCGTATACAGTTATATATCGGGTCGTAATATAACGCCTATAACCCGACCTTACACGCCCGCATAAAGTATACCCTTCTGAAGTTCCACTATAATAGGGAACAAGTGCTAAAAGGGCTGCTAAAGCTAGCCTATGTTAATACTAAGGCTATGCCGGCTAATGGCCTAACAAAGGCCCTAACAGCCCCCTTACAGCAGTAATTTCTAGCGCTATTAGGCCTAGTTATTCCTGCTAGAGACCCTGCTACAGAACCCTTAGAGGGCTCTTAGGTACAGAGGGGGTGTTAAGAATAAGGGGCTAATTCTCTTAATTAAGTGCCTTACGAGGCCCTCTTATAGAACCCTTATAGGGATCTATTTAGGACCTGTTATAGGGGTCTATAATACTTATAAATCTAGTGCTTCTATAGCCTTCTATAACCTTCTAGAGGCTAGCACTACTATACTCGCTATTATAAATTAAACCTTCTATAACCTTTTACTAGGTTCGGTTTAACCCACTCTTTTACAGGGCATTATAGCGCCCTCACGCCTATAAATATAGGCCTTCACTCACTACTAGATAGTTCTAAATTAAGTTATTCATTCACTAAGTTCTTTACCTATTACTTTACCTACCCTAAAGGGTTCCCGGATTATCGCGATTTACTTACCCTGCGCCTAGAAGAGTACTACTCTTTAATAACTCTCTTCCTCGTATAGATAATATATATATCTATAATAATAGATTCTATAGTTTAGTATATATCCTTCGTAATATCTATATATAATGTATTATATATATACCTTTCTTTATAGGATAAGGTATTTTTATACTTTTATCTAATATTATAAATATAGTATTTTCTTTATTTTTTCGTACTTTTCGCGGTTTATTTAGCCTTAGTTAATATAGTCTCGATCCGTTTCTTCGGTAAGGTCGAATAATAACCTTATACCGTTAAGGTATTCCTTATATCCCTTATACCCTTATCTATAGCTTAAGGCGTATTCCTTACCCTTAGTTATCTTAATACCGAGTAATATTTTTATAGTATTCTTATATTATTAGAGTTCTTTTATTTCTTTTTATTCCTTAATCCTATATTAATTAAACGCTTTTTCCTTAATATATTTAGGGTAATCTATTAATTAATACTTACGCTATATTTTCTAGTTTTATATATATACCTCGGGGTATTATATTAACTACCTTAGTATTATATATTCTATACTAGGTTTTATATATATATACTTATAGAACTCCGCCTTATCCTTTCTATAAGGATTATTAATAATATAGGTAGTTAGTCTTTTAATTAAATAAACCTAATATTTCTTTTTATTAAGCGTATAGATTTTATAAAAGTAATATGTATATAAAATCTACGAGAGATCGTAGTATTTCTTCGTATTAAGGTATATATATAGATTATCTCCTAGTATTATCCTTCGATTTATTACTTAGTTAATTTTTCTATATAAAGTCTAAGCGGGAATAACTATCTAAAGGTTTTCTCCCTAAGGTAAGGGGTTATATCGATCTATTATTACTTTAATTTATTTTACTTAAGTTATTTATTTATATAATAAGTTAATCTTAAGTATCTTTTTCTCTTATAATAATTCTTCTACGCTATTTATAGCGTTAGTAAATTCGTTTAATAAGTCGCTATTATCTTCGGGAATTATAATAATCTTATATATAATAATAAGGGTTTTAATCTTTAGGATTTTTAAGAACTATCCCGAGTCTTCCTTATCACTTTTATAAATATAATAATAATTATTATAATATCCTAACTAATATAGGGCTTCGTGCGCTATTAGTTAGTTTATAGGTCGCTTATTAACCCTCTTTAGTATTTCTTTCGTTTTAGTTACTTAATCGGGGTATAGTACCTTAAACTAGCTTAGATATTTTATATTATAGCCGGACCTAATTATATTTAGTTACTTCGGCTTACCTTTAGGGACTAGCTTCTAGCCCTAATTTCGTTCTTTTTTTAAGGAATAATATTCGCGTACGAAATACCCCTTTTTACTATAATTATAATAAGTAAGGTTCTTTTTATCTATAATAGCGAGCTATCGTTATATAATATCTAGGTCTATAAGGCCTAGTTCGATATTAATACCTAATATATATCGTTATTAGTAATTCTACCTTAGGCGGCTAATATTAGGGTAAATCTTCTATAGTTTTCTTATATATTTATTATAATTTAATAAATTAATAAAGTATTATCTTTTTTTCTTATAGCGCTTTTAAACTATCGATTCTTAATTTTAACCGCTATCGCTATATAAGTTAAGAGAGCGTTAGGCCGGTCTTCTATATATAATTTATCCTTAATTTTATCTTTAAGGCCGCGTTAAAAAAAAGCTATCTTATCCCCCTCGCTCTTAATAATCCTTAACGCGATTTATATAAATAAGGTACTATAGTCTAAGCTTACTCCCTTTTATTTTAACGCGTTTAATTAGTTTTTTATTAATTATTTTTCGTTAATAATTCCGAAAGTTACCTTTAGTATTTCTTCGAAATTCTTATAATACGTAAAGATATCCTTTATTTCTTATCCTTAGTTTTATTAAATATTAGTAATAAAATTCCTAAGGGTAGGTTCGAACTATACTAATATTATACCTAAGAGGTATCCTATTATATAACATACTTTATCTTTTTTTATATAAAATATAAAGAAAAAGTATTATTAATAAGCCTTAAGTTATATTAAGAACCCTTAAAGGTCCTTAATTATCTTATCGAACGGTCTTAATTAGCGTAGCTTTATAATTTCTCTTAAGTCCTTATTAATAATATTTTAAATAATATTAGCGCTTATATTATTTATTTCGTTCTTAAACTAAGCGGCTTATTATTATTGTAACGTTATTCTTTTATTAAAGGATCTATATACTTTATTATATTATTATTTATCTTAAGCTTATATATTAAGGACTTATTATAATTATCCTTATAGCTCGCGGACTTATCTTTTAAGGATTTTCGTATCTTTATCGTTAGAGTCGTCCGAGTCTAGGTCTATAGTTTAAGCTATCTAACTAGGCTTAGTATACTTAATTATAGCCTTACCTTTATTAATAAACTTAGAGGTTAACTTAAAGGAGTCGCTAGTTATAGTATCGTATTACTTAAGTACTTAATATAGTAATATATTAAATAAAAGCTATTAATATATAACGTTCGGGTTAGACTAGCTATAGGGTAGGTAGATCTAAAGTCGGTTTATAAATTAAGTATACTAAGATATTATTAATTTAAGCGGTCGGGTTATAATCTATATACGAGATAGTAGATCTTATATAAATAATTATATTAATAACTAAGGAGCTAGGTAAAGACTAACTATAATAAAGCGTAGCTTCCTATATACTAGTTATAGAAGTAAGGGCTTACGGGAGCGTAGTGAGCTAGTGAGCTATACGTAGAGCGTAGGCTCACGGTAAGGTCGTAAGCTAACTTATATATAGGCTTATAGTGAAGTCGTGAGCTATTATACGTGGTTAGGCGCTTGGTTATAATTAGAAGAAAAAGTGGGGTATACGTGAGAGGCGTATGCGGTCGTATGTCGGGTCGTAATAGATATAGGCGGGTAGTTCTTATTTAGACGCTATATCTTTACTTTAGGAGTTAGGGGCATAGGATATATATAACGGTAGCTACCCGCACGCCCGTTATTTCTATTATTTAATAAAAGCGGCTAGCGCGAACGCTATAGGATATGGAGGAACTAAGCTTACTATAGCCGGCCTATTCCTAACGCGTGGAAGATAAGAAACCCCGTCCGCTCTCCTATAGTTAAGCCGCTGAGGGGCTAATTAGTAGCTAGGTCGGTGACGACTAGCGAATACCGGCTGTTATATGTCTTTTTTTTGCTGTTGAGTCGTAAGGGAAGAAGAGCATGTTCATCCCCCAAGTGGAAAATACGGAATTTCTTCACTTCCGCGCAATGCCTTCTATCGCCTAAGGTTAATTCTTCCGAGTTCGGAATCCACGACCTCTAAGAATTAACGTTACTATTAGTACAAGTACTTTAAGTAATCTATTCGTCGCTCGCGGCCGTCGCGAGCCTCCCTTAGACTAAACGTTCTTGCGTTTAAGCCCTGCCTAGCATTAACACGACCATGAGCACCAAGGACCTATCTATATTACTCTTTAGTTTTAGAAGTAATACGATTACTCACTATAGTTATTTATATATATCTTAAGATTAATTGGTATAATCTAGATATTGCTTATATTATAAATAAGTATAAGCTCCTTCGCTTACGAGTATTAGAGTAATCGCCGACCGCTTTCTCCTCGATACTTAAAATCGAGGTAGTACTATCAGACGATATTTAGATTAGCTATATTATAGATCCCGCGAAGGAGATATTTATCTACGCGGCGATATATAATAATAGATCTACGGAATAGGCCGGGTAGGTAACTTTATAAGGGCCTCTTACGATAGATAAGTTCCGTCTAGCTCCTACGTTAGGGCAAGTCGAGCCCTTAATAGATAGGTAGTAAGAGAAATAGTAAATACTTAGCCTCTATACCCTACTAGAATATTATAGTAAAGGGCTAGGTAGAAAGCTTTATTAGTCTATATTCGACTACTTAGTTACATAGCTTAGAATATTACCGGAAGTACTAGTCCGTATTATAATTAAGCCGGAGAATACTATAACCCTTGGGTTATATAAGTTAATAGGATTTATAGATTCCGCGGTATATACTTTAGAGGAGGCCCTAAGGGTAAATAATAATATAGACTTTATTCCGTCTAGGCCGCTTAGAGAAAGATTCATGACTAGGTTAGGCCTCGTCTTAGCACTCAAGATGAACAGGAATGACGCAAGGAGTTGACCGTTAAAGCGGTGCCAGACTTCTTCGACGGGTGAAGTTGGGCATCATCAGGAGGAGACTGGACTTGCGTGTTGAGGTGCTCGGTGCCCTTGGCCCCTTTCCCCCGCTCTCGGACGCTGAACTCATAATGAGTCATGCATCCATCTATCAACAAGATCATGGACCACGCCAGCAACATGCCCTGCTCATGACTTGCACGCCTGCTTCCAATTTGCGTCCCCCAAGCCTCAACTCCAAGTCCAAGATGCCTCCCGTCCGCGAGCTGGACCTCCTGCACAAGGTCGCCGTCATCAGCGGCGCCTCGCGCGGCATCGGGCGCGCCATTGCCTATCACCTCGCCTCGCGCGGCTGCTCCATCCTCGGGACCTGCTCTGGCCATGCAGGCGTCGACGCGCTCTCGACCGGCCTGAGCGAGGAGGTCTCGAGGCGTGTCTTTGCAGCGACCGCGCGGGAGCGCCCAGAGAGCCTCCAGATCAAGGGCCTCGTGGCAGACATTTTCTCCGACGACTGCGCCAGCGTTATTGCCGACGAGCTCAGCAACGCGTTCAACGGCCGGGTGGACATTTTCGTCAACTCGGCCTGCGACCCGATGCCAGGCGTCATCGGCGCCATGGGCCCGGACGAGGTGCGGCACAGCCTCCTGGGCAACATCCAGACGCCCGTCATGATCGTGGAGGAGCTTGTCCGCCGACGCCTCTTCCAGCCGGACAGCCGCATCATCTACGTCTCGTCCATCCGGTCCCGCCAGCCCTGGAGCGACCAGCTCATGTACGCGGCCGGCAAGTCGGCCGGCGAGTCGCTATGCCGCACGTGGGCACAGGCCTTTGGCGGCAAGGATGACAGGTACGCCTTTATGGCCGGCACCACGGCCAACGCCGTCACGGCTGGGCTCACTGAGACCGAGGCCGTCGTCAACTGCGGGCCCGAGGCCGTCCAGCGCTTCCAGGACGAGTTCTTCCCGTCACAGAGCATCCCGCGCTTCGGACAGCCCGAGGACGTGGCCGATGTCGTCGGCCTGCTGTGTGGCCACGACGCAAGGTGGATCACGGGCTGCGTCGTCAGCGCCAGTGGCGGTGGGATCAAGATTGGGTGATGCCGTCGGGTCCTGCAGTAGATGGCGCCTGCATTCTCTCAAGTTAACAAAGAGCAGCGATGAGAGCCACCCCCCCTGACTCTCGCACATCTTCTGCGCCTCGTCTTCAAGAGTCTATCCTCCTCCTGGTGCTGTGGCTGTCTCCAGTCTGTAGGCACTGTAATTCAGAACGGATTCTACGTTCCCGAGCTCAAGTTAGGTTAGGTGGCGGACATTCACGTTGAACCCTGCCTCTGCTTCGCCTCCTCTCCCCCTTCTGACGGTACCAACTCGACATCACCAACAGGCCAGCCCCAATAGCGAGCACACTGCCCCCAAAGACCTGCGCATATAGATATCCCCCGCCAAGCGCCTCCATGGCCTGCACAAGAGCCCCTCCCAGCGGCGGGCCCGTCAGCTTCGCGATCGAGACCACCGCGAACGCCATGCCCGTCCTGGCGCCCATCTTGCCCACGTCCTTGGTCAGACTCGCGCAGCTCGCGGGGAATAAGGCCTGGACCGCGGCTGCGAAGGATCCGTACAGGCAGCTGAACACGAATAAGCCAGGCAGGTCGCGCACGGCGATCCAGCTGTAGAACATGACGCTCGTGCAGAGGACCGCGAGGATCAGTGTGTGTAGAAGCCCGAGGAACTTGTCTGCGATGAAGCCGAAGATCACTCTGCTCAGCGCGCCGATGGCGTTCATGGCGAGGAGCAGTGTGAGAGATGTTGATGTGTCCACGGCGATGTAGTCCTTGCCGTACTTGCTGACCTGTGTAAACAAATAATTAGCACCAAGTGGTCAGCTTGAAGATTTCATGTTCGGAGAGAGAGAAACGTAACCCACATAGTAAAACGCAAAGTACAGAGCAAGCCACACAGCAAACATGCCCGCGCAGAAAAGCGTGTACGGCGGCTCGCGGAAGGCGGACCACTCAAAGAACCCGGCAAACGTCACGTTGCTGTTATTCTTCTTCCTCTCCAGGGGTGTGAACCGTGGCTTCACCAGCGCCAGCATGACCGCCGCGTTGAACAGCACAATAAACCCCATGACCCTGACCGTCCAGCCGTACCCGATCCGTGGCATGAGCTGCTGCGCAATCAGCGGGAATACGACGCCTCCCGTCGAGGTCCCGCTTGCCGCGATCGCCATGGCCACAGCCCGCCGCTTAGAGAAATACGTGGGCACGTTGGCGACCGTAGGACAAAAGACCAGCCCGTCCCCCAGCCCCTTGCACAGCCCCTGTGTCAACAACAACTGCCAATACGTGCTCGACACTGACGCCGTCATGATGGCCAGGATCTGCAAGGTGCTGCCCGCGACGACAGCCGGCCGGAGGTAGCCCATGTCCAGCGCGCGGCCAGACACGCTGCCGATGGCAAAGGCGAGGAAGATCTGAAGCGAGCCGATCCAGCTTATCGACGATGAAGCGGTGCCAGAAAGGAGGGTGTCGGTGTAGTACGACTGGAAGAGGCCGAACGAGGTCATGTACCCCCAGCCATTGAAGGAGCCGAGGTGGGCGACGGCGACCTGGGCCCAGGCGCGGAAGCCGCCGTCCGGGTGAGGCAGCGGAAGTGTACATGTAGGGAGGTCTACTTGCTGCTGAGCAGGGGCTGTGGCCGGACTTTTGCTATTGTCGTCGTTTGCGGCGTCTTGGTTGGCGAGCTTCATCTTCGAGGCTGCGGTTATGTCGCTGTCCGACCTCGTCAGTTAGGACTGGTTGTGGTGCTGCTCCGTAATCGGTATTGAAACAAGACAGTGATGAGTTATTGATTGAAGAAGAAGAAGAAGAAGAAAAGAGTCTTCTGCCTTACAAAACAGTCTTATACGTATGTCCTTAAGATCCGTGAGGCTCTGATGTGTCATAAGTAGAGAAGTTGCAGGGATCTGAACCAACAGGCACGCTTATAAATCCAAAGCGACATCAGATAAGGTGCGCAGACCACAACGGCAGATGTACTGTCGATCATAAGCGCTACGGGGCAATCATCCAGAATTTAGAGGCGTTTAAAGAACTGAGTATTTCTCAACAGACAGTGATAGTGTGGAACCACAATGTACGCATCGGAGCTTGTTGCGGGCCTGAAGAGTGTATTGATGGTTGCTCCGTACTCGGCAGCACGTGTTTACCTTAGCGGTAGGGGCCTGTCTTTGAAAATATGACCTGCCGCCAATTGTCCTTCGATAAACCGCTAATGTATATCGAGATCTACTTCAAAGAAATTGTGATTTAGTAAAAGATAATTATTTACGTGATATTTTCCCCAAGCTCTTTCTGGCTTTATTTATATTTTTAAAAACAGCCCCCTCCCCCGCAGTAGTTTAACTTAAAGTTAGTGCAGTGGGCCTGCAAAAGTCGGGACAATCGACTCCACAGCCCACCTACCCTGCGACATGTAATGAATAGGTATTGTTTTACGCACGTAATTTACAGCACTTCTAGATGGGTTATTATATATTTCTTGACATTCTATAGTTTTGTCACAGCACGAGATGTCCGGGAGTTACCCATCGGGGAACATCTTTCGTCGCCATCCGCAACTTGAACCGTGTCGATTCTATTCACTCGACTCCCGGGTGAGCCTTTCGATGAGGCTTACGATGATCCCATGCCGGAGCAAATTGAAGAGAAGTCGTGGTAGAAGAGTGGAAGGTCATGCTGAACCGCATGCGCCAGTGGAAAAACCCCTGTGGTTGACGCATTTGCACTGTCTCAGGTGGCTCGATTCGCAGCATCAGGGTACCTGGACATTGAATTGATCCATGTGAGACGGAAGTTGAGCTACTAGAGTATCAGCATGCTCCCGCATCACGAACCTCCTTTGACTCGTTCGAGGACAACATGAAGCGCTACAGACAGCAAACACTTTTTGTGATGTCGAACACAGGATCGTTTTTACTCACGATGATCTCGCCTCGCACAATATCCTTATACATGATGGCCACGTTACTGGCTTCATCGACTGGAAATCTGCTGGATAGTACCCTGAGTTCTGGTTATTTACGACACCATTGAGATGGCCGGGTCGCGATCGCCAAGGTGGCGCCATGTTCCGTAGGCTCGGTGGTGAGCGATATGAGATGGAGTTGAAGGCCAAGTTGTCACTAAGAGATCTGACGGTGGATTCGTGTATCTCGGCGTAATTTTAAGCGAAGAAGTAACCCGTGCAACCCACTATGGCCAACCACTTTGCCCTCTTCACTTCCTCTATGTATCTCGGTGCGACGCCCGTTAGTTCATCGTGTCGATGGATGTCTTTTAAAGAAGACATCTCGCTTCTTCTGGACAAGTGGCACTTCGTCAACGTAGTGCGTGCCCCCTGGCACGAAAACCAGGTCAAACTCCTTGTCGGCTTTGATGAGGGCGTCCGCCAAGCGCAGCGTTGACGCTGGATCAACGTTGGTATCAAGTTCGCCCGCCACCAGCATCAACAGACCGCCCAATTTCTCCGCATGCGTGACTTTGGAAGACGCCTCGTAGCTGACATCGACGGGGTAGCCCATCCGCACCTCGCTCCATTGCAGGGTGTCCAAGCGATTATCGTGACACCCGGACAAGGCCACGGCCACTTTGTAGAAATCTCTGTGGTGGATCACGGCTGCCGCAGCATTCTGGCCTCCGACTGAGCTACCGTAGCAGCCTATGCGGGAGAGGTCCATCCGGGGTCTCGATGCAGCAGCAGCACGGATCCAGGCAATGCGGTCAGCAAAACCGGCATCCTTCAGGTTCTTGTACCACACGTCGTGGAATGCTTTGGAACGCCAGTTCGTGCCCATACCGTTGGCACAAACCACAAAGAATCCTTCTGGGCGGTGCTTGACCGACAACTTACATTGATGGCTCTCCTGGAGGACCAAAAGGGAAGCGCAAGCGCCATGTTGCCTCCACTTTCTTTGCTTCTTCATCCGAGTCTTCGGATGAATCCATCATCGAATGCTTGCGTTTGATGCGGTCCTCTCTAGGCGTCCTTTGCCAGACCTTTTGGAGCTCTTGGTCTAGGATACGCACTACCTTATCCTATAGTATAGTGCGGCTTTTGGCGTCGCTCACCCGACGCTCGTGGATGGTGCGAGAGCCGACAGTATTGTAGCCAGAGAGCCGCAAGTATTGTAGCCGCAGAGCCAAGAGTATTAAAGCCGTACGGCCACTCATTGAGTAGTATGATCCTTTGACGGGTCATATCGTAGTGCGCCGTTCTTGCTTCGTCGGCTGCGGAGAGAACCGTGGGCAATTGATCAAAGTCCAATGTAGACGCGGTCTCCTTTAGCGTATTCCACATCGTATCATCGAAATCAGGGAATCGGCTCTCAGGGTTCAGTTCAGCCGGTGATAAATTGCACGGCAATGTCGGCGCAAGAGTTGACCCTGTCGCCGATGTTAAGTATCTCGAACAGTCAAAGACGAGGAAGAACTCCCTCGTCGCGCCGTTGGACTTGTCGGACTTGTTGTCAACTCGGTCTTCTTGCCTTTGAGAATATTCCTGGGGGCTAAGCAAGTCCTCCAAAGGTTGGACTTTGCATAGAGGCAATTGATGAGGTGTGATGATGATTGATGATGAACTCGAGAGAAGGACAGGAGGGGTGCACTCCTCTCGCTCATCTAAGTAACAACAACAATGCCATATAGATGCCCTTTCCCGATGGCTCTTGGTTGGGGTCAACGGGGGCCCTGGAACCTTCCCTGGCCCGGTTGGAGCGGGCAGAACTCGGGAGTCAGGAGGCCACCTTCGATCCAGCTACTTTCAATGTCAGCAAGACCAGCTCAATAATCGCAAAGTATCCCGGCGCGTGTAAGCGAGTAAAAGGCTGAGTTACAAGAAAGAATTGAATTCACTCAGTAAAACTTAAAGGTTGACGCAAACTTTCGCCCGCGAGCCACTAGCAGAGGAAACTCTGAGCGACCCAGGCTTTAACGACATATCGGTGCGTTGATCGCAACGGACATTCACATACATTGAACATCTTGACCAAAATTTGAGCCAGCAGGTCGAAGGGACTGGTAGCTTCATAGGTCGGAATCAGTCGGACAAAGCCCAAGCATTTCACGTGTGTAGACCATGGGCAATATCTACGTGTGTCATTCAGTATATAACCATGACAGTACGCCCCGGGTTCAAGGCATCATCGTTATAGCAATGGGTCATACAGCACCTCAATACTGTTTCCGAGAGGGTCTAGCACAATGGCTGCATAGAATGCCATTGAGTACTGACGCCGTCCAGGTTTTTCGTTTCTAGTGCCACCTGCGTTCTAGAATCCCATGACAGTCAGCAAACGCGATTTTCAACTGCTCATCGGGATGACAGCTCTAGATAGTAACACAACCCGCTGATACCACTTGTTCACCTGCTCCATGCTTGTTGAGCTGAATGCGAGTTGTATTAGGGCAGCGCGGTTCTCCTGAGTTTGCCGTCGTATCGGGGCAGCGACTTGTCACTCGCGCCGCGGTCGAGCCAAAAATGAGGCCCGGGGGACGGAGTACTCAGCCCATTTGTATCCTGTTCTTTTCCTCTGCCGATCATGCTTCGGGAGCCGATGCGCTTTATGCCGTGATGCGGGGCTTTCTTACTCACAAGTACCAAGTGAATGATAGTCCAGTGCTGCTGGTCATGACTTTACGTTGTTGCTGTTGCTGGTGGGATGGTGACGCTGGTCCCCAGAATGGCGAAATCTTCCCGACCAGACTTTCATAAGGATGATAGTCTGGCCCGTGACAAGTCCACTCGCTCTTGGAAAGACTTTTATCCTGTTCCTTCATCAGTAAAATCGAGTCCGGATTTTCGTCTGTGAAGTCCATGTCGTCCGTCGAATCCAGCTCGTCCTGTGTAAAGTCCACCTCGTCGTCTGTAAAGTCCATATCATCTTCTGTCCAATCCATATCATCTCCTATCGAGTCCAGATCATCTTCTGTCAAGTCCGAATCATCATCTATGTCCACGTCGGGTTCTTTGGGCTCTACTGACGGTAGCGGCGGTCCGCGCCGCTCATTTGCACGCAATAACGCCCACGCTCGCTGCCGATAGAGTCTCATCTCCTCGCAGACTTCCCAGCCGACGCCTTTGCCGTTCGCGTGTGTTGTATTTCCTTTGTGAGGTAGGTGTTCCGGAAATTCGGCGAATAGGTGCTTAATAGTCTTCTTGAAGTCGCCGTACCTCATGGCTAGCATGCTGTGGACAGCATTGAACCCTGCGGAGGATAGAAATGCTAGCAGTATGCCATACCAATCTCCGTAGTCAGATGAGCGACCTCCCCGACGCATCCACGAAATATGCTGACTGCTCAAAATTTCAAAGATAGATTCCATCCTTCTGTCGTCCGTATCTTGCATGACGCTGACAGCATTGGGGTCAATATACCTGCAGGGATTCTCATTAGTCGCTCCGATGAACTTCCCAGACGGGAGTCCGTGGTCTAGCATTGCCTCGTAGACAGTGATGATGTACTCCCGAACACACTTTAGCGAAGACACGTCAACCAAAGTGTAGTCTCGTGGTCGGTATCTCGAAAGAAGCTTCCAGTTCCAAGACCGTAAGTAACTGGGACGTTCCGACGAATCGTCTAGAGCGACAGCTCCAGGGTATGGCGAGTTAGGCTCCTCCGAAGTAGGCCCATAAACCTTGCAAAGAATCTCGTATTGCATGAAGGCTTTGTAGACCTTGAGGCGCGTCTTATAGCTCAAGTCATCCGCGTTAAATGCGCTGATATATCCCTGCGTCTGCGTCGCGTCGACGAAAGAAACATTTATATAGTATGAGTGAGACCAGGCGGGAAGACGATGGAATGCCCATGGGAGATGTGGACTCGTGGCCTTGGAGAGGTAGTCGTTAATATAAGCCCGGAGTCGCCGGCAAAAGCCATGAAGCTCCCTTACTTTCGCGAGATCTGGATGCTTTATGCGGCAGGGATTAATCAGCTCGTGGGCTCCCCATGCCATCAGGTGCGCTTGGATCAAGGCAGCTCGGCTGTGATTACCTTGCCTCGGGAACTGTATGATTGCCAAGGCATCTTGAATCGTATCGCCAGGTAGGTATCTCTTGATGAAAGCGTCGTGTAGACATACGCAGCTCGCAGTCTGGCGAAACAATGCCGGTGATGCCCGTATGGCCTTGAAAGCTTCGTCAAAGTCTTTGAGATGTGTGAAGATCCGGAGAATGTGTTCTTGAGAAAGCTTGGCGAATGGGTCCATCTTGAAGCGCTTGCGAAGGATTTTGGGTCGTGAGGTCGGACAATGTATTCTGAACTGCTGAAGTAGAAAAATGCACACCTCAATCATGCGGTGCGTGCTTTATACAGGAACTCACGTGCCTGAGCTTTAGCTTCAACCGAACTTTTTTTATGCTTCACTGCCTTCGGTCTTTAAACATGCACGCGAAAAGCAAGAGGCCACATTTACCTCGCGCGAGACTTCATGATCAGATGACGCTGCCCGCGGGGGCGCGCCATGGTCAGTCAAACCTTCAGTCCGGTGAAGGCTATTAGTTCAATGTTAGTTGCCGCGAAGTGTTCGTGATCACAGCAGGCGCATTAGTGCTTGCCTCTGTGGTGTACGGACGGGTCAACCCGATGTTCACAGCCATAGCATTGACCTATTGCTTATAAAGACTGGTGATGGGTTCAATTACCACATACGACCATACCCAGTGGAAAATACGGGATCCCGTCCGCTCTCCCATAGTCAAGCCGCTGAGGGGCTGACCAGTAGTTGGGTCGGTGACGACCAGCGAATACCGGCTGTTGTATGTTTTTGGTGTTCTTTTTGCTCAATCTGTTCTCCGCTCTTTGCCTCTGCAGACGGCTCTTGGTTGATAGACGTGGATGGGCGACACATGTCTCGACGTGCGAATTGGGCGTGCATGCCGAACGTAAACTGTCACGATCGGGGACTGATGCCCCTCTCGGTTCCTGGTGAGATCTTGTGAACCGCCAGGTCAACATTCAACTGAAGCGATGGGTTGTGATGAGACTCGACCAAGCCATCGTCGACTGTTCGTGCTGTTGGAGGAGGAAGCTTGCTATCTGACGTTAAGTTGAAAGATGGCGCGGAATCTTGCTCAGAGGGGCAATGACATAATTATAGCAGGACTTTTCTGTCCCCCTTCTGTGTGACAGCAGTCCACACGTCTTTTTGCCAACAAAGCGGCTTGAATGACTAAGCGTGCCTTGTCCCCTCGGTGAGGCAGCTGTTGACCGAGCGCGACCAACGACCAAATGTGCCCTGACAAAGACCAACTGTTCTTCTCTCCTTCTTCTCCGTTCGCGATGTAGCTCAGCATGGCCTCTTCGCCCCCCTACACGTACATACAATGCCCATGTTCCAACGAAGAGCCAGCCGAGGGCAGCGACGCGTCCTCCCCCGAAAGCGACTCGTTCCACGACGCGGAGCGCACTTTTGATCCACGAGCCCCGCGGTCCAACTACAGCCTTTATCCGTTGGAATACCTGCTGTACTGCGAGGAGTGCCAGCAGATCCGCTGCCCGAGATGTGTCGATGAGGAGATTGTGACCTACTACTGCCCCAATTGCTTGTTCGAAGTGGCGAGCAGCAACTTGAGGAGCGACGGCAACCGGTACGTGCCAGGTGCCGCGGCTGGTTACATCTTCGCTCAGCTAGCTAACTACTCCCAGTTGCACCCGGAATTGCTACCAGTGCCCCATCTGCTCTGGACCTGTCCAAGTCGGCGAAGTCCAGGCCGAACCCGAAACGAACCTCCTCTCCGCCGACAATGCCACCGCCGCACCGCACGGGCCTTATGCCCTCTTCTGCCAGTACTGCAGTTGGGTTTCGAGTGAGATTGGCCTCGAGTTTGAACGCGCGAGCGGCATACCCAGCCAGCTTGCGAAAATGAAGAATGGCGGCATCCCCAGAATCACAGCCAAGGAGCTCAAGGAGAGGCGCAAGGAGGACCCTGACATGCCGCCGCTTGAAGACGAGCTGGTCGATGCGGAGCTACAGTACAGCGCCTTGAGGAGCTTCTACCAGTCTCAGATCAACGGGCCGAGCAATGGCCTGCCTGGCGGGTTGAGCCTTGGCGATGGCCACAACTTCTCTTCGCCCGCGGCGTTGACGCGCATGATGAGCATGTGGCAGCCCGGCGGCCGCGGGGCCCAGGGCAAGACAGCCGGGCCGCCTGACGTGTTCCCCGAAGCCACCGACACGGACAAAGGCCTCAAGCTCGCACAGCTCGACGAATCCGCCAAGGTGCAGAAGCTGCTGAATGGTGGGTGGAACGAGACGGTGTCCAAGGACCAGCTCCTCGGGCAACTGGAACACGCCCATTTCCAAGATGAGCTGCGCCCGCTGCAGTGCGTTTTACGGACAAAGAGGTCCAGGCGATGTGCTGTCTGCCGACACATCATCTCGAAACCGGAGAACAAGGTGGCATCAACCCGCTTCAAGATCAAGCTTGTGGCCAAGTCCTACATACCAAGCATATCGATCCGTCCTCTGGAGCCACGGGCGCCCCCTGTGCCTGTAGGCATGCGTCCACAACAACCGCAAGAGCCGCCTCTGAAGCCACTACAGCCGTATCAGTACATCTTGACCTTCAAAAATCCGCTCTTCGAGAAGCTCAAAGTAACACTGGCTACGCCGAATAATACCCCCGGGCGCTTCTCAAGCAAAGTCGCGTTGCTGTGCCCACAATTCGACATTGACCCTGTCAAGGACATGTGGGAAGACGCACTGGACGGCGATGACCGTTCAAGGACCGAGGAGACGGGGCAGGCTGAGGCCGGCAAGATCTACAAGAGGGGCCGGAACTGGGTGTCCATCATCCTGGAGGTCATCCCTCCACTGCTCAGTGTGGACAGTCTGCGGCCGCACACGGCATCAGGGGAGCCGACCGACAGATCGCCTCTCCGGGAAGACGAGAAGATTCTGGAGATCCCCATGTTTGTACGCATGGAGTGGGAGCCAGAGGCACAACACGATGTTGGAGATCGTGTTGGCAAGGACAGGAACGAGGGGCAGAAGCGGGAGTTGGCATATTGGTGCGTGCTTGGCGTAGGACAGATCAGTCACGAGTGATATTTCCGTTACGATATGCAGCAGCGACAAATGATACCCAGATTCAAGATGCAATGGAGACCCAATGGAGTGATTCGTGCCAGATCATATGGCAGCTTGTGTCATTACAAAGCTACCTTTGTCTCTCCCTCTCTCAAAAGACGCCATGCCCTTTTTGATAAACCGGTTTGATGCTAGAAAAATCACTCCCTGAACCCCATTGGATATAATCCCCCATAGTTACCGACGAGACATTTAAAAGTCGGTGGCCTGGCTCTGAGGGAACTCAAAGTTGACGGCACGGCCTGTGAGGCGGCGGTAGACCTCGGAGTAGGTGTCGAGGCGGTAGTCAACGCCACCACGCTCCTTCTCGTCGAGGATGACCTTGAGGAGCTTGCTGCCGTCCTCCTTGGTGCGGACGCGCTTGCCAACAATCTCGACGGGGTAGGTGAGATCGGCGAGGATGGCGTCGTGGACGGCAGTCAGGGTGCGCGAACGGGGGCGCTTCTGCTTCTGGGTGTTGCGGCTGCGGGCGGAGCGCTTGGGGCGAGGCAAGATGCGGCGCGAGGCGAGGATGAGGACGTGGCGGTCGGAGAACTTCTTCTCGAGCTCACGGGTCAAGCTGTCCAGGTGTTAGATGGCCGTGGGCTTGCAGGAATTATGTTTGTTGCTTACCGCTGCTGGACGCGGTGGAAACCGGCCAGGGAGGGGACGGGGACAAAGATGACAACAGCCTTCTTGCCGTGGCCGACCTCGATCTATTGTAGACCACAAGTCAGCATGCGAGCTCCAGGACTAAGCCTTGGACCGCTTCCCGTCCTGTTCCTCAGAAGTCAATGTGTACGCTGGCAGTGGCGTGCGACCGCACGAAACCCCCCGGGTGCTGGTTTTCCTTTTTCAACGCGCGGGTCGAAGAGAGGCGCACAGGGAAGGGGGGGTCCGTCGAGTCGCTCGCAAAAGCCATTGTTTGTCCTCTTTGGAAACAGGATCTCGAGAGAGTGGTGCGTGGGGGAGAAGAGTTCGGCTTCAATGTTGGGTTTCTTTCATACCTCACGGGCGGAGACGAACTGCAGAGGGCGCAGGGCGACCTTGAGGTCGGCGGTGTTGGTCTCGAGGTCGAACAGAGCCTGAGCAATGCTCTGCTCGAGCTCAGAGGGGTTCTGCCTCGAGGGGCTGTTGGGCGCGATCTTGTTGAGGGCCTGGCCGGACATCTTGACTGATTTCGATGGGTGGTTGTCGGTTAGTAGAGATTCGCGATACCAGCGTCCGTAAGTTTTGGCGGGCAATTGCGAGTTTCGATTTGGCGCCTGGGGTTTTCGTGCCCTGAGAGTGGGCCTGTGCGAGCGGCGGGCCTAGGTCACGTGGGGTGAAAGATTCCAGCCTGACGCTGAGTCATCTGAGGACGAGATACGAAAGGTACGTACCTTCCCTGGACTAAAGCCACGGCCCACGACATTCCGTCCAGTCTCAGTCTCAGCTCATGAGTTAGTGGACCAGGTGAAGAGAAGCCGTCTCATACTAAGGTACGACGCTCGCCAGTGCCATTTAGGGAACGCAATAACTGCGCTCGTTACCCCGATCGTATCTACGTAGTAAGTATCTAATCGATGAGCATTCGTGGAAAGGTGTCTCGTGGTACCCAGTTTTGATGAGCTGGGCATCTTCAAAGTGCATCACACCAACGTCCAAGTCACAAACGCCCGCCTACAGATGGCGACGACGCTGGCATGACCGATGATATGTCAATGAGCTCCTAATCAAGTGAGCTATCCTCCGACGTAACTTCAAGACAGCGTCTATTCTTTCAACGCATCGGGAAATTACACACAGGCTTTGCTGCACCTGAGACTCAATCCAATGAGAACATGATAAGCGAGTTTGCAACGCGACGTGGATAGCCAAGGGCAGAATACAGTCAACGAGACAAAATGAAAGGTTTCAAACGAAAGAATTCATATATCTCCTGGTTGGCCATCAAAGACACCAATTATTATTGACAACATCCTCGATTCAGCGAAAGTGATCGGGTCAAAGACTAACTACAGGGTAGGTAGACGCCCTTGACACAGCTCGTCGGCCCCGTGAGCTGCCTGCAGAGTGCATCACCAGGTGGGGGCGATACGTCGTGCACCAGGCCCACCTCCGCGGTGATCGAGACATTCCTCTCCAGCTCTGCAGGTCAATCTCAGATCATTGCCCAGACATACATACATCACCATGCAATCCGGCATCTCAGGTACACATCGCCAGCCCCATGGGGCAACACCAAGCTGACTGACGCAGCGTCCGAGGAGCTGCAAGCTCAATTCAGCTCCTTGCTGGAGAGCCCCTCGACGTTCGGCCTCCTCGTCACCATTGACAAGGAACAGCTCGTCCCCGTCGAAACGCTTCCGGCCAAGGGCTCATCGTTCAACGAGAACCTCTCCGTGCTGCAACCACACATCAAGCCCGATGCAGCGCTGTACGCGATCCTGCGCCGCCACGACGATGCCCCCCACCTGATCGCCGTGACGTACGTCCCCGACGCGGCGCCTGTGCGCCAGAAGATGCTGTTCGCCTCGACGCGCCTTACGCTGGTCAGGGAGCTCGGCACGGAGCATTTCCGCGAGAGCATCTTCACGACTGAGGCGAGGGAGCTGACCGAGAGCGGGTTCAAGAGCCACGAGGACCACACCAAGCTTGCGGCGCCGTTGACGGAGGAGGAGCGGACCTTGAGTGAGGTCAAGAGAGCGGAGCAGGAGGCCGGCTCTGGCACCGGGCAGAGAGAGATTCATCTGAGCAAGAACCTCAACATGCCGGTGAAGGAGGACGCGCTCGCTGCGATGCAGGAGGTTGGCCAGGAGGGGGGCCGCGTGGTGGTGATGCTGGTAAGCTAGCGAGCCCTGTTTACCTCTTCACCAAGGACGGGCGACTGACAATGGCAGAAAATTAACACAGACACCGAGGTCGTCGAACTCGTGCCCGAATCACCGACACCGACTACCATCCCTGAGCTCGTCCAGGTCATCTCGACGACCGAGCCGCGTTTCACTTTCTTCCGCTTCCAGCACACGCACAACGGGACCGAGCAGAGCCCAGTACTCTTCTTCTACACGTGCCCTGCCAGCGCGGGCAAGTCGATCAAGAGCCGCATGCTCTACCCGCTCATGAAGCGCGCCGTTGTCACGGTCGCGGAGCAAGAGGCTGGTCTGAAGCTGGAGAAGCGCTTCGAGTTTGAGGACACGAACGAGATCACGGAGCAGGGCGTCATGGAAGACCTGCATCCGAAAGCGGCGTCGCGACAGGGGTTCAGCCGGCCGAAGCGTCCCGGCCGGTGAGCTTTCTTTGATTTGGGATTTCGACACAAGGACGTGGGGTGTGAAGCAACGAGCGTGATGGATGCAAGAACATGACGAATAAATTCATCTAGAAGATACAGAAGAAGTGCTGGTATCACAGCATTGCATGCACAATATGCCGTCGCCCGCTTTCCCTTTTCGCTGTCGACCCCCTGCTTTCTTCTGCAAGGACATGCCTTCACACCGTCGCCTCGGCGTCTTCCTTCACTTGGACTACACGCGCAGATACATGTTAGAAACGGAGTCCTACACCACTCCTACGCAGCAGGCTCCAGCACTGGCTCTACGAGCAGCCTGTTCCACTTCTACTCCTCGTACTTGCCTCCGGTAAAAGCGAGGTTGCTCCTCTCCAGCTTGTCCTTGAGATATTCATAGACGGTGAACGTCACAGCCTGACCCGGGGCGACACGCATGATGCGCGGTGTGATGCCCTTGTAGAAGGCGTGGAATCCTTCTTGTCTGGGGGCATTGTCGTTAGTGACGTCTCCGATGTCCTAGCGCGCAAAACTTACTTGAACATGTCGGCGGCGATTCTTGTTATCCTCGTCCACGCGCTCGTCCCAAACTCAGCCGGTGCCTTTTGCAGCCTGGTCTTGATGGTATCAATGGGCGCATTGCTCAGCGGGCCCATGGCACCGCTCACTAGACCGATCATGGTGGTCTGCCAGCTGGGCAGGTTCTTGCCCTCGTATTGCGGCTGCCACACCTTGAGCCACTCCTTGAAGTACGAGTAGGCGGTGAAGTTGACGGCCTGGTTGGACCCCTGGCGCAGGGCCGTCAGGCTGACACCGCGGTACAGCGCACCGAACCCCTCCTCGCGCACGACGGTGTACAGCGCGTGCGCGGCGTTGCGATACTTGGGGACGTCCAATGGGTCGGCCATGGAGTGGTGCTGCGCCTGTAGCCGGATCTTGATGACCTCCATGGGCGTGACCACGGCGACGGCCTCTGTGACACCGGCGGCCAGGCCCGCGAGAAAGGTCGCCCGACCGGACACGATGCCCGTCTTCTTGTCCGCGAGGGACTGTTTGTACGCCTCAAAGGAGGTGAAGCGGATGGCCATCTTGGGCACGATGCCCGTGAGGACGGCGCCGAGACCCTTGTATAGACCGAGGGGCGTCTCCTTCTTGATGATCTCGGAGCCGGTCTTGAGGAAGCCTCGTTTCGGGGCGCCGGGTTGACGTGCGCGGCGAGAGAGCTGCATGCGTACTTTGATCGTGTCGAGGGGGTGGCAGGCCAGGGCCTCCATCATACCGGCGCCGCCTCCGGCTGTTTACGTGTGAGACAAAGTAGCATAGGGGAAAGAGAGCATTGAGACGTACCAATGAGGTTGACGGCGGCCGTGGGAGGCTGCTTTTTGCCATCGGTTGTCCGCGGCATGGTGAGCTGGCTGTGAGGGCGCGGCGAGAGGAGGAGTGAGTGGGATGCGCGCTCGTCTAGAGAAGGGCAGTGTGCCTGTGAAAGCTGGGATTGGGTAGGCAAAGTAAGATGACAGTGAGAATGTCAAGCCACTGAGCGCGTGCCCACAAGATATACAATTAGTAGCAGACGTATGAATCACTCACAGTCCCGAACAAGGAGGAAGCGAGCAGCGAATGAACGGGTTCTTTCGGAAAGATGGATCGCTGGAGGCTGCACGTCAATGTATGTAGATCGATGGGAGCTCCAGTCTCCAAGAGGTGCGTGCGGCAGCCAGCTCCAGGGTCTCAGGGCGTCTCGGTTGCGGTGCCTCGAATCGGTCGGATTGGCATATGATAGCCGCCGTAGGTCAGGTCAGTTGGTCCGCACAAAACGCCACAAAAAGAAGTCTAGTTTGGGGAGGAATGGCGAGGAAGTACAGTTGAGTCTATGTATATTGCCCTTTATCTTCATCCATCTCGTCAAGTACTACCGTGGCTTACGTCCATGTTGGCTGCTACGCATCCGCGGTAATCTACCAACACGTCCGAGTCCTCAGCTACAGTCCCGCGGCTGTTCTGCTCGCACACGCAGTATACTTCTGGGTGCCGTCATGTACCTAAGGTACTGTACCGACTGAAGTTAGCAGGGAGGGACTGTCACTGGACACCGGCCGGACGGAAGAGGCGGGGCAGATGGGGGACTCACTTTACTGAATGTGGAGGAGACTGGAGCCCAGCCCATCGTGCCGAGCTCTTCAGGAGATTCTCATCTACTCATTTTTTAGTCCTGCACCTTCAGCATAGACCTCTAAAACAATATCCAAATGATCAATTGATCTTGCCTTCATCCTGTTGTTGTTGGCTACGAGCGTGCATCCTTGGTATGACGTAGGTCGACAGCACCTTGCCCATAGCCGACCCCAAGCCGATCAGCTTGTGAATATGCGGGGGAAGCAGGCTGTGATCAGCCTCTGTTCCCCAAAACGGACGTCAATTGGAGATCGGTCAGTGGCGGATGGCTGGTCGGATGGCTGACTCCAGGACCGAGACAGAGTTCGGCCAGCGTCGTCTTGCCGGTAGCAGCCGAGGTCCAGACCAGACCCCAGCGCTGGAGTTGGTTAGTCGCACTTGGTAGCGAGGCTGGAACGTGTCAGTCACCACCAGCCTGGCAACTGTGCCAGGCTGCTGCGACTTCGGTGAGGGATGCCCTATGAGTCAGCCGCTTCGACGGAATTCAATTAGATCATGTCGATAATCTTCACGTGCTCTCCATACCGCGTCCGGGATTTTCAGGCCCAGACGTCCTGCCCCTCCAGCCCGACTCCTTCCTCCGTTCTGCCAAATTTCCCCAGATTCCGGCCCCACCTGCGCCGGCGAATGTCCCGGACCCGGACCCGGATCACGGGAATCCACCCCGATCATCCGCGCCGCTGTGATATCAAGGCGCAAAAGCCTGGTCAGGCAGTCGGCATATAATTACCTCATAAGGGTCTCTCTGAGCGGCTTCGATACTCTTTCAAAGACAAGTACATAAGGGCTCACGGCTTAGCGAGTCTTTACAAATATCGAGGAGAGGACTTTCTACGCTGATCATCGCCGATTCAGGGAATGCACATTCGCTTTATTGTTCGCTGCTTGCCAGCCGTGAGCAGCACCAGTCGAGCGCATCTTCGCGCGTCGGCATTTTACAAGCAGCGGGCGGCCGACATGTTGGGGTGACTGATCACAATTGGTGCGTAACCAGACCCGGAACATCCACCGCCTTTGAACCCAATATTGGTCCGTGGACTCGCTCTTTCAACCAATATTCGTCGGATCAATCATTGCAGACATGGGGATTCATACCCAAGCTCGGAACTTTGTTCTTAAAGCACACCGCGGTGGCATCTGTCCCCCTGGCCTTTGTCGTGCATCGTCGGCGGTAATCGTAAAGACTTCAATGTCAAGGCTGAAAAGTGCAATTGTCTTACTAACCGTGTTAGGCACGCACTAATGCAAACTGATCCTCCAGCACTGGGCCACTCAAGGCATTCGACTTTGTAGAAGTTCATAGGGTATCAAGGTCCAAGGTGCGGTGCGCGTGTCGGTGACTAGGCAGATGGAGGGCCGGACTTTTATGAAATGTCCGGGCCAGAGCGAGCCGCCGATGCTGCAACAGCAGCGGAAAACACAGGAACCGGAGATTGTATTTCGGCTTTCTGAGATCTCTCCAAGTCGGTCGGCACTCGGCACTCGTCACTCGGCACTTTCGTGTAGCGGACCGTCTTTGCAGCCCTGCGCCACGCCACTAGACTGGCTTGCCTACTATATATCTTGGTGAGCAGCTGCATTCAGTCATGGTCCATCCATCTAAGATCGCTGTTCTTCTCACGGTAGCTACACTGAAAGCGATGGAGTCTATCACCACAATGGCAGACGCATTGCGCGCCAACACCACTCTCGTGGCCGCCGTGGTGCTATACACCATCGCCTTCGTGAGTCAAGATCCAACCCTATCGACACAGTGAACCAACCTAAGTCCTGCCCCGACCAGCATATTTTTGCGACACTGCGAAAACCAATTTCCAAAATCCCAGGTCCTTGGTACTCCAAATGGACATCTGTCGTCGTCACGTACCACTGGCTCAAGGGCAACAAGACGTACTATGTCCATGATCTCCACGCCACATACGGTAACCTCATCATCCCCCGTGCCACGCACGTACACGCACGCACTCTGTCGCTTACACATGGCCAGGCCCGATTGTCCGTGTCAGCCCCAATGAGGTGAGCGCCCCAACGGTGGAAGGCGTCAAGGCAATCTACAACAGCAGAGAAACGTTTGTCAAGTCTCGCTTCTACCAAGACTTCACCGTCGGCGACTACGAGACGCTCTTCAACACGTCGGATGCTGCATTCAACCGACGCCACCGCCGACTCTTGGGCGCTCCCATGATGGAGGCTAACATCAGAACGTTCGAGCCGACTGTCGTGAGCCTGGTCAATCTGACAATGGAGAGGATGGGTCAAGAGATGGACGAGCGTGGAGCCGCAGACCTGCTCAAGTGGTGGACGTTTTTCTCGACCGATGTCATTGGGGAGCTCACCTTTGGTGAATCGTTCCGCACTCTGCAACAGGGCAAGGTCAGTACACCTCACATACCGACAGGCTGTCCAGAGGGCGATGCTAACACTGGTCGCCATGTAGCCCTCGACGTACACCAACGACATGAAAAACGTCGCGCAACTAGGCGGCACCAGGGCCACATTTCCGACATTGATCCCATTGACCAAGATTCTACCCATCGGTCCGTTTGAGCGAGCCCGCCAGGCAGCGAGGAATATCAGCACCTACGTCTCTGACTCCCTCTCGCGCTACCAACGCCTCATCGACTCGGACCCCTCTCGCGCCGCGCACACCCTCTTCACAAAGATGAACAAAGCCAAGGACGACGACAAGCTGCCGTTCGACGAGCTCTGCGGTGCTGCGCAGACCTACATCATCGCCGGCACGGACACGACCGCCATCACCATGACATACCTCACGTGGGCCGTCTGCCGCCGGCCCGCCATTCAGGCCAAGCTTGTGGAAGAACTACGCACCCTTCCCGCCGACTTTACAGATATCCACCTTCGTGAGCTTCCGTATCTTCGATGCGTCATTGAGGAGGCCCTGCGACTATACACAGCAGTACCGGGCGGTTTGCCGAGGGTCGTGCCCCCCGGCGGTGCTGAACTCGTCGGGCACCATCTGGCGCAGGGGACTGTCGTGTCCGGACAGGCGTATACCCTTCATCGGGATAGCGCTATCTTTCCTCGCCCACTTGAATTCGACCCAGAGAGGTGGGCGAACCCCACCAAGGAGATGAAAGATGCCTTTTTGGCTTTTGGGCGTGGACCGAGAGCCTGTCTGGGGCTTAACCTGGCTTGGATGGAGCTTCGCATGGCTACAGCCAAGTTCTTCCTCTCCTTTCCTGATGCCACCGTTTCTGGGAAAGTGGGGATGTCGGATGGGAGCATGCACGCCAAGATATTCTTTCTTGTCAAGCCTAGTGGCGGCCAGTGTCTGGTGGAGAGGTGAGACGGGGCTTATAGTGATCTCATTCTCGGACGTAGCATCACCGCAGTCCTTACGCACGCCCGGATAGCTCATTAGATTTGATACGTGGTTATCTCAATACCAGCTGAAATGTTATCTCAACACCAGCTTAAATGTACTCTTGTGCCGTAGGATCAGTGCGAGTGCTTGGGTCGAGAAAGATAACTAATCCAGCGTGGTCCCGTACTCACTCGACAAAGTCGCTCGCGCTGGTCTGTCTAAGTAGCTTATATCCTTATGGAGTATGATATAGTGGTGCTCCCACCCTGGCCCACATTATGTCGAGAATTATCAGTATTCAATACCTCTCTAACGATAGTTCCCTTTAGTATTTAAACCTTCTGACTCTCGGGTGGTCCAAGCGCACTGCTCTTCAGACCTCCCAAATCCATGACCACCTTTTGCACCACAACGCCCGGCTCAAGAAGCCACAGGGAGAGTTCGTGGGCCCCCGCTGGCACTTTCAGCGTCGAGTACGACGTCCACCCACCAGCCACTGTCGCGTCGTTCCATCCAGGTGGGAGGCTACCCATGGCCTCGTCGGGGATGGGTTGGACCTCGACTGGGCTGCCCCCATCGAGCGCGTACGCGTACTTCAAGGGGAGACTGGGGTCGTGGTTCAGCGACCCGCCAAGGTAGACGACCAACTGAGCCTCTGGCCGGTCCGTGAAAGAGTAGAAGGAGTACGTCAGCTTTGGGGCGTCCTCTGGCGTGCGCCCTGGGTGCGTTACAGGCCATAGCTTCAGCCCAGACAAGGTGCGGCCATAGTCCGGGATCGTGACGTACGAGAGTCCGTTCTTCTCCTCGGCGCTGCTGTAATGTTCCGCCTCCCAGGACACCACGCCGCCGGATTCCACGTAGCCCTCAAACTCATCTGGGACGGAGGTCTTGTTGACTGGTAATAATGCTACCACAGCAGGGCCTTTGCAGATATCGGTTCTCTTGACGCGGAGGGCGACCCAGCTGAGTCCAGGCGGCGCCTCTTCCCAGTCAACCGATATCACACTGCGGATATCCGATTTAGACCCGGGAGCTTCTAGTGTACCTTCATCGTTGGTGACGGAGACGTAGGACACATTGGAAGAGATATGGTAGGAAAAAGTGCCGTTGTTGCGGGTGAAGATGTCCAGGTACCGCTTCTCAGTAGACGGCATGTACGGATCGACAGGCAAGAGTGAGGGCAAGGAGTCGCCAGGGGCCGAGGCGGAGCTCCCTTGGATGCTCACTCCCATGATCCAATCATCTGTGGCATTGCTTTCGCCCAGATAGGTCATATTTGGCATGGCGTTAACCGACGGATCCTGCCAGTAGGTGTAGCCAATGTGAACCTGATCGACAAAGTGATTCCACTTGCCGCCGTTCAATGTGTGGTATTTTTCCGTGATGACTTGATCTTGGGCAAAGAGGGCCTGTACATCGTTTGCCATTGCATTCGTGCTGGTCCGTCCTTGTTGAGCGTACCATGCGTTGAGTGCATTCTTGTTGTAGAGATCGACCACCGTCTTGCCGGCTTCGACTGGATGCATGATCAACTGATAGTAAGCAACCTTGGTCGCCTCATCAAGCGAGTCGTACGTGCTCTCTGTTAACTCGAGGAGGTCCTCCCAGTCCGACATGATCTTCTCGACCTCATCGTAGTTCGCCGTGCTGAAGGCATACGGCTGGTCACTGAGAAGCTCATACTTGCGGCGGATGAGCATAGTGCCGTACGTCGTCAGGATCTCTGCTGTCTGACTCGCCACATCCGCCCCGAACTCTCGAGTCGCCCATCGGTGCAGCCACTCCGAGGTACCCTTGGGCGATGTATACTTTGACATGTCGTAGGCCATGTCCATAAAGTGGGTTAACGGGATCTCCTGATAGACAATGAGCAAGACGAGAGACTAGAGACACAAAGGGGGCTGGCAGTTCAGGCTTACCAGGGGTTTTATGTCTCCCACATTGGCAATCCAGAGTTCTCTGGCCTGCTTTTCGTAGGCGAGATGCATCTGCTCCCACGTCTTGACCAGCTGAATGGTGTTAATCCACTTGTAGTTCCTTGGCGCGCCGACGTAGTCGAAGTGATAGTAGATGCCTGCTCCGCCGGAGCGGTCTGTTTCATTGGCTAGAGGAAGTCTCTGGATATTGCCCGAGTTGTCATCTGTCCAGAGGAGAATAACGTCGTCGGGGGTCTTCATACCGGCTTGGTAATATTTTCCGACTTCCTGTCACAGGCTGTCAGCGGGACGAGTCATCGCCAGAGCGTCTGCACGCATCTCACCTTGTATAAGACCCAAGTCTGAGGAACGTCTCCCGCGTTGTCAAGTCCCAGTTCCTCTTTCAATATCGATTGCTGTACTTGAATTATGTCTTCGAGAGCATCCGCAGTCAACGTTGGTGACTCGGCGTCTCCGTCACCTCGCATCCCTAATGTGTAGATCGTATCCCAGTTCTTTGAGCGCTCAACTCCTTCTTCGAAGAATTGTGTAATGTTGTCTCGATTTCGAGACCAGTCCCAGGGACCGGCCATGAACTCGCCTTGTTCGTTGCCAGCTCGCGCCATAGGTTCGTGATGGCTCGTACCCATGAAAACACCAAAATCATCGGCAATGTCCCCGTTGTTGGCATCGTCGACGTAGAACATACTGGACCACATAGCGGGCCAGATATAGTTCCCCTTGAGGCGAAGACAGAGCTCAAACACAAGTTTGTAGAACTCCCCAGTGAAGGAGCTCCCGTACTCGCTTTTGGTGAACTTCCCATCGGCCCAGCCGGTCAGAGACGGAGCTTCGTCGTTGATGAAGAAGCCGCGGTATTTCACAGACGGAGAGCCCTGCACCTTGGGCCCTTTGCGTACCCAGATCTCGCTCTTCGTTTTCACCGGCACATCTGCCCACCAGTACCAGGGGGATACACCCATCTGCTCGGATATGTCGTAGAGACCATAAGAAACACCACGCTGGTCGCTTCCAGCAATGACCAAGGCCCAAGGCACGCCACTGAAAGGCGCTTCAACGACAACAGAGGTATACGCTTCCCACAACCCCTCCACCTTGTCAACGTCGATCTTGTTCTTGGAGACAAGGCTGTCGATGAGAGAGGAGTGACCAATGGAGCCTGCAATGATGACAGGCCCGTCGGACCACTGGACGGTGTCTGGGGACCCAATCAAGCTCAGTGTGCCATTGTTGCCAACCACACGTCCAAAGTCGTTTGCGAGATCTTGTGCGGTGCGCTGCACACCCTTGAAATCATCGGCATCGACGTAAATATGGGGCGAGACATCCTCGGAGGCGAGTTGATAAGGGCTCGCTCCCTGCGTGAAGGCCAGCAGAGGGTCTTGGGCTAGAGTCAGCCACAGCAAGTCTAAGACTAGCGTTTTGAAGAGAATTGAATGGATCCTCATTGCGTCGACAAGGCGTTTAGACCGACATAAATATCTAAACTTGGACTTGAATCAAAATGAAGACATACCAGTCACTGAAGCCTCGGGGGGCATGATGGGCTATTTAAACACTCGAGATCAGCTCTCTTCTGTAGCTACCCAACCATGAGCCGCCAACGACAAACTAGAATACTACTTAATCCCACATGTACCTATGCCGTGTCCATGCCCTTGGGCATTAGCCATTGCAGTAAACGCGGGGATTAGAGCAGAAAGACTGGGGGGAGGGGGTTGGTACCGAGAGGCTTGACATGGCGAAGCGAGCAAGCGAGCAAATCGTGAAATTTAGTGGCCATAGGCTAAATTCCCCGATGGGGGCAACTGCCGTAATGATCAATGTGGCTTTCAGGCTATAGTGCTGCATGTAGGCTAAGATGTGCAAGATACATATACATGCAGGTCAAACCCCTCCTGCCCTCTGCCGGAACATAAAGTCGCAAAGGACCAAATGGTCAAGATTTGGAGGACGGAGAGTACATGTAGGTCAGAATTACTTCTTGATAGTTCATGGGCTCGAGGAGACGGCAAAATCTGGGTTGAGCAACCATAATGTCTATGTTATTGCTTTCGTCTTTGATACGATACGACTAAATCAACGACGACGAGCACGTGCTTGATATATACTAGCCGTAGGTCAACCTCATCTAACTCGGGAACCAATTACCTTTGGTTCCTGCCGAGATCTCAGAAGACTACGTCAATTTCCCGAGTAGTCCAGCCGTAGAGACCAAACACACCTTCTACGCTCAGTGACAGCGAAGCATCGACACAGTCAAGATCTGGAACCGGCTGCGCCAACAAGTCGCGAATGAGCTTGAACCCTGCCGCCAAGATGTGTATGTAGCGTCTATGTATTTCGTGCACTTCCTGAATGTAAGAAGAAGGTCTTTGCTCTCGACTGAATTTCTCCACGGCATCTGAGCTCTGCACCTGAGTTTGATCGAATGGGGCACTCACCAGACGGGACCACAGTTGGGGCAACGCCTTGCTTTTTAGCAGATTTCTTCCGTGTGGTAATGTGAGGCAAGAAAGCCATGAGGATCCTGTCACTTGTAACGTAGCGATCTGTACATCATGCAAGTAGTTAAAGTGGGGTGAGTATACGTACAGTACTTCACAATCAGAACAGCAGATGGAAAAAGTATCAAAGAAGTGTCACAGTATTCGAGAGCTATACAATGATCCCGATTCTTGCAATCGCACTGACTGACCAGTGTCTATGAGATCCACTCCGCCATAAAAAGAACATGCCAAAAAGTCCGAGCACCATGGTATCTCGCCAAAAGGAAAAAGCTGAAAACATCTGGCAGACAATGCAGCCAATAAATTCTAAAAACGCCGTTCCATGACTTATCCCGTCGTCGCTCATTATGAGGGTGTGCCCCTTTCCTCCACTTTCTCTCCCTCGAAACTGTACAGTCGGACCTCGCCATCCTCGCTGCCGCTCGCCATGCGGCTGTCACTCAGGCCAACGCAGGTGACGGGACCCGCGTGGCCCGTGAACGACCTCTCGCAAAGGCCTGATCTGGGCTCCCAGATCTTCGTCATCGAGTCGTTCGCACCAGTGACCACGCGCAGAGTGTCGCCGACAAGACCCCAGATGCCCTCGACGTGACCGAACATGGATCGTATGAACTTGCCGCTGGCCGTGTCCCACAGACGGATGGTGTTGTCCAGTCCACCCGTGAGCATGTACCGCGGGGGCAGGGGGCGTGTGTCGTCAGCAAAGCCGGAGCCGTACGCGGTGCGGTCGTCGACGGATGACTCTTGGACAGGGCTCACGCTGCGTCGGCTGTTCACAGAACCAGTGTCGTTGTCGTTGCTAGGGACCTCGTCGGGCTCAAAATCGGGTGGCATGAGCAGCACTTGCTGAACCTGACCAACGTGGCCTTTAAAGGTCTTGATGCAGGTCTGCGTGTTAAGATCCCAGATCTTGACCGTCAGATCGTCAGATGCGGAGAAGACGGTGTTTGACGCGGAATCGATGCGCACGTGATTGACCCAATCAGTGTGTCCTCGCAGACAGAACGTCTGCTTGGTGTCGAAATTGAAAACCTTGACAGTTTTGTCGATGGAACCCGATGCCAGAAGGCTGCCCTCAAAATGAACAGACAACACGCCGTCGGTGTGGCACTGAAGTGTGCTCAGGAGCTCGCCGGTGTGCCAGTTCCAGATCTTGATTGTTTTGTCAAAGCTCCCGCTAATGAGCTTGCCCTCGTCGAATTGCAGTGCCCTGACGGTCTGCGTGTGGCCGCGTAGTGTCTGCAGAACTTCTCCCGTCGCAATGTTCCAGATTTTGATGGTCGCGTCGTACGAGCCCGTGGCCAGTATGTTGCCGTCGAACTGTAGACACGTGACGCCATTCTCGTGACCCCTAAAGGTCTTGATACTACATCGCCCCGTCTTCCAGTTATATCCCACCTTGAAACGATCCCGGTAGACGTCTTTCCACGGCCTGAACTTGCGCTCCACCTCAAGCTGTGAGTTGCTCTTGCCACTGGCGTCAAGCTTGGGTCGCTTCGAAGGCGCGTGGTCATCGCCGCCCATCGGCCTCTTATTCGAACCCGGCGAGGGTGGTGATCGAGGCGCTTCGAGAATTCGGGGAGCCTCTGTAGGGGCGGCTTGTCGATGATGTGTAGCGTGGTGTCGATTCCAAGCGGCGAGCTTCTTCTTCTCGAGCAGAGGCAGACCCCATCCGCACTTTGTGCACTTGCGGTCAATGTGCTGCTCGCACATGTGATGCCAGACCATGTCATCGTCAGCGAGGTCGCGCCATCGGCGGCTGACCTGTGCCGCTTTGCACAACGACACAGTGTCGAGGTATGTGAGGATCTTGTAGGATAGTTCGGGAGGAAGTGCGGCGAGAAAGTCGATTTTAAGTTGTTCGTGTACTTCGCGAGAGACCGTCGAGAGTTGGGGGAAGCAGCATTGGGTGATGATCCCTTGGAGCATGAGCTCGCGGTGTTTGGCTGGCGCGGCGGAGAAGAGGGACCACACGTGGGTGATGGCTTGCTGATCGGCGGACGAGAGGCTGTTGAGGTCCTGTGGCTGTTAGCACGCTGGTATGTCTCGGGAGACGGGGCGGTCTCACCCGTTGAATGATGCCCATCTTGTTCTCGTCGGCGGCACGACGACACTTGGAGTCTGGCCGGTGTCGGTAACAGAACCTAGTGTTTGGGTCTTTTTGCACGTTATTGTTGGCTTTGCTGTCGGTGGCGATGCTGTCCTCTGGTATTTGTTTCCCGATAGGTGCATAGATGCCAGGGATGTGTTCTTTGAGGAAGGGGCTGACGTGCTTGCCCACGAGGTCGGTGGGCATTCTGATGAGGCGCGACGGGTCGTCCTCTTGTGGCCTTCGCCTGTCGCAGTTCTCTTTGGATGGTTGTGAGTTCATGGCTGGGCGGGCGAGGACCAAGGCAGGCCCCGATGCGTTTAGTGTCGGTGAGCGAGGATGGCTGGTGTTATAAGAGAGACTGGTAAGGCGGCCGGCGACAGCAGGTGATCATCGGCGCAATGCAGGCAAAGCAATGCGTCCCTGGGCGCTGGCAGCTGGGATTCGTTATATGCGGCGTTCCGAGTTCAAGAGTTCAAAAGCAAGCAAAGGTGACCTAGGATTGCGTGACCGGAGGATGGAGGATGGATTGCGAAGACTTGGGAGATGCGATCGCGCGACGTCGCAAGGCGGAGAGGAATGCCAGGCTGATACAAGTAAAACGTTCAAGCTGTTGATGCGATGGCCGCGCTGTTGCAAGGTCGAAGTGTCGGTCGGTCAGGTCAGTGGGTGGGTTCGACGATACGTAAGGTCTGTATCTGGAGGCGAGGTTTGGCTGTGCGTACGGTAGCCGCAAATCATTTTACAGGCTCCATGTCAGCGCCTGCATGGCAGGCTGGACCAGCGGCTGTCGGGCCCCTCTTGCCTCACGGGTACCCACCAAGACTCCCCGCTATCCGGCTGCCAGTGCTGCTCTGGTGCCGGACTTTCTGTGAGAAGCACAGGAACCCACCCGCACTACATGAAGCTGACAGCCTACAGGCACAATGGTTCCGCCCTCTTTTCCCCTGAGGACCCTTGAATCTTTTCGAGATAATTCTGCTGGGTCTTCTGCCGTTGCTCGACCAACTCTGTTGATTCAGTTGCAGAAACTCAAAGCCAACGGCAGCCGGACATCGGGACCCACACCGATACCCCCGCCGGCCGGCGCCTCGCCCCTTCTGCCAGTGCCAGTGCCTGCCAGCGACCCCAAATTTTTAATTAGCCCGTCTGCGCCGCGAATCCCGCGATGCAGTGGACAAAAGAGTGGGGCCCTCCGCAATCCAGGAACCGACATGACTGCAAAGCGCGACTGCTCAAGCCTCTCATCGTTTCTTACAATTTGATAGTATGGAGTAAGCGACGCGTAATTAGTGGGCGAGATATCGTGCCAAAAGGTCGAGTGCCGCATCGTCCAGACTCAATATTCGAGACCCTTCTCGAGGTGTCCTGGCCTGCGCTGTGACACCCAGCGCTGAGAGGCTGCCGATGGTGTGATTTGATGCATTTCTTGTGTCTTGTCCTTAGTCATAGCGTTTGCACTCGACCGTCGCACGACATTTTCCAGAAAAAAAAAGTCACGCTTCTCAGTCCCGGGCGTCGGTCCTTTCCTGCTCGTAACGCATTTCATCGACTAGTCTGCGAGGCTCATGCTGACTCGAGTTCGCCACGGCAAGATAACGTCGACTTCTTCCTCTCCATGTCGACCTAGCACGACTTCAGACGGCAGCCGTCCCTCATTCGCAATCAGGCTCCAAATGTCGCCATTCCTCGCCCGCCCCTTTGCAGGCAAGCGCAAGTCGTCGGCCAGACGAGTCAATTTCAGCATGACCAGCGTCCAGTCGTCAGACTGAGCCAGAATCACACCATAGGGGTCAACCGTTGCCATCTGCTCTGATGCAAAAGACCCTTCGAGACTCCGCTAAGCATTATAAGCACTCTGGGGGCGGAGTCGGCAATGCATAGTACCTGCGGCTTGATGACGCGCGCCTGTGCAGGGTCCACCCGCTGCGGTAGTATCGCGAGAAGGGACTAGGGTGCAGGATGACTACATGTGTAGGTGTATGGATGTAACGCTCTAAAGCAGCAAGAGTGTTGAGTGTTGACCCTCCATTCTGAAGTCCGTAAGGCCGGGATTCTGGGTAGTCTCTGTTCCTCAAGGATGAAAATTGTGCGTAGGCATATTGATATAGCAAACCAGCCAACAGAAGCCAACAGAGTGGGTGTGTGTCGAGTCTTGACAAGCTGACAAGGTTACTTTACTACTCTCTTCAGCCATCAGGCGCGGGATCAGGTAGCGTTTTATGCAACGGACTTGGGAATATAATCTGTCGCTGGCCATGCTCACTAGTCCAGGAGCACGTAAATGATCCGCCAGTCTGTATGTAAGTAGGAGCTTGCCAAGGACAGCTGTGGGCCATCCTGAGGCGAGTCAATGACACGGTTCTTTGGAGGATTGATCAACGTGGTTGGGCCGTTGTCCACGTTTGATGTACTCATCATCATAGGCCGCATGCGCGACTATCATTGTAGATCCTCGGGCTCACTCACCCCTGAATGGGGCGATGTGGATTTGAAGCACGGGATAGAGTCGTAGACAACCGCGCGCACACTTATACGATTTTCTCACTTTTCTCGCTCTTATTCAGTCCTTGCCTCTCGTCCTTTCTCTCCTTTTCCACAATTCATTAGTCAATCCCTAAATCCAAATAAGTTCTTGAAAATAGATGCATCCTAGACATCCGGCGGGGGAGGTCGATTGAGTGTTGGTGGCTTCAGCCTCATTCATGACCCGTTAACGACGTCAAATACATCCCAACCACGCTGCCCCTCATCTCAATTAATTCCAGTGTTTCAACGCTGCCAACACCTTTGATTCGATCATTTATTCAAACCCCGGTCCTCTCCACAGTCTTATTTGGAGCCATTGTCTCGGTGCCTGCCAAGTGGTGACGCATCCACCGGAGCGTCTCCTCCTGGCCCAGCACTAAACGACGATCGCCTGCCATCGCACGCACCCCAAGGCTGATGAGATCTGTCAGATCGGATCTATAGATCGGATGCAGAAGCAATTCAACCCCTTGCAGGACCCTTCGATGCAAAATAGGTATGAGATGATTCATGACAACCAGACGGTTATCTCAGGAACCTCATGTCGTCATGAACCTCCATGACGCACGACCACGATGACAATGCATCTGTGGTCGATGGTTATAAGAGCTCTGAGGTCCAGAGGCTCATTCAATCTTTTCAATCCCAGCTCAACAACCAGACATCGCCTGCCCATTACACTCCAACACAAGCACTGCACACATAGCCATCACAATGTCTGCCGAGAACCTTCAGAACACTCCCGCTGGTGACTTCCAGGACAACTCTTACGTCTCTCGCCCAGGCAACAAGTCTGAGCCTTTGCCTGTCCAGTCGGACGGTGACAAGATCGAGGACCCTGTTGACGAGAATGTTGCCGACACCGACGCCCAACTTGGTGAGTTTCAATCGCACTCGGACGTGGAAAGTTTAGACACTAACATGATCACAGAGCGCGATGATAATGAGGCCATCGACAGGGGTAACATTCTGAACGAGCGCACTCGCGGCGCCACCAAGCAAACCGGTACCTACCGTGAGCCTGGTGATGATGAAGGTCTTCCTGGATCGGATGACGGTACCAGCTCAACTCGCCAAATCTCCAACCCTTAGGAGATATTCTCGGCCTGAGAAGTAGAGGTTCAATAGCAGCGTTGATTAGTCGGAGTACAGCCAGCTAGTAATATCTTTTCATCAGGCGTTGCGTTACTCATGAGTGTATGCATCTTCGTAATCTCCTGCCCTTACCCCTTCCATTGTCAACGCCTGTCTAGTCATTCACAATGCCATTCTTTAGAAGTGACGTGTCCCCCCCCCCCAAAAAAAAGCCAGGCCCTTTTCCGTAACCTGCGAGGACAATTCTCGATCATGATTTATACCGTATGCCTGCCGCGCATCTGAGACAATTCATCACGCTCCCTTTCCATTCGTGTACGTAGTTTTATTCTCCCAAGAACTGCAGGGGTTATTGGCTTTCGTGGCTGGAATTTGGAACGTCACATTAAATGCAAGATAAACAGCTTCAGTTGAAGCCATCGGAGATTCGAAGGTCACGGCATGCAGGTCCCTCCTGGCGGTAGCTGACCAGGTCATGCCGGCATCATCAGCTGCCGCAGCCTCACGACCTCGTCATGTCTCACTGCCGCTCTGACAGGGCGGGCTTCCATACCAGCGCATGGCGGCTCAGCCTACGGCTGCACCGACTTTCCGGACATACCAGAGTTTCCCATCTCCTCGCTCATCCTCATTTTCGCTGCTGCCTAAAGAAAGCTCCATCAACGATGCATAACTGTCTACGTGCCCGGCCATCCATGCACTGCACCCAATGAACAATATCATCCAGGCGGCTCCCGTGCACTACCCCACATCGTCAGTCTCAGGCTCGAGCCTCGAGGTCTTCCGCACGCACCGCAACTTCAGCTTGAACAGCGATCACAGCCACCCGCCGGCGTACGACGAGGAGCGTGCACCACCCCGTTATGTTGACCCCCTGACAGAGGCCGCTCTCGAGGGCGACAGGGAGGGGGATCGGAGGAAGAAGAGGAAGGCGCTCAAGGTTCGCTATGCAAAGATAGCTGGAAGCGCTCTGATTGTGGTCTTGGTGACCTTACTCATTGCCGGGGTTGTGAGCAAGTTCAAGACTGTGAGGCAAAGGCTGGGCGAGGACGACACCAAGGACAATGGCCGAGACGAGAAGAAACTGTAAGCGGATCTTGGTGAGACGTCGGGGTCAAGCAGCTAACGCGCGTAGACCTACTATGACTGCGACGATGTCGATGTCGACGGAAACTTCATCGCCAACTGAGACGGCTGTCCTCACTGACCCGTTGGAACCTTGGGATTCCTATCGGGGCCCCAAAGGTGCACTCGACACATTGAAGGAAATTCTGAATCGGCCGATGCAGCGGTGGATGGATGAGGATGAGTTGATGGACTTTGGCGAACGCTGCCCTCTTGATGTCAGAAGAAAAGGACCAGGATTCGATTCGGTTGCCAGTGCCAAACGGAGAGAGCCTATGGAGGCATTGTCGTGTCTGTCATCACGCGGCAGCGAGAATGGCTTCAAGAGTCCTTTGACGGAGCTGGCCTCACGCAATTCCAATGATGTACGAAGAAATATAGAACCTAAAGGATGAGAATGACGAACTGAAGTCTGGGGAGCTCAGGATGATCATTGCCAAATGCTACGCCTGCAGTGTGCCCCACAATTGCTCGCCCTCCATCCGTCAAGTCTGTCGAAAACTTCCATCTCCAATCCTCACGACCCCAAATCTTCACCGTGCTGCTGCCCCTTCGCCAATTGAGCGATGCAACCATGGCAGACACTCCGAACCCTCCTACCACAAGCGATGCCAAGCGCAAGGAGCCGTCTGACGGCAACGGCGGCGAGAGGACTGTGTGGAAGAACCCCCGTCAGAGCGGCCACAAGCGCAGTCGCATGGGCAAGAACAAGAACCTGGGACGCGCAGAGTATGAGTACGTTCAGCCCCTCCCCCCTGCTCCTGTTTCCGTGTCCAAGTTGAAAGTTGCCAACGGCTGACGCCAGGTTTTAGCAACAGTACGCGCAGTCGCAAGGACTACCACGATCGCAAACGCATAAAGACCACCAAGGATGGCGAAACGTTCGAGGAGGCCCCCAAGCCGAACCCCTTCTTCACCGAGGAAGAGATTGCCGCCGAGTCGAAACGGCCCAAGAGGAAGGTCGCCGTCATGGTGGGATACTCTGGGTCCGGGTACAAGGGCATGCAGATCAATGGCGACGAGCCGACCATTGAGCGCGATCTGTTCCGCGCATTCATTCGCGCCGGGGCCATCTCCAAGGCCAATGCCAACGACCCACGGAAATCAAGCCTTGTGCGCTGCGCCAGAACGGACAAGGGCGTCCACGCAGCGGGCAACGTGATCTCCCTCAAGCTCATTGTGGAGGACGACGACATCAAGGAGAAGATCAACTCGCATCTTCCCGACCAGATTCGCGTGTGGGGCATCCAGAGGACGAACAATGCATTCAGCTGTTATCAGGGCTGCGACTCGAGATGGTATGAGTACTTGCTGCCCAGCTCGTGTTTGCTGCCGCCGCACCCCAATACATGGCTGGCCAAGGAGATTGCACGGTACGCCCAGGAGCAGGGCTACGAGGAGACTCTGGCCCAACTGAACGCAGACGTTGCAAGCTTCTGGAGTGATACCGAGGCCAACAACATCAAGCCGGTTCTTGACAGCTTGGACCCCCAGCTGAGGGCACAGGTCTTGGAACATCTCCACATTGACGATGCGCTGGTCGAGAGCGACAACGAAAAGGCCGAGAAGCACGATGAAGAGGTCAAGGACAAGAAGCTCGAGCCACAGACAGGTATTGCTCTGCAGACCTTCTCCCCCAAGAAGAGGCAGCTCGGACCTTTGGACTTTGCCCTCAAGGACGTCAAGGCTGGCTACGTTGCAGCCAAGAGGCGGTACCGCGTCTCACAGGAGCGCATGCAGCGTCTGCAGGACATCCTGCACAAGTATGTCGGTACGCACATCTTCCACAACTACACCGTCCAGAAGAATGCGCAGGATCCCAGCGCCAGGCGGCACATCAAGTCCTTTGAGCTCAACCCGAAGCCCATCATCATTGGGGACACTGAGTGGCTGAGCCTCAAGGTCCATGGGCAGTCCTTTATGATGCACCAGATTCGCAAAATGGTCGGCCTGGCCACTCTCATGGTTCGCTGCGGCACCCCGCTCGAGCGTGTGGAGGAGAGCTACAAGGCACAGAAGATGGCGATCCCCAAGGCTCCTGGTCTGGGCTTGCTGCTCGAGCGCCCGGTGTTTGAGGGATACAACCGCAAAGCTCTTGAGATTGAGCGTGAGACGATTGATTTTGGCAAGTACGAAGAGGAGCTGCTCGCGTTCAAGGAGAAGCATATCTACCAGCGCATCTTTGAGACAGAGGAACAGGAGAACTTGTAAGTGTTTGAGAAAATTATGTTATTGCGGTCGCGGCATAGACTAATTTGACCAGGTTTCATGCGTTCTACAATCAAATCGATCAGTTCAAGGCGAACCACTTCCTGTGGCTGACCGCTGGCGGTCTTGATGTGGCCAAGCTAGATGGCGTCGCGCAAGCCGACGTGGACAAGCAGCTAGAAGGCGATGGCGAGGACGAGGACGAGGACCCGGAGAACGGTGAGGGTTAGACATTATATATCAATCAGACCATAGAATTCAAGTATTTCTCCCAAAGGTCAATCCGACTCCCAACGCCATGTCCAAATCCTGAAAGCAATTGGAATCTTCTCATGCCTCTACCCCTTTGACTTCTTCGTCCTTTTTGAGCTCCCAGCTGCCGCCCATCGCCTCGGCCGTTTCTTTCGCCCTCCCACCTTCAATGTCCCCGAGGAGCTCGCCGACCCTCTTCACATCGTCCCGCACGCGTTCCTCCATGCCCTGGCTCTCTCGTCCGCCGAGGGGCCCGAAGACCCACAGCTCCTTCATCCGCCGCGACAGGGTCAGAAGCTCCTTGATCGACGAGTAGAGCGCATCAAACTCCATCTTGAGGGAGATGCCTGTGACGGCGATGGACGATGGGTTGTCTGTGGCGGCATTGTGGATCTCCAGGTCGTCGGTGTCTCGTGTGGCTTGTAATGTAGTGAGGTTCAGAATGTTACGATAGCGGGTGAGAATTTCGGCTATGAGACGGTCATGCGTATCTAGAACAACAGTGAGCAGATGAGTAGGGGAACAGATGCGATGTGAGCTCACCCATGAGATTGTCGTTGGCTTGCTTTCGATCCATGGTGGCAGGACAGGACGTTCACGGGTCTGTACACAGAACCGTTCACATTGAGATTCCTTTTTCTGGTCAACACTGAGGATCACCAACAAGCTTGATATCCAAGATCGTGCAACGATGACCGGAAGCTTGATGAGGAAAGGTGATCGATCTTGAGCTGAGATTTGATGCTGGATAAAATGTGGGGGCGGGGCGCGCACATCAAGCAGGAGACGCGGTTGCGGACTACCCGATAGCAATGTCCTGGTTCGCAAATATGAGTAGTAGTCTCTCTATTTCAAGAAGTATTGGTGAAGGATTTTGGTAGAATATTGAGCAAAAATTACGAGTGAATCCATCAGACCGAACTAGATACCTTACATTGTGTCTGAATTAAGGTTTGGAGCGCGTGTTGGCGTTTTAAGGTTACCTTACGGTGAACGCAATGTAATCATGTGTGTGCTCGTCCAAGAGAACACCGGGCACATTCCACCATTTACTAGCAAAGGCCTTGATTTCGTGCTCCAACTTGGCATCATAACCGTTTCAATTCTTCATGCCACCAATCGATGCTGGATATGCACGAAATCGAGGAGTATCATGCACCCAGAAATGTTCCTACATTCCAGGTACGAACTCTGGTAACGCTTATCGATAAGCCTGCCTGCCTGGTTGAGCCGCGTGTGTCCCCTCGGCCTTGGCATCCCCAGGTTCCCAACTTCCAGCGATGCGCCGTGGAACCCCTTTCCCTCCGACTCTGTTGATGAGTCCAGCGTCTTGAGCCTCGCGACGAGACGGCAGATAATCCTCTCCGCATTACTCCAACGCCGCGATGGCATCCTGGCGCGGCACTCGCCGGCGCCATGTCGCTCTCGTCTTTCTCTTGGCAGCTGCATTCCTCTACTTCTTCCAACGACAACCCGCGAGCACCATGTACGACCACACCGGCCGACTCAAGCAAAAGCCCGGCTCGTCGGAGACGGAGATGGTCGTGGCAAGCATGAAGAAGGAGAATACGACGTGGCTGCAGAGCGCTGTACCCCAGTGGAAGAAGAACATCTACGTGGTGGACGACCCACGGGCGCAGCTGACGGTGCCCGTGAACAAGGGACGGGAAGCTATGGTCTTCCTGACGTACATTATCGATCGATACGACACCCTGCCGGGAAACATCATTTTTCACCATGCCGAGCGCTTCCAATGGCATAACGACAACCCCGACTACGATGCTCTGCCGCTACTGGAGTCTTTCAAGCTTTCACACCTAAAATCGGAAGGCTACGTCAATCTGCGCTGCGTCTGGGTGCTCGGGTGTCCAGTAGAGATCAGGCCTGCCAAGGACGAGTCGCCGCCAAGGGAGCATGAGCCAGTGACGGCCAAGCACGTGTACAAACCTGCGTTTGAGGAGCTGTTCCCAGGACAGCCGATGCCAGACGAGATTGGGGTGTCCTGCTGCTCGCAATTTGCGGTACGGCGAGAGGTCATTTGGAGACGGCCAAAGGAGGAGTATGAGCGATACCGGGACTGGCTGGTCAGCTCGCCTCTCGGGGATGACCTGAGCGGGCGAGTGTTAGAGTACTCCTGGCACAGTAAGCTGAAGAGCCTTTCCAGCCATATTGGACCATGACAGATGATGCTGACGACTTGCGCATAGTTATCTTTGGCAAAGAGGCCGTGCACTGTCCCGACGCGGGCACGTGCTACTGCAAGCTCTACGGCATGTGCGATATGGAGTGCGAGAAGGACAAGTGCAAAGGACAGTATCTCCTACCGCCCTTTTCCACATTACCAGATGGTTGGCCTAGACGTGGGTGGAAGGGCGAGGATCGAGGCTGGACAGGCGAGCTATAAGTTGGATTGAAATCTGTGTGGATATAACATTGTTTGATATGTACAACCATTGCGGGTGGCGTTCAGGATTGGCAGCACATGAATCAAACAGATTTGACCAAGGGACGGCGCCAGTATGCGGCCACTCGTTGGAGGACAGCCTGGTGCTCACAGCTTCGGGACTGCCAGCGAGTTTCTCACTCGCCGCGTGGCCCACTCTCGGCCAAAATTGAAGCTTGATTCGAACCTTGTCCAGCGCACGTCCAACCTGGCTGGATTCGCGACCAATCGGAGCAAATGACTAGCACGCTCGAGAACGTGGCTAAGCAGTGCTAATTTGTAGTACCGTAGGTAGTACGCAGAGAAATGAAATGGTCCAGGTTCAGGGGGCTGGTCGTGACGGTTTTATGCATCTCAACTCTGGAAAGCGAACAGTGTTGCAACGCATCAAGACAGGGGAGAAAATAAGCTGCGCATATAACTCTCGCATCTTGAGTCTGATTTGGTCCATCTCCGCCCTGTGTGCCGTTCTGTGCATCTACTAATTAGCTCTTGATCTCTGCAGAGCGGCCATCGACAATTACAGCTGTTGAGCCCCCTGGCGCAAAATCAGATTAATTGAATTTCAGGAGCCCCGTCAGTACCGCGCCATGGACATTGACATGGAGCTAATATCTGGCAGCGACGCGGCATCAGCCTGTAGCGGTGGAGCGGGAGGCAGCCAAGCGCTAACAATCGAAGGGGTAGCAGCGTCTCATCGACATTCCGACGCGCCTTACTCCTGAGGCCCCTTGCGCGCGGTTTGATTCCTCCAATGGCGATCATGACGATGGCGAAGTTGATTATGGGAATGACGATGACGATAGTTACTGGTGTCAACTCATCTCCATCGATCGAATATCTCGCTCACAACCTTGCTTGAGAGCACTTTGCTGCACCATCACGAAAATCACAACATCGCAGCTTAAAAGTTAGCAGCGAGCACGGTCCGACCCCTGTCTCGCGGGAGCAGCCGAGTCTAGAATTCATCCACCCATCCAGAGTCCAGACACCAGTGGCTCAGCCCCTGCATGCTCAAAGCTTGACCCTTTCAGGGATCCGGGGCGCCACTGCCAGCCGCCATTGTGAAAGCCTTGTTTCTCGTGGGAGTTTCCCACATCACGGGCCCGACCTGACGCGGTGAACTGACCTTCAACGCGGGTCGTTGCTGGCTCCGACGAATGCAGATAAATATCGGGAATCGGAAGAACAGCAGAAGTAGGGCTGAAGGGGAGTCCGGACGCTTGCGTAGCCTGTCAGTACTGAGCAAACACACATCGAGTCAGAGACTGACACATGGATTCATGGATCGCATCGACGTGCAGGTCTGGCTGACTTGCTGGTCCAGAGTATCCACGTAATACGAATATTCCCAAAGGTATCTGCGGATACAGAGCCACAGCCTGCTCGTACCTCTCGATGAGCTTTTCATCGTCCGATGCACCATGGATGCCTTCATTTGTTCAGGCAGAGAACACAGCTGCCAAAGAGTCCTCAGACACTCACTGGTTTGCGATGAGGTCTTCCAAGGAGGGCTCTGCTCGTCCAACGGCCTCATCATGAAACAGCAGTCTCCTGCGTCTGCAGAAGTCGTCTCACAGCACAAGTCACCGCACAACTGCCCCATTGGTGCGGCCACCACCCCTGGCACTTTGCGTCTGAAACCTGGGGTGCCGATTCGTTGTCTACGGAAGAAGAAGGCTTGAAATAGGTAACTGACCAAGAATGGTGGCGCGCGGAAGGGGGAGGGATGCAGGTACCAGTCGAAAGCTCGGACGCGCAGGCTCAGCATGCCGTCTTTTTCTTCGCCTGTTGTTCATAAGAATTCATGACCTCCTTCATTGTCGTTGCATGATCTGCTCCTTTCTCCTCATCCTGCTCTTTCCTTGTCTTTCTTTCCTTGCACATCTTCTCCACAAGCCAACAGAACCACCGTTCCTTCCTTCCCTTGGGTTCCCAATCTTGTACTTGTATCCTTCTTGGCATTTAGCCGACCACCTTCAGCATCTACTCTTCAGTACCACAACACACGTACGGAACACACACAGTTCGGGCATCATGACGGACGGAAGCTTTTCTTCTCATGGGACGACGCCCAATAGCTCCATCGGGCGGCAGGCCACCCGGAGCAACACCGAAAAGACAGCCGTCATGACGGGCAACATCCAAGCCCTCCATGACGACGGCGACGACCCTCGCTCTCCTGTGCGGCCTTCTATGGCCGCCAACCCCTTCCCGCGACGCGCTTCGCTGGATCTCGACGACTACTTTGTCGGGCCGCGCGACTTGTCACGCCACTCCAAGTGGCCCATGTTCATGCGCATGCACGGCAGCATCGTGCCCAAGATGATTGTGCCCTTGCTGTTTGTGGGTGCATGGACCACCGCCATTGTTCTCATCTCCAAGCACGTCTACGACCTGGGCGTGGAGTCGGTCTTGCTGACCATCACGGGTTTCGTTGTCGGTCTTGGCCTTTCCTTCCGCAGCTCGACGGCGTACGAGCGCTATGCGGAGGGCAGACGCTACTGGCAAGTGTTGACCAACGCTTCGCACTCCCTTGGTCGCGTCTTTTGGATTCACGCCAATGATCCCGAGGGACAGGACCCCCGTGAGCTGATGCTCAAAAAGGTGACTGCCATGAACTTGGTCGTCGCCTTCTCCGTCGCCCTCAAGCACCAGCTTCGCTTCGAACCCTTCACAGCCTACTCAGACATGCAGCATATGATCGGTCACCTCCAAACATTCGCGCGTGAGGCCACGACCGCGCAGCCGGAGAAGGCACAGGGGCAGAGGAAGAAGTTCTTTAAGGAGGTCGGCGAGTACCTCGGCATCTCGTTCGCGACCAGCAACCCTCGCAAGATGATCAAGAAGTCAGAAAAGCCCCTGGGCAATCTCCCCGTCGAGATCCTGAGCCACCTTGCCATCTGCGTCGACGAGATGTGCCGCAATGACCAGCTTGACGTTCCTATGCAGCAGACGATGGCGTACAACAACATGGCCCTCCTCAACGACTGCATGACCGGCTGCGAGCGTGTGCTGAACACACCTCTTCCTCTGGCCTACGCCATTGCCATCAGCCAGATCACGTGGGTATACGTGCTCCTGCTGCCCTTCCAGCTCTACTCTCTGCTCGACTGGGTCGCGATCCCCGCCACCGTTTTCGCGTCGTACATTATCCTTGGCCTTCTCCTCATTGGCGGTGAGATCGAGAACCCCTTTGGCACCGATGTCAACGATCTTCCTCTCGAGCTGTACTGCGAGCAGATTGCGCACGACATGGATGTTATCGCCTCGCACGAGAAGCGCAATCCTCAGGATTTCGTGACCAGCGATGCCAACATGCCCTTGTACCCTGCCAGTACCGCGCCCATGAGTGTTTGGATGAGCCGTAGCGAGGACAAGATCCGCGAGGCGCTCAAGAACAAGCCGAGGAAAATGTTTGAGATGCGTAGGCAACGGGACGCTGGGAAGAGCGTCCACCAGGCCGAAAACATGGTCTGACGTGCACCATGAAGCACTTGTCACGGGCGGCGTTCCTCCTTTCTTTGATCCGCACTGCACCAATATACCTTTTGGGACCTTGGCGAAAGGTCGCTGGAGAAAACTTGTCTCTTATTTTATTACTATAATCATAGCGCGGAACGGATTGGCATCTATCATACAAAATTGAATCCATGTTGGCATATGTATGGAATACTCTAGAGTCTATTGCTCTTCATCAATCGTGAGCTTGGTTTTCTTATCTTCCGGCAGCCAGCGTGCACAAACTCCGTAGGCTACGGCGATCGGGATCAGAAGGACCCAAGCCAGGTGGCCCTGCATGATATGGTTCTTTACACCGACTGCATAGATGGCTGTGGCGATGCCCGGGAACACCGCACGGATGCCACTCGACGCCGTCAGCGCAATCGCATTGAGCGTGCTCAGCACTCGTGGATTCGGGGACACGTCGTTGAGCGCGAGCTGCGCACCAGTGAAGGCCATGGAGATGCCTGGACCGATGAAGACAAGAATGCCGGCGAAGATCCAAAATATGACCATGGCCGTGTGGGTGCCGTCGCGGAGAAGCAGATTGATGATGATGTAGCACACAAAGAAGAAGGGGTAGGCCACGCCCGAGGCTGTCATGACGCCCTTGGTCCCGATGCGGCGCTGGATCCAGGGGAAGGCGAGCAGAAGCCACAGAGCCTGCGACAAGCCCTGGAGCGTCATGTAGACGGAGATCAGCTTGGGGCCCAGCCCAAGGCCACCGAGCTTAACTGGGGTATACAGGGCAACGGGCATGATGGCTGTAAAGGCAAAGGCGAGGAACATGACGTGGCTGTAGACCCAGAGTACGATGCCGACGCCGGGCGATTTGAGGAGCTCCTTGAAGGAGAGACGCTCGTTCTTCTTGGGGTTGGCGTCGCTCACGCGCTCGTCGGGCACGGTCTCCTCAAGACCCAGGGCCAGCGCCAGCACGGCGGTCGCGCAGATGGCACCGCACGCAGCCGATGGCAGGGCATAGGGGTAATCAATGAAGAATTGCCACTTGCCAAACGTGCCAGGGTACTGTTCCGCGGGCGAAGCCAAGGTGCCACCGACAATGGGCCCGATGAAGAGGCCCAGGTTTCCCGCAAAGGCGAACCAACTAAAGGCACGAGCCTGCGTCTCGGCGTTGCTGTGCTCGGCAATCATGGTTCTGATGATGAGCCCCGAGCCCGAGAAGACGCCCGCCAGGGCCCTGGTGACCATCATCTGCCAGATCTTCTGGGTGAAGCCAAACATGGCGGTCGTGAAGCACATGCCGACCACGCTGGCGATGAGCGTGGGCTTTCGCCCGCACCGGTCGGCCAGCTTGCCCCAGAAGATGAGGACGACCATCTGGACGGCGGAGAAGAGAGACTCGACGAGGCCCGAGTAGAAGCCCACGTCGGACTCGGGGAGGTGGCCGTTGCGCTGGACCATTTGGGCGATGAAGGGGAAGATGGAGAAGAAGGCGATGGGCTCCATGACGCGGGCGTAGCAGAGCAGGAAGATCTGCAGCTTTGGCAGCGGTTTGCTGGGCGGCGAGCCATGGTCGTCACTGACGATGTTTGTCTCAGGGGCCTGAGGCTCGAGGAGCGTGGACGCCTCTGCGTTGACGTGAGGCGCGTCCTCGTCGAGAAGGCGCGTCCGCTCTGTCGGCTCAGAGACATGATGGGCTGCTGATGAGGAGGGCATCTTGTCGAAACGGCTCAATGATGGTAACGCAGAAAGTCGCGAGGGGCGTTATGGCAGAGATAAAAGAAGGGATAGTCCGCGTCCACGCATAGCGATGCAGGAACATGCACTGTTCGGTGACGGCTTGTTTGTGTGTGTGAATCGGTGGTTTGATGAGTGCAGAACGGAAATGACGCCGATTACGGAGGCCTTCTTCACCCAGGGCAGACGGTCAAACCGTCAGACCGACGGAGAAACGGGGCTTGGCAATGGGGATAGAGCTGGAATACTACGTATAATCACACATTATCAATCAAGATTTTCCCACAGGGCTTGGTCGACTGGAGCTTGAGAATAGCGATCTAATAAATGAATCAGTCAACAGAAGAGCCGCTACGAATCGACGGATGGCGCTGGAAGCCGCAGCCGCATCCGCACTAAGGCCAACCAGAGCCTAGCCTGCTGTAGTGGGCTAGTGGCTTAATAAGGCTGCGGTCGGACGTCTCCGACTGTGGGGGTGCAATTCACGCCGGCCCTTGATTGGATTGAACGTGGACAGCAGCCTCCAGCATCACCTGAACGGACGAACCACGCAGTGGTGGGCTTGATGACGCTGTGCGAGTACCTACGCTCGATGGATATGAGCATGTGCGATTTTGCTGCCATAAATATGCCTGATTCTCACCCGCGATATACACGATATATGTTTACCGCCACTCACCACGCACGTTGGTGATCCCTCATGTACATGAGGTACAGGGTGACCATGTCAGTCTGGACTCTGGACTTTTGATCCGATCCACCGTATCTTGAGGGACTATGATAGAAGTAGCCTAGCCCAAGCCGTTTTAGGCCAATCGCTCCTGCCGCAGCGCACCTCAGCCATCGATAGAGCGAATTTGGCGGATGCCTGCCTGCTTCGAGCCCTCGACTATGTTTTTCCCGCCCAACTTCACTCGACTGCTCACACGACGAGAAGCGTGAGAATATCACAGCCTACTCACTCACCAGGTCGCCAATCGCTTGCTTCTGGGCTTCCTTGCCTCCCGTCCACGCCCTGCCCTGTCATGTGGCTCTCTAGAGGAGCCGCTCGATGACAGTAGGAGGAGCACCTGCGCGCCTGGAGGGGCCGGCTTCGGCAACGTCAAGTGACCGAAACGCGGGCGCATCAAAGATCAGCGCCATGAACCCCCCCTATGTGGCAGTCGACGCGGCGTCCACTCCGCCGCCGGGCAAGTCCAGCATACGTGAGTGCCATATACACAGGCGCAGCCGAGCGCAAGACTGACAATTGCCAGCATGCCTGGTCTGCCGCTCAAGGAAGGTGAGTGAGCACGATGACGCGCGACAGATGAGATGGATGGGATTGAGGCTGATGTGTGACAGGTCCGGTGTGACAAGACACTGCCAGAGTGCCGCAATTGCGAGCGCTTGGGTGTCAAGTGTCCGCGGTACAACGTGGACACGCAGACCATCTCCCGCAGCGAGATCAACAAGTCGGCAGAGGACATCTTCAAAGCCGCCGGCGTGGAGAAGCGACGGGTGGGCTCGTGCGAGGAATGTAGGAACTCCAAGCACCGCTGCACACGCACGCGACCATCGTGCAGGAGATGCATCACCAAGGGCCTGCCGTGTTCTTATCCAGACAAGGCGGACAGGCATGACGCAAGTCGATCGGTCCAAGACTCGCCTGAGCCGTCTCCAGTGTCGCTAGGTCAACATACAGCGACGCAAGGCACGACCCCATATGAGACAAGTTATGCGGTGCCCCAAGGGCAAGGCACCGGATGGGACCAGTCAGTTGCGCTTGATGATGTGAGATATCGGCCAGTACTAATGTCCTCCCAGAAGACTATACACGGATACGTTGCCTGAGGACCGCACACTGCGCACCGAGTTGGTCGAAACCTTTTTTGATCGCTCGCATTCTCTGAGATGCCTGGGCTTCCTCCATCGCGAGACATTTTTGCACTCTCTGGAGCGGGAGAGCGTCGTGCAAGACTACGGACAACCCCTCTTGTATGCCATGTGTGCGTTGGGCGCGAGGTGAGTTTGGGGATGCTGCGCAATGTGGCCGGTCTGTACTAACCGAGCAGGCACCTTCACTTTGATAGCATCGCCGAAGGGAAACCCGTGGCAGCTGAGTCGCAAGGCGTACCAGGGGCACTTTGGGCCGAGCGAGCCCGCAGGGATGTCCTCATGGATGTGGCCTCGCCCAGTGTTAACCATATCATGGTAAGTCGGTCTTGGGTATCTCTAATGGACTAGCTAATGTCGATAGGCAATGGTGCTGTTGTGTGACTACGGCGTGCGCTCGGACCAGAACTCCATGGTCTTCGTCCTCGTTGCCTTTCTGTACCGCGTCATCCGTCTGCACGGGCTGGATAGTGTCGATGTCCATGAAAACCTGCAAGACTATGACGCTGCCCGCCAGAGGGAGGTCGAGACGAGACTCGTATGGGCTTGCTACTTTATTGACCTTTTCACGGCGACGGGCGTCGAAAAGAATGCCTGTTGGCATGGAGAACCGACCCTTCCATTGCCCATCCTGGACCGTACTCATGTCACCCACTACGTCCAAGCCCGGCATACCCTCAAGTCGATCGATGCCAACGGGGTGCATGCGGCTTTGAATGACCTGGACCTCTCCGGCATCCTGGTTCTTGTCGTTCGGTTGCGCCGCACCAGCCTTCGCCTCATCCGCACACACGCTCAAGATCTGGACATGCCCATATGGAATCCTGCATCGCCCTTTTTGCAGAACATACAAAGGCTCGACGAGATATACCAGAACCTGCCCCCACGGTACCAGCTGACCGACGCCAACATACCTATTCTTAGAGAGCGGCGCATCCTCGGTGGCGTCTTCCTTCTGCATTTTATGCTGCATGCCGTGGCATCTGACTTGACGAGGATATCTCTCCCCGGCTTCAACTTCCCTCTGGCCCCCATCTTCAACTCGGCCACCTCCGAATTCCGCTCGCACTGCCAGGAACGGTGTAGGCATCACGCGCGGCAGACGACGAACCTCATCCGGCAAGGCCTGAGTATTGGTCGCGGCGCCTTTGATGATATTTACGCCGCGGATGCCGCCCTCGAAGCCGCCAAGATCCAAATCATCTATGCTGCTACCGTGAACCAGTCGCCCGAGGTCATTCAGGAGACACGAGACAATCTCACGAATGTGCTGTACTTTTACGACCTGTTTCACAAGGGCAAGAGTGGGACAAGTCAATATGTAAATGGTGCCCGTCTGGAGCTCGGTTCTGTGCTAACGATTGTAGATCCGAACGGTGATGCCGCTTTGCTTTCTCTTTGGGTTCCGCGACGTCGCTGAACCATACCGACGCCGGGGATAGTAAGTACAATTGACAATGTGCTTTGCTTTGATACTGATGCCGTACAGCGCCGACGACAACGAGGCCGAGGTCATCGGCTCGGCGGATATCGATCACCTCTCTCGTTTCGCCCCGTTCCGGCGCGCCAGATCGGAACTCAAGGCCAGCTCGGTGCAGAGCCCCGTGAGCTCGTCTTCAAGGCACACCCACCCGTCTCCGGCAAGGCAGGATAGCAGGACTCTGCCGCCTCTCATGGTACCCCCCACGACGGTGCCCAATACTCCCCAAAGCCAGCCGCGCCATACGCAAATGCTGCCCGTCTTGCGACCTGCGTACAGCTCCTTCGCGCCACCTGATCCTGTGGTCGTGGACCAGAATTACTATCCAGTCCAGAGCACGCTGCCGCCCATTAACTCGCAGATGATGAGCATGGTGTCAGACACGATGGTTGGGCAGCCGACCATGGACGACTACATCCGCACAGCCGGCGACATGGCGGGCTACCTGACATGGGACCAGATGGAGATACCAGCGTCGCTGAACTATGCCAACTTTTTCCCTGATGGGTAAGGCTCCTTCATGCGGGTGGGACGACTTTCTTCAAGAGTTCTGGGGTGATCTCGGGTCGGCCAATGTACTTGATCCAGGCATATGGGTCTTCCATCTCGTCGAGCAGGGCGTGTTGGCTGCCCACGTCCGGGACAGGATACTCGCCGGCGACACCGACAACACCGACGTCATCCTTGTACTCTTGCCAGAGCTGCATCATCTCGTCGAACACTTGGGGGTGTTCCTGGCACAGGTCGTTTGTCTCGCCTGGATCGTCCCGAATGTTGAAGAGCTCCCATCGCTGAGGCCCCCTGGGCGCCGGCACAAAGGTGACTTTCCAGTCGCCCCTCCTCAACGCGCCGGAGCCTGCGCACTCGAAACCCATGACATAGTCTGGACCGTGGACGCTGGGCTTCTCCGCCCTTGCCGTGTCGTTGAGCAGGGACAGGAACTTGACCCAGCTACGGCCCCTGACGGGGGCGATCTGTCGCCCTTTATATTCCGTACCGGGGTGCTTCACCTGCGCGAGATCCAATATTGTTGGCACAACGTCCATGACGCTGCAGAACGCATCGGTGATCACCCCCGCGCTGCCCTTGGCGCCCATGGGAGGCTTGACCACCAAGGGCACGCGACACCCGCCCTCTGTGGAGTGCATCTTGAACAAGCGGGATGGGGCGGTGGCGGCCTGCGCCCAGCGGCACCCATACCACACGAAGCTGTTTCCCCTTCCAATGTTGTCGAGGCTGTTGTCATAGTACTTGTGGACGTGGGCTTGGATACTTTCGCCCACGATTGGCTGTGCCTCATAGCTGGCGCCTTCGGCGCCATTGTCACTCATAAAGAGGATGAAGGTGTTGTCGTACTCCCCAGTGGCCTTGAGGTGGTCTAGCACCCGACCAATGTTCCAGTCCATGCGGTCGACCATACCGGCGTACACCTCCATGGCGCGACAAGAAGCTTGCCGGATCTCCTCGGGGAGTTCGTTCCAATTCTCGTTGGTCCCGTCTGTCATGACCATGGGGTGGGGCTTGACGCCTGGCTCGACCATGCCGAGCTTCTTGAGGCTCTCCAGCCTCTCCAGTCGAAGTGCATCCGGACCGGCGTCGTATCGACCGCGATACTTGTCGCAGACGTCCTTGGGCGCCTGCATGGGCCAGTGAGGCGCAGTGAAAGGCAGATAGGCGAAGAAGGGTTTGGATTTGGCCTCCTCGTCGCGCTCCTCTAGGTACGAGATCATCTTGTCGGCATAGGCGTCGCTGCTATACCAGCCGTCGGGCAGCCTAGGCAGGTAATGGTCGTCTTCGACATGGAGTGCCCGGGTCGCCGTCTCAAAGAACTTTTCCGGCTCCGTCGTCGGGTCATCGTACTGAGGCTCATAGGCATAATGGTTGGCGCAGCCGGGCAACAGTGCGTACGACCTCTGGAACCCGCGAGCGATGGGGTGATGTTCCGGCTTCAGGCCGAGATGCCACTTGCCGGACATGAGGGTCAGGTAGCCTCCCTCGGACAACAGCTCTGGGAGGGCCACAACGCGCTCGTTGAGATAGCCTTCGTGACCGGGCGCGTGTGCGTGTGCTGGCGAGTTGCGTGTGATCTCCTGCAGCTGTCCTAGGCCGGCGATGTGGTGGTCGGTCCCCGTCATCAGCATGGACCGTGTGGGCGAACACGCGGCGGCCACATGGTAGTTGTTGAAGCGTATGGCCTCGGCAGCTAGGGCATCGATGTGAGGTGTCTGGATCTCGGAGCCAAAGCAGCCGCAGTCGCTGAAGCCGAGGTCGTCTGCGACGATGACGAGGAAGTTGGGCCTCTTGGCGCTGCCGGACGACATGACGAGAGTTCCTGGCAATGACAACGGTGGACTTGCGTGTGTGGAAGGCACCCACAGAGCGGCTACGGCTACATATTTATGATCGTCATCCTAGGCGAAACAACCGGACCGCAGGTGTCATCCCCACTTGGCAACGGAAGTCGCTGGCTAGGCAAGGCAGGCTAGGTTTCGGGATGGTGGGTGGCTGGCTAGGCGCGTACATACCAAGTAGTAGATGCTGGCAGGTGTCAAGCGGGTTACTTTTATTCATTATCTTTCCGAAGATTTGACTTTGTTGCTGGGGCTGGGCAGCACGTCATTCGCTCGTGAGCATCGGGAGACGCATTCACAACAAGGTCAAGGGTTCTGGGAGGCTGCACCAGGGACGAGCAGCAGCAGCGGTATCTAGGTTCCCCGCAGGAAATGGCGCTGCGCTCAGTGGCCCGTCTGAAGCCACTGCCGGCCGTTATCGTCAAACAGACAACATGCCATGATGCACGCCGAGTCAGAGGCGCGCGCAAGTCGGCCTGGGCCTGCAAGTACCGGCGGGAGGGAGTGGAAGTGGCATCCATCCATCCGCGTGCGACGGGTCTCGCTCTGGGCGACAGGCGCATCCGGGCTCCGGTTCGCTGCGTCTAGCGTGGAATGGGACCCAACATGGTGAGGAGGAGGAGGAGGAGGAGGGAGAGGAGGAGTCGCAGCTCACATGGAGTGGGCTGGCGAGAAGCGGTGGGTCAGCAGGGATCGGTAAGGAATCTAACCTACCTTAATCAATTGTATATATATGACCTTGAAGCGCCCACCTCTTCTCTTCTGACGATGCGCAGACACGGATGGCAGGCGATGAATGTGGCCTCGCGATCAAGATGCTTGCGCGGCGAGTCTCCACGACTCCACCATCTACGTCGACACTGCAGAGCCGACTAATAATAACCTGACGAGACCGCAGCCCCAAACTGAAAAGACTCGCTGTCTCGAGAGGCACTGCATGGGAAGAAGGGATGGGCTCACGTATTGCGTGCTCGCAAGGGAGGATGAGCGATTCTCGAACACCAGACCAGACCTGGGGAGAATGAGGGGAAGTCCGCCATTCCGCTCAATGACGCTGTCGGGCTCGGCTCTATTCCATCTACCTTATTAGTTGGGGGGGCGCTATCGAAGGCGGCGGCGAACCCAGAAAACTCGACTCGACTCGCAGGAAGCCGGGCGTCTCGTCTCCCCCTCATCTTTTGCCTCATCCTCACTCGACCATTGAACCTCACGACGTCCAGCTTGTGTGATGAGCCACATCGTCTCGCGCCCTACCGACGCCGAATTGAATTGATCTGCGCATGCATGCAGCAGCGGACGAGCAAGCCATGGCCAAAGACGATGTGTCTGCTCGTCCGCAGCGGCTTAGCGCGCGCGCGCGCCTCGGGCACTTTAACAAGATGCTCGTCTTCATCATGCTGTACGACTTGGCCTCTTGAACCCCAGAATGAATGAACCATGTCTGACAGGGCAGCTACCTCGCGTGCTGCGCGCTCAACTACGGCTACGACGTTGGCACCTTTTCCGGCGTCCAGGCCATGCAGAGCTTCCAGCGCGAGTTTGGCGCGTACAACCCCGACACGGGCCTGTGGGCGCTGCCGGGCTGGCTGTCGAGCGTCATGACGGCGACGCCGTTCTTTGGCAAGGCGATTGTGTGTGCTTGAACCTGGTGCTCGATCTTGGACTGGAACGAGACGGTTGACCAGTTATCTCTCTACTAGGGCTGCATCGGCGCTGGATGGATTGCCGAGCGATGGGGCCGCAAAATGGCCATTCTTGGTCTCTGCATCGCGTCTGTCATGTGAGAGTTACCATTTTTTTTCTCTTGTGCAAGTACTGATCCCCAGGACAGCGGTGCCGTGCTGCAGGTCACGGCGACGACGGCGGCGCAGTTCACCGTCGGACGCATCATCTGCTACGGCATGACGGGCATGGCCATTGTCGTGGTGCCCATCTACCAGGCGGAGACGTCGCCTCGCGTGCTGCGCGGCATGTTTGGCTCGACGATCCAGGTCATGATTGTGTTTGGCCAGCTCATCGCCACCCTCATCGCCTTTGGCACGCAGCACATCCCCGACCGGAAGGGGTGGCAGATCCCCATTGGGCTGCAGCTCCTCGTGCCCGCCGTCATCTCTGCGCTTCTGCCGCTGCTGCCAGAGAGTCCGCGCTGGCTGCTGAGCCGGGGCCGCAGAGCGGACGCCGTGGTCGAGCTGCGCAAGCTACGGGCCGGCAAGGGTGAGGAGGCCATCCAGCTGGAGATTGAAGCCATCGCGTACGCCCACGCCCACGAGGAAAGGGGCACCTGGCGCGAGGTCTTTGACGCGAGTAACAGGACCCGGACGGGGGTCGCCATCCTCGCGATGCTGGGGCAGCAGATCACCGGCCAGGCGTTCCCTTCCCAGTATGGCGTGCTGTTCTACCAGTCGCAGGGCTTCCGGTCGCAGGCGTTTCTCTTCAATGTCATCTCCAACGTTGTGAGCATCACCGCCGTGGCCATTACGTGGTTCTACGTCGATGCCGTCGGGCGTAGACCCGTCTTGCTGCTTGGCGGTTCGCTCATGGGCGCGTGGCTGTATGTCATGGGCGGCATTGGGACCATGCCCAAGGACAGCCTCAACGTCCACGAGAGGGACCTGATTGTGACGTCGCTCATGATGTTCTCCTTCTTCTACAACCTCTCCTGGGCGCCTGTGTAAGCCAAGACCTATCTCTTCTTCTCCTCTGCTGTCCATGCTCATCCGTGTCTGTACAGATCCTTTGTCATCGTCTCCGAAGCAGCCGCCCTGCGCGTCAAGGAGAAGACGAACCTGCTCGCGTGCGTCATCTCGGTCCTGACCACCTTTGTCACCTCCTTTACCGTGCCGTACCTCATCAACGAACAGTACGCCAACCTCGGCGGCAAGGTCGGCTTCATCTACGGCTCGACCAACTTCTTCATGGTCGCGCTCACCTGGCTCTTTATCCCCGAGCTCAAGGGGCGCACGCTCGAAGAGGTCGACCAGCTGTTTGCGAGCGGCGCCCCTCTGCGGCACTTTGGCCGGTTGACGACGAGGACGGCCGAGGAGGTCTACCGCGTCGAGGTCGCGCGCGGCAAGGGAGATGACGCTGTTGGGAACGAGGGGATAATAGGGGAGGGATCTCGCAGTGTCTGAAGGAGGAGATGAGAATGAAGTTGCTGTTTCTTTCCATCGTCAGCTGACCCAGCCGTGTTTCATATGCATGTTCGAGTGAGTGGTCCGTATGTTTCTGTGAGATTATGTGTATGCATGTCTGATCGTGTCTTGCTGCCAGGTACTCCGTACAGCCGAGAGATTTCATCTCGTGGGGCTTGCATTAGTATCCATGTAAAGATTAATTATTTGCTTTATTATCTACCTAAGCGGTAAGGGAATACTTCCATGGCCAGCGATATGAGAATATGTACGCGAAGGATTACATATCGTCAAGCCTACATGAAGTAGGCACCATCAATGATGAACGAGAAGAAATAGAAAGGGGTATTTTTGAATTCCACAAGCCGCCAGCGTCCCTACACCTGCGTACCGAGGAAGTCGAGGATGGTGGCAAACACATCGGGGGCCGAGTACCCAAAGTGCAACCCGTGCGCCGCCTTTGGCACGACAGTGGCGTTGAAGACAGACGCCTGGGGGAACATGGGTGCAGACGCCTGGATGAGGTTGTCAAATTTGCCATCAACGGGCGCGGTGCCCATGCAGTCACCGCCGCAAAAGGGCACGTCCCGCTCGCCGGTGATGATCATGCACGGGCCGGCAAAGGCATTGATCTCACCCGTGCCGACGCCGACGGTGAGGAGCTCCCCCGTGGTATGCGGCTGAGCGTGTGCAAAGCCAAAATCGAGAATATCCGGGTCAAATTCGCCGCCGGGGGGCAAAAAGGCAATGTGGACGCCGACAGCGCTGCCGGCGGCGATGTAGCCCTCTTCGTACCGTGCGGCCAGGGCGGCGACCTCGCGGACGGGGACAAAGTTGGCGCCGAGGGCGAATTGGCCCAGAAAGTCGGAGATCTGGCTGAAGCCGGTGAGGACGATGCCCTGGCTGATTTTTGGGTCGTCGTTGACGAGGTTGTACGTGATGGCGGACCCAAACGAGTGGCCGAGGTGGACGATGGAGTGGTAGGGCGTGGGGATGTCGCAGACCTTGCCGGCGCGCAGACGCTTGGTGAGGGCCTTGAGGGCGGCCACCTCGAGGGCGAGCTGGGTCTCGTTGACGGTGTCGTCGGGGTGCGTGGACATGCCGACGCCCAGGCGGTCCCAGGTCAGGGTCGAGTAGCCGTGGACATCGACGGCCTCGGCGACGTAGCTGTACTTGGGGGCCTGGAAGGGGAGGTCCCAGTAGGACCTGTCAAAGCCGACGCCGTGCGTCATGACCTGGAGGGTGTGGCCTGGGCCGTCGTCTGGCTCGCAGTATGTGGTCTGGAGCACGTAGTGCCCTGATACCTTGGCGGTCTGTCCATTTATGTGTCAGCCCTTCTGATGGCTCGCTTGCTGAGGAGTATCAGGGGTACTTACACCAGTTGTGAGTGCGCCTGGAAAGTTGGCGCCCTGCTGGGCCAGGTTGAGATAGAAGTTGGTCACGTCAATCTCTGTGGTCGGCGGCTCGAGGTCGAAGACCATGTTCTCCGCGGAGATGGAGACGGGCACCTTGATATCGTGACACTTGCGCGCCAGTGCCAGTGTCGCTGTGCTCACCACCGCCAGGAGAGTTGTCGACTTCATGTTGTTGACCGCTAAGGAGGATGAGAGGAGTGGCAGTTGGGGGATTAAAGAGAGTGGGCCAGCTGACTGAGAAGAGGAGAGAGACGATCTTCGGATGGCGGGAGAGGCGATCGACTTATTCAACGGGGATGTCGAGAGCTTATTATACCTAGCCGTCGATAGACTAGCCGAGTTGCTGTTGGTCGTGCAGTTTGTCTCGGCTGGCGATGCGAGTCTAGTCTTGGACGGCCGTCCGCACTCTGTCCTCTCAGGAGTCCAGGATAGGGCCACATCGTCGTGCCCCCTACCTGTGCCCTCATCTCCCGATGTTCTTGTCGCCGCTGGAGATCCGCGCGGGACACCCTTGGGTACATGGCGCTAGAGTTGACAAACAGCTTGGCATCACTACGCGGTGCTGTCTGCAAGGAAAGCCGATGTGTGCGGGTCTCAGCCCCTCCCGCTCTGCCGCTGAGCTTGGATCAATCTAAATGAATAGTGACTGGAGTTGAGATTGCGATTGAGATTCCCATCTGTTTGACACTCTCGGCCTTGACGACGGTCTCTGTGGGACCTGGGTGAACCGTGGACGTGGTCGCGGGCCAGGGAGCCCAAGTGGCCAGTTCGCATGTGAGATCTGGGATCGTGTGATAACTGACAGACAGTTCATTTTCTCTTCTCCAATCTGTGATGACAAGTGCCGGATCCTGTACGGTCCGGAGATATACGGTAGTCGTGTCCACCTAGTGCATGCCCGACAACAAGTTGGTTTGGAGTTCAGAGCGCGCTCGTGCAGTGCTCCAAGAGCAGTCTCCTCATCTCTCCTCACGCGTACAGTGGCAAGACCAACGTGATTGCTTTTGCTGGCTCGCGCTCCATGTCCAGAGGCAGCAAAATTGCCCGAGCAGAGCGGAGGAGGATATGTGTGTCTCAGTCCCTAGCGCCTGGGGATCGGCGGGATTAATGAGGATATGCAGATCTGCCGTTGGCCGCGCGCCGGGCTGGGTGTCAAATTGTCATTGCGTCCCCCGGGGAGTGGATCGCGAGAAAAAGCAAGAGTCGGCGTTTGTGTCTTTGTGACCTCGGCTGGTTGGTGACGGGGCAGCTGGATGCGGAGGAGAAAGGACAGGGTGACTGCGTTCAGGCCCTTTGATGGATAATGATCGAGGGGTCTTCTGCCGGCATCAGCTATTCATGATGAACGATGAACTTTTGGCCGATGCATCCTGCGGCGCGGTGATTTGATAGATGGACATCGTCGAGCGGAGGTGGTCAAGGTCTTGAACGGCGCACTAACATGTGGAGGGGCAAGATTGTACTAGAGATTGTTAGTGTGCCGTCATTGAGCTCAAGCCCTGTCAGATCGGCCCTAGAGATGTCGGTTCTTCAAGCTATCGCTGGCGACACAATAGCGTCAAGTGTGGCGCCTCTGACCAATTGCTCCTTTAAATCAGACATGGTGCGGAGAGAGAGACCTGCGACTCTGGTTGAGCGGATTGGAAGTTGACAATTGCAGGATCATGGTTCACACAGAAGTTCAAGTTAGGCATCCCTCAGTCGTCACTCAGGGGAGCGGCGCATCGCCTTAACGGAGATACATCGAATACGACATGTTCTCTGTGCAAACGGAAGTAACCCCGCTAGCACGATCCTCCCCGCACTCACCACCAGACCCTGAATCTATGATGCGCTGGTCTATGGCCTCGCCGCCTCACTCTCTCGCGAGCTGCTGTCGCGCCGCTCTCGCGCTCATTCATTGCAGCTCAACTATCTAACCCAGGCGACCTTGGAGACAATCCCATTGCTACTGCAGTCATGACCAGCGCGCAGCACATCCACGTCAAGGACCTCGACGACTGGGCCAACCGCCTGCACGCGCAGCCACGACGACCGCTGCTCATACACCTCAACGCAGACACGACATGGCTCGTCCAGATCCCTTACCCGTCGTCAGCAGTCCCTCCCAGCGGTCGGACACATTACAACGTCCTCCTCGACCCGTGGCTGCAGGGACCCCAGAGTGACGTCGCCTCTTGGTTCAGCACCCAATGGCACGTTGTGCCCCCCAGCGTCGCGACAATCGCGGAGTTAAATGTCATCCTACGAGACCTCGAGGCGCGACGGGCCGACGGAAACTTCACAGGCGACAGTATGATCGACTTGGTGGCCATATCGCACGAGTTCACGGACCACTGTCACAGAGCGACGTTGGAGGAGTTACCCCAGACCACGCCCATCTTCGCCACCGACGTCGCTGCCGACCTCATACGAGGATGGGCGCACTTTGACACCGTCGTCACCACGCCTGCCCTCGGCGACGGCGTCGACTGGAAGAGGTTGACAGTCGGGAGCCTGCCGCCCTGGCTCGCCATCGGGAGGGTCACCACCCCCGGCAACGCGCTCTACTACCACTCCGCCGTCTTCATCGCCTTTGACCTCGCAGGCCAGGGAGCCGCCGAGGCCATCATCTACTCCCCCCACGGCATCGAGAGCAAGGACCTCCTCGCGCTGTCCGCGTCGGGCGTCAGCGCGCTGGCCCTGCTCCACGGCCTGCATGACGTGAGTATCTGGATGACCAAGCAGCTCAATCTCGGGGCTCTCAACGGTCTGCGTGCCGTGAGCGCCTGCGGCGCAAAGTACTGGATCGCGACGCATGACGAGGTCAAGACGGGCGGCGGTCTCATCGCGCCGTTCCTGCGGCGGGTACAGTATTCCGTCAAGGAGGCTGTGGCGCACCAGGAGAAGCAGATGCGGCAACAAGAGGGCAAGGCGCCGGACTACGAATTCGTCGAGCTGGGCGCTGGGGATGGGTTGCGATTGGACTAATGAATCTTCTCTATTCTTCAATACCCGGCAGACCGGCCTACAGCTCGTCCTTCAGCTCCAGCTCGATTTGCAGCTGCGTCACCATGCCCACACCGGCAAACATGCCCATGTACATGGCCTGCATGACGCTCTTGATCGGCGTCGCCGCGTCGCCCACCGCAAACACGCCCTTGACGCTCGTCTCGTTCATGGGCGGGTTGGCCTTGATGTCGCCGCCCGGCGTCATCTCTAGCCCCAACTGTTCGACCAGGCTGCCCGCGCGCTGCTCGACCTTGGGGTGGCTCGCGAGGAAGCCTTCCGTCTTGGTCGTCCCGTCCTCAAAGGTAATCTTGACGTGAGGGCCCTCGCCTACCAGGCTGAGATGGTCGATCACCCGGTTGTCGACGATGATCTTGGACGAGTGGATCTTGGCCTTGAGCTCGTCGACCAGCTCCGCGCGGCCGTTTGTGTAGATGATTACGTTCTTCGCCAGCCGCTTGGCCATGCGCGAGACGTGGGTGATCATGTCTGCGGGTGGCATGGGGTTCGTGGGCGCCGTCATCATGTCGTTGACGAGGAACCCAGCCGTCTCTGTGCCGCGCTCCTCAAAGCCATGGCAGAAGAGGCAGTGGAAGCTATCTCTGCCGTTAGCATCGCCGCTCTCTCAAGACACGGAGGATCAGTGTAGACGTACATGCCACGTCCCCAGCACTCCTCGTATCCCTTGACCTCATCCTCGGTCCGGTCCCGCACGCCGCTTCCCAGACCGAGCTTCTTACCGCGCCACACGGCGCCCTGTCCATCCGATACCTCAAAGGTGCCATCGTCAGCCCTTTTCACCTCCTTGATCTCAGTTGTCTGGAACTCGATACTCTTGTACCGCTTGACGAGGTCGGCCTTGGCCTTGGCCCTGAATTCAGCAGGGTCGACGTGGTCGAACCCGGGGACGTTGTGCATGTGCTTGGACACCGCGTTTCGGTACCGCCCCGAGTCGAGGACGACGGCCGTGTGTGTCTGTCGTGCGAGAGCTGTGGCGATGGACAGGCCGCCGGGGCCACCGCCGATGATGACTACGTCGAAGAGGGTCGGTGACATTTTGAGAGAGACCATGAGGCTAGCAGAGGATCTGCTTCAATTTAGGAGACCGAAGAGCAGATTGGGGGTTCTTGAAATGATTATATGACTAGAAATCCACGGGCTTCCCTGGGGAACTTATATCCCTCGAAGCTCTGCAATTCAATCCCCGGGCACTTTCTACGGAGACTTTACGGTGCCTTCGTCTTATTACTCCATATCCATCCGGAGGAACCACGCGGCCCCGCTCGGGATTCCGTCGTGGACACCGGACCTATTTAATACATAATACCCGGCAGTTGCAATCAATCAATCATCAGAGAACAGACACTCCCATGTAGGAAAAGAAAAGAAGTAAATTGAATACCAAACGCCAAATTTCCCAATTCCGTTCGCTATGCAAGATCTACACAAGACACGTGTAAATACTCAAACATGTCCACTGTACACTCGCTGTACACATCCTCCCTCGGAGGATCGCCGTCACTGGCCTGATCAATCGTCGTCGCCTAGCAACACCCAGGGACCTGCAGGATCCTGGACCTCCCGCTGTGAGGGCGAGTCGTCCAGCTCGCTGTCGGTGAAGCAGTCGTAGTCGGACAGCGAGTCGTTCATGAGGTCGGGGGGTTGCGAGGTATCGACGTCAAAGGAAGGACGGGATGTGGCGAGTTCGTAGATGACGCGCAGGGGCGCCGTCTGTTGCGATGCCCGGCGCGAGTGTGTAAATGATTGCGAAGAGGCACTGCTGGTGTTGTCCTCCTGCGAGGCCAAGTACGGGGCGAGGTCGTTGTCCGTGCCCAGGTCGGCAAAGGACAGGTTAAGGGGGAGACTCTCGTTGTATTGTTGGTCGCCGTTCCTCGACTTGTGGTGGCTGCGACGACGGGCGGGGCGGATCGAATAGGCAGGCGCCTCGTGCTGAATGTCGTTCAGGTGGATGTCCGAGTCCGTCTGTGCTTGCGCTTGCGAATCCTGCTCGTCGTAGAGAAGACCCATGCGATAGAGCTCGGCAACCTGCGCATCATCCCCCAAGGGTCCCGCCGCCATCTGCTTTACAACCTGGACGCGACTCTTGGTGCGGGCGTCGCAAAAGGCGTCTTGCCGCTCTAGGCTGGGACATCGCTGGAGCTTTCGGTCGCTGGGTAGCTCAATCTTGCTCCTGGCGAGCTCGATGGAGCTTTCGTGATTGAGGTTGGTGGTGAGACGACCTCGCTTCGACCGCCTCTGCGGGCTCTCCTCCTGGTGATGCTTCCAGCGCAGATCCGCCTCGATGTGTTGTCGCAGCCGTGCCGGGTCTTTGATATCCTGCTGGGCTCGCTTGAGGTCCTGACACTCTTCGCGGCTGGTGAAGCCGATACTCTTGCAGGGGAGCTGATCTGGATGCTCGGTGCGATACTGCTTCGCTGCAGCCCGTAGACGGTGGTTGAATGTCCGCCTGCGCTGAGAATGCTCTCGCTTATTGATAAAGTGACGATCCCCGCCTAGTAACATGGTAGGAATGTCGCCTGTTGGTGTGTCCATAGTGATGTCCATGGTGGGTGGTGTGTTGTAAATCGATGTGCTGAAGTGGGTTAACAGTCTACGGTAGGTGTCGTGATGAAAAACAACAGGGCCAGATAATCCTGAAAAGAATGCAGAGAGCGAAGCAGAGGAAGACCTGCTAGCAATCAGGGGAACAGGAACTAGGCTTATATTGAATCGATGCCTATGCTGTGTGGCAGGCGATAAGGCTCCGGCCGGCCATCAGCGTTTGGCCTAGTACGTACCGACCACTACTGGGCTCGATGGACGCGAACAAACAAGCAGAGCGGCCACCGTGGGACTCCGGAGACAAGGGCGCGTGTTGCGTGATTGGCCGGATGGGGAGTCATATGGTCGGAATTGTGCAATAAAAGCAGAAGGGTGTGGAATTACGCTGCTCGCTGGAGAGGGCGCATGACCGTGAGTCACCTATCGCGAATCGGGCCTGGGCGATGATGGTGGCATTGCCGCATGGAGGTGCCCTCGGCTTTCTGTGTGGCGCAAGCGATTCAAGGCGGCGGCCGGATGCGGTTCGACAGTGTGACTAGGCATGGCGTCACCCGCTCTAGGGGGAATCGGGGAAGCCTTGTCGTTCACAGCAGTGCCTCGAGGCCGATGGGCTTACGGATCCGTGACGAGTGAGATTGGTGCATTGATAGAAGTCTGGCGTCTCAGTTGTGTTGTGGATGGGACATGGACTGGACTCCATTTCCAGTCATCGCGCAATGCAAGATGGTCACGGGGCTCCTGCTGTCGACGTTCACAGGCCTGGGGGACTGGAGGGAAGGAAGCCTGGAGCTGAGCGTCTTACAGCGCTTGGCTTCGCTGCATCCCCCTGTAGCCCGTCTCAGCCCAGGCCTGGGTCCATCCGCCAGGCTCCAGACGGGGACTGGAGTCCAGACTGACATGCTCAGGCTGTGTGACCTTGGAGGCTTGTTTGGACATCACCAGCGGCTTCGCGCCTTGAAACCAGATCCGGTTCAGGGTCGCGCCCAACGTCATAATTGCTGGCTTGATGCAAATGGTGAAACCGCTGGTACCGCAATCAGGGCGAGGAATGCGCAAGATCACCGATGCATCCGTGAGACCGCAAGCACTCAAGGTCTGGTCTGTTATCTTCAATCTGAGCCGCTACGCTACGCTACGCATGGGTACGTACCGGAGTTGCTTGCTGATAAGAGGAAGCCCGATAAGCGCCGCCGTACCCGGTATTCTACACCCTCCATCCTCCCGCTTGCGTCGTCTGCTACCATCAACTCAAGACGCATCACCCTCACCCTATTGGACGCGCACCGTCAAAGCACACCCAGCATTCAGACAGCTCGGCATTTGCACATCATGTGCGAGACATGCACCAGCGACTTGACAGTCCCATGACAGCGGCACTCCCAACGACGCCAACAAGCACTCAATTCTTCGCAACACTCGCGACCGTCTACATCAATGGTCCAACTCCATCTTCTCAAGGTAGGTCTTGATATCAGTCGTGGCGATCCCACGCTCGTGATTGATCGTCTTCTCCCGTGGCCACGCCACTCCCCTTCCCTGCGCAAATGCGTCCCAGTACTTGAACCTACCACTAGGATTGTCCGCCATCTCCTTCTTCAGGGCCTCCAAGTCCCAGAGCTCGCACTGGAAGGATGTGCCGCACCGCGCTTCGACAAGGTCCGCCAGCTGGCCGTAGGACACTGTATCGCCTGCCGTATACACAATCCCACTCTGCTCTGCGAGCTCCTTTGGATGGAGGACGACCTCTGCCACCACGCGACCAATGTCCTCCGGCGTGGTCGCGGTGATGGTCGTATCCCAGCTCCCGAGCGCGTTGACCGTCTTCTTCTTGATGTTGACAATGTTGAACCACGGGTCAAAGAGGAAACTCATAAACACGCCCACCGAGACAATGGTCCATGTGGTCTTGTCTTGTCCGCGGAGCAACTTGCGCACGGCCAGCTGCTCGTCAAAGAGATCCTGCGAGCTGCCCTCGCCAATGACATCGTAGTCCATGCCAAACTGCCATGGAATGTACCTCTTGACGCCAGCGTCCAGGACGGCCTCCGTGATCTTGGTCTGCGTACCGGGTGGCAGGGCCATGCCAGAGCACGAGATGATGGTGTCGTACTTTTTGAAAATGGCGGAGAGCTCAGACGCAGGCGCCGCCGCCATGTCGGCACCTTCAAAGTCCGCGCCTAGGCCCTTGAGGTGGTGCACGGTACGCTTCTTCTCAGGTGCAGCCGTGTCGAGGGTGGACTGGCGCAGAAGAACAGTCAATTTGGCCTGCGAGTGTAGGGGATGCTTGGCGAGGGCTTCCACGACGGCGAGGCCCAGCTCGCCAGCGCCCAGGATGAGGATGTCCTGCTTCATTGTGACTTGTAGGGTTGCGTTATGAGGTCTCTGAGTTGATGAGCTTCATATTTTCCAATGGGCAGATACGCACAACTTATATACACAAGCGCTTTGTGGAATTTCCACAAAGTCTTTGAGGGTTCGATGTCTCTTCGCCATTGTTCCATGCGCTCTGCTGACCTGGACCCCGGATCGGCTATGCACTCTGCTGACAGCATGACGTCTTGTCGGGGTTAAGCGTTCAGGGTATGTGGGGTAAAAGCTCCGGTGAGCTGTTGCTAAACCAGGGACCACGGCTACCCTATGCCTTCTGGGTGGTCGTCGCCGCTGGTGTAGAAGTTCATACAGTATGACCGCAAAATTAGGCGAGTTTATAGTCATAATACACATCTTATAATAAATAACTTTATGCTCGTAGCTGGATACTGTGCCTTGAGAGTATCGGTGCTGCATCGAGTTAGGTGGTAGCTCGTTGCTGACGATGGGTTGTGTCTATATTACAGAAATTGTTCTGTTAACAGAAGTGCATAGTCAGGATCATGTGGTAGAATGAAACCCCCTGGAGAACTACTTCTGCGAGTGGCGCAGATATTGCCGAGACCAAGTTCCTTGCACTCAGGTAATGGACTCCGTGTGGCGGTATAATTAGTATTACAGTCTGGCGCATACACAGCTTCCTCTCAAATAGAACCACGGAAGTTTAAAGTGTCTCCATACAGTGTGCACAAGGCAGTATTCGAACGGTACACTTCAGGACAACATCAGATACCCCGCAACGACTCAGTAAGGGGAGATAGCTCAACCGAGGAAGAATGATGGCTCTTGAAATTGGGATTTAACATACAACACCTTTCAAAAAACGCTCGCCAAATCAGAGTTACAAAGCCATGGCGGAAGACATTCCAAGTCTTGTCGACTCAATCAAAGGATTGCGGCTCGCTCATGGGACGACCGTGTTGCCTTGCGCAGATTCTGATCGCGCGAGCTCACATCAGATAATCCTCGTCGACGCACTGCGAGCCCTCATACAATCTGCCGAAGCTACCAACACACATGCACGAGAAGTCTTGCCCTTGGCCAAAGCCAGTCCTACTTTGAGTAGCCAAGACATCGCGCAACTAAGCTCTCTAAGAACAAGAGCCAACGCTCTTGCAAGCATCACAAAGACGTTCAGCGATGCCTGCGAACGCTTTTTTGTAGCTTCTATTACGTCCCTTGCAGTTCAGGAAACATTGGCGCGAAAGATGCTGTCGCACTTCGATGATAAGGTCAAGAGCATTGCTCGCGATGTTCTCAATAGCGCCGGCGATGACACCAACGTTCTACGGGAGATTTTGGAGATGTGCTACAGCCAATCCCTCCATACCTCTGGTACCCTGCACTCCGACAACTATTTCATTCCCTTGGGCGAAGCTAGTCTCGAGTGGCCCTATGACCCCGATTTCGAGAGCGAACAATACTACGAACATGAAGATCGTGCGGCCGACGATGGCTATGCTGCAGCCTTTCGTTTACGATGTGAGCGTAAATCCGAGAGTGAGAGAAAACAACGAGAAGAATGGATTAGGTTCTGGGTTTCGGCGCTCGGTAACTGTCCTGATGGGCCCACATTATTCTATCCAGCAGCAGGTCAATGCCGGCTTGCAGATGTCCCGCGGTACTTATTCCGGGCGTTCGATGATGCAAGCTTAGGCAGGAGCAACAAAAATGTCGTAGCTTCTATGGAGAGTATTTCCACGGAATCGCTGGGCAGCAAACGCGATCTCCTCTCAAGGCCAAGGGAGAGAGCAACACGAATGCTGCATAAGCATCTGACTAATTCATGTTTCGGGGGGGAAGACACTGACAACCTAATGTCGTGGAGTAGTTCTCTACTTTTTGTACTTCAATACGCGATCTGGAGACGCCGGCATTTCAACTCTGACCCTTCTGATGTCAAAATTTGCATGGTCGACACGAGGAAGTTTCCTCATGGGCAGTTCGCTCGAGACAAATCACTGCTTCGGGAGTACAGCAAGGCCCCAAAGCTCGACGAAGAGATAAAGGGGTTTTTCGATTTTCGTCTCGGGAAACCGGATTATGACAATGGAGAGTATATTTCGCAGGGAATCTTGCATCATACTGGGCGGTCTAGCGTCGTATCCTTGGCACAACTCACCGGGGCTGGGCTGCACGATCTTTATCCAGAATTCGCGAATCTCGAGGCTATGAAGTTATGGACGAACCGTGTGAAGGAACTTCGTTCGATATGGTCCTCCGAGCATACAACAACCCAATCCGAGATACGAATAGCCTCTGAGATAGGCAGAGTATGCTTCCATGGGGGGAATGTTCCTGAGGGAGCGTTGCTGCTATTGTCATTCAAAAACCGCAAGCTTCGGGCCACAACAACAACAACAGCAGGTATGTTTAGGTTCGCTATTCCAGCTTTTCTCCCCTTTCTAAAACCAGTGTTTTAGAAGTGCAAGATCATCGAACGGAGCTTGATGAGCTCGGGCCGACCGAGGTCCAGCGATATGTGAAGATCGCTAGAACAATGAAGCTGAAGGCACAAGGCGATAGCGGTGCTTTAGGTTGGCTGGCATCCAATGATACGTCGCTCTTAGAAATGGTCTTTGAATGCACCTGAATGCGATATATTGAGCAAGTTGCGCACATAGTATATAGTATGCATATTGTTTTAATGAAAATGGCACTCTTAGAAAAGGGAATAATTGGGAAATTTAATCACGGTACGAGAGGAAACGATGTTCGGACCTGAAGGGGAAGGTACGGCAGGATATACAGCAACGTCAGTATAAGTGGAATTCAGAAACATTTTCGCTTTGCGCCTTAGTAGATGTTCAGCTTGTGATGAGCTGTGTCATCGTCGTCTCTTGAGGTCCTCTAGGCCGATGTTTTGTGTTGCTCCCGCGAGTCCGCCGAGCCAGGCTCTAATCTGTCCCCCAGCTCACAGTGGTGGTGAGGTGAAGTAAAGCGAAAATCTGGGGCAGGATACGGGGGGTCCAAAAATCAGAGATCGTCCTGTGCACCCAGTGGATACTATAACCTAGGAAAGGCGGTTCGTTGGGCAGACCAGTGAGGCTTCGTTTCGGTCACCAGAACCGTAAGTGGAACAGATAGACCAGCATGAAAATGAAAGCAACGCCACAGCAGCGCAACCTCTCCGGGAGCCAGTTCGCGGACAACGGTAATTTGAACCTAGGTGACCTCGCACTCCAGTACCGCCGGGAGCGACGGAACACTGCTCCGCAGTATCACACGGCTTAGGCGGATCAGGGTATGTTTTAGTATACGCATTCCATAACTATAAGTCTCATTGCGGCAGGGAACGCAAACTGCGCACTCAGGCCGGGAAAGTACTAGTCCAGCAGTGTCTTCGACCTTTAAATGTCACTAAGCAAGAGACGCTCTCAACCATACCACATCTAAAGTCATATTGTCTCAAAATCCGATATCAAGCAACTCAATCAGAGGACAGCTGCTTGTTGGCAAAGCCCACGGTGCCGTTACCCATGTCAAACACCACCAGCTGCGCCTTGATAAGGACATCCCCAATAATCGCCATGCCGATACCCTCGCTTGACTGGATCCCCCCAAAGCAGTCGCTCCCGGTGTACTGGCCATAGCGAACGTAGTTGCCGGGAATGACGCCCCTAAAGTTACCAAATCCGAACTTGAAATCCGGGACGGACGCGTCGCAGGGGAAGACCACCATACCAACCCTGGGGTCGTACCGAGCCCCAAGAATGGCAGAGTAATAGTCGTTGACCATGTCGTCCGGGACGAGGAGCAGGGTGGTGCCCGTGTCCACGATGCCCTCCCACGCGTATTGGCGAAACGTCCGGTCGCCCACCTGGTAACCGGCAATGGGCACCTTCCAAAAGGCCGCGTTGTCCGTGATCTTGGTGTACGCAATCTTGCCCGTGTGCTCCAACTCGTCAATGAAGCCAAAGTTGTAGTTGCCAGGCCGGCCCTTTTGCAGATTGACCGTGAAGACGGGGGACTCGAGCTCGTCGCGGATGTTTTCGGCAAACGTTTTCTGCTTGGTCGGGCGCACGGTGTTGGCGCCCGAGGTGTATGCCATGCCCATGATGCCAGAGGAGAAGGAGTCTCCGGAGATGGCAGAGGAGACCTGCACGGCTGACTGGACACCCTGCTGGTCAAAGTGGACGCCACCGAGTGCGACGCGGTCCTGGTATACGATGCCGGACGCTTCCGCGCCGTCGCCGTAGCGGATGGACCATGATTCACCGTTCAGAAGCTCGCTGGTGGATGAGTCCTGCGGTCGATACAGAATCTGGTTACGGACTTGCGGTTGGTATGTGTCGGAACTGAAGGTCCACCTACTTCTGTCAGCTTGCCGTCTGCGACTCTGAGCTCAGAATGCGTACAGATCGGAAGAACCTGTATCGAGGTTGAGAAACGTCCTTTGTGGAGGCGTGCCAATGTCTGCTGGGACAACGTATTGCACATCGTAGAAAGCGGGAGGGCTCGCCGACACAGTGCCAGTCATGCCAGCATCTCCTGCAGCTTTGTTAGTGCCGTCCTGCTCCCCATCTTCTCGGTTACATACCGCCCATCTGCAGGTAGCTCTTGAACTTGCTGGACAAGTCAGGGTTCGACTCAACCACACTCCGCAACCATGGAGGTAGCTCGCTCTGGTATTTAGTATGGGCCTTGATCAGCTCGAGAGGCGCATCGCCGCCCTTGTAGTCGACGTTTGGCACCTCGCCAAGGCTGAAACGCTTGTTGGCTTTCGGCACTGCCTGTGCGGTTTCATTTACCACCGCATCTCGAGAGTCCAAAGCCTGGTGCACGGGAATGATGCTTGCAGACACCAGAGGTGCTGCGCAAAGGAGTGAAACGAACCTCATCGTGGGGATGATCTAGCTCTCAAACAAGGAAAGGAACGAGTGACACGGAAACTTGCAAGACGAGCAGCTGAAGCTGGAGAACGAGAGTTGAAGGCCAAGACCTCCAGGACAGGAGACTCGATGGACCAGCCTTTTCAACAGAGTATCCAGCTCTCCCTTCAAGCACGCTGCCCAGCAATCCATCGGTCATCGCCATGTGTGATCGCTTGATCCAAGGCATGCTGGAATGCCGGTTTCCCCTGAGAAGCCGGTGGTCGGGAATGTACACAAGGCTGTAGCTCGCATTTTCAAATATGCTTAATTGAGATGGGCCCTTCATTGGAGGCCGGGTCTTCTAGCTCCATGGGCAGACGGGAACTCTGAGACATTGCGTTTCGATCGTAACGCGCGTCGACGCGTCTTCAACGAGCGGGCTGCTGTATTACCAAGGGAGTCCATCGAGTCTCTCTGCTGCTCTGTCGCTCCGAGAAGTGCGGGTTGTGTGTGAACCTTTCTTCACTGAGGAGTGCACGTTCTCACGCGACCTCGAGTCCCGGCCCTGGTATTGATCTGCCGAACTCGGGACTTTTACTCCCCAAGTTCCTCCAGTGGCATCAGTGCCGCTCCTTGGGTGAAATGAGAGCTCGAGAGTGGAGGCGAGTGGTGAGTCCATTGCATGCTTAGAGTCACACGCCCCTGTAGCAGGTTGCGCCGCATCAAGGCGCCATTGCAATGTACATTGTCCGATCCTCGTGTAAGCGTGCACTCACAGTCTTGGCAAAGAATCGTGCAGAATCAGCCTTGCGAGAGAGGTACATGACGAGTCATCGAAGAGAAGTGGAGCGTGAACCTTGTGAGCACGTCGGGCTTCCGCCATCAGGTTGAACTGCAGCGGACGAATAACCAGAGGCCCATAGGCTCAGCCCCACGATGTGGCGGTGAATCATCTCGCTGTGATGCAAAATCAAAAGCATCATGGCATTTTGTGACTCGATCGAGTGTCTAAGGCTGGGATGCCTGAGGGGCGTGATAGTCGTGGATCCAGTTGGGAGTTGATCGGAGTGTTCAAGTTGCAAGCGTCGACGCGCCTGTCAGGCAGGGAGATGTGTCTCCATTTTAATTTCTCGCTATCGATAGCGTTGATGGACTCATTCTGCGTCATGAACGCTGCATTTGAATGTTGACTCATCGTCTTTTTCTCACTTCTGTAATATATCTACATGCAGCAATATTATTCTTGCGGCCTGTAAGGAATACCCGATCCTGCAGAGAGCCAGAACTATTGAAGCAGAGTGGTTTTCGAAGAGAAGACCCAAGCCACCGGAGCCCAGACTCGACGCTCAGGGCCACTCCCCTCCCCTGTTCGCCCCTCCAAGAAATAATCAGCGACCCCGCGACCGCGACCCTGAAAATATTCACATCCAACAATCACAATGTCAGCCGAACAACCAGCAGCAGCGGCGCCGTCGCCGGCTGACCCTCACCAACCGACACACAGCTACACGCCCAACCAGGGCTATGATCGCGACACCGTCCCCCCAGAGGTGCGGATGCACCGTGGCGCGCCCGCCGACCCCTCGCCCAACGACGAGAACGAGGAAGACGACTACGATGACATCTTTGACGGCAACGAGTCCGCCGAGGAGTGGGATCCCGAGTCGGGCGACCTCACAAAGAACTACAACCGCCAGCGAGGCATGAATGCACCCCGATCGAATACCCAGAAACCTTCCGCCAACACCTTCGCCAGCGTCGACGACCAAGTCTCTGCCCTCTCCAAGCACGCAGCCAAGATCCGCCTCGACGATGTCAAGCAAGGCGAGGACAGGGAGAAGGACAAGGCCGACCGGGCGACGAGCGACCAGGTGCTCGATCAGCGCACCCGCATGATCCTGCTGCAGATGATCAACCGCGGCGTCGTCAGTGAGGTGCACGGTGCCATCAGTACCGGTAAAGAGGCCAACGTGTACGGCGCCGTGTCGCACGACGACCAGGGCGAGGCCATCCAGAGGGCGATCAAGGTCTACAAGACAAGCATCCTCGTCTTCAAGGACCGCGAGAGGTACATCACTGGCGAGCACCGCTTCAAGGGAGGCTTCGACAAGGGCAACAACCGCAAGATGGTCAAGCTGTGGGCGGAGAAGGAGTACAGGAACCTGCGGAGGATATACAGCGCTGGCATCCCGTCCCCGGAGCCTCTCTCCCTCAAGCTGCACGTCCTGGCCATGAGCTTCCTCGGCGACCGCAAGGGCTGGGCCTACCCTCGCCTGCGCGACGCCACGATCGAGGACCAGGATGAGTGGCGGATGCTCTACATCCAGCTACTCGGCTTGATGAGGAAGATGTTCCAAGTCTGCCGTCTCGTCCACGCCGATCTGAGCGAGTACAACATTCTGTACCACAAGCAGACGCTGTACATCATCGACGTGTCGCAGAGTGTCGAGCCCGACCACCCTCGTTCTCTCGAGTTCCTGCGCATGGATATCAAGAATGTTGGCGACTTCTTCCGGAGAAAGGGCGTCGACACGCTCACCGACCGCATGATCTACGACTTTATCACTGCTGCCGACCTGCCCACTGACGAGCCCGCCATGGGCGAGGCTCTCGAGAAACTCTACGAGTCGCGCCCCGATGAGGGGGATGAGGATGCGATGCAAGTTGACAATGAGGTTTTCCGCAACCAGTACATCCCCCAGACATTGGAGCAGGTCTACGACGTGGAGAAGGACGGCCAGAAGCTGGAAAAGGGAGGCGGCAAGGATCTCGTGTACAGCAATCTGCTCGCCGATTCTGTCGTCGACAAGGGCCAGGACGAAGGCCAGAAGCAGGAGGACGACAGCGCTGAGGGCACAGAGTCCGACGATGGCGCTGCGCTGGACAGCGACGACTCTGACTTTGACGACTCGACGAGCAGGCCGCGCGGAAAGCGATTCGAAGATAAGGATGAGAAGAAGGTGAGTTACGGCCTTCTTTTACTTGACGTGAAATACTAACCTGGCAAAAGCAACACAAACAGGCTGTGAAGGAAGCGAAGCGCGAGAAGAGAAAGGAGAAGATGCCGAAGCATTTGAAGAAGAAAATCGTCAGCAGCACTTCTCGCAAGAAGAAATAGACGAGACCGAGAAAGATAAAATAGACACAAAGAAGCAAACCGCCCAGCACCAAAGCAACCCTTCACCACGTGCGTCTGCCGTGCCCCTTTACAGCACCCCCATCGGATGATGAGCCTTGATTGTCGTGTTGCGATGCGGGACAGATGGTTCAGCACGATGTGTGAGAACCTCTGCTCCCGCTCCATCGCGATCTGAACGCCTACGGGCTTTGGATGATCAAAGAGAGCCCTGACGATGTTTCACGTGCCCATAAGGCAAACAATGACTTCCTATCGGATTCATGCTATCAAAGTACAAACGCCCAATCGCTCCGCTACACAATTCCTACACCATGCCCAAATAAACATGTAAACGTTGTCCATGATCGTCATTATTCGTCAAAAGTAGAATTGCTGCTGGGACTGCCCTGGCGGTGGTTGCGCCAGGAAGTCGAAATTCATAGCGTCCATGTTTGAGCTCCATGGATCGGGTGATTCTAGCAGCCAGGTCAGTTCGTTCGACATTGTGCTTGGTTGTATACGAGGAAACGTACCACCCCAAATTGTATCATACAAGTCCATCGGTGCCATATATTGTGTCGGGTCCGCGTTGACAGGAGCAAGGATGTCCATGTTGAGGTTGGATGGAATGTGCGGTGCATACGGGTTTCTGTGAAATGGTCAGTCAACTGCTCTCGCTTCGGTTTCGAGTTGAGATTCGCACCCGCCAAATTCCTGCAACGAGGCACCGTTTTGCATCTCCGCCATGGCCATGGCAGCACTCTCCCGAGGGTCTTTCGCCGTGGGCAAACTGCGGTACTGTCCGTGAGGCATGCCGTACTGCCCAGCCGCAATGGCTTGGAGAGGCGTACGCGAGCCACTGCCGCCTGCCGACGAATCTCCTTCCCTTTTGAGCTGTGCTCCCATAATGGTACCGTTTTCATAAATGTTCCTCAAAGCAGTCAACGCCCGCCATAGCGGGCCAGACAGTTCAATGTCCTTGTCCGTTGTCTGCACGTGCGGCTCCGGCGTGGCCTCCTTGGCGGCGGTTGCCGAAAGCGCCTTGATCAAATCCCCCTGAAGTTGGCGTACTTCTGGGTCAGCTTTCGTCTCGCAGAGAATACCGAGGAGCAGTGCCGACGACAGCCCGTGGTACGTAAACGCCCAGCTCCGAGTGGGGATCACAGACACCTGGTGCATGGCGAGGAACATGCGCACCGTCTCTGTGAGGTTCTCCTTGCATCTGTTGGCCAGCTCTCTCCTTTGCGCAAGGTCGAAAGGGCAGTCTCGTCGCAAGGCTGGACGGCACGCCACCGAGATGATGAAAGAGGTGTGGAGGCGGATGGCGAAGTACTGAAGCCGGTCGAGTGCCGTCTTGCACATGTCTTTGTCTTGGATGTGGGCGCAGGCTTTCATCCTCAGATTCTCGATCGCTTCAACGTTATCCACAATCTGCAAGTAAGTGGCGTTGACAAGCATGTCAGGGTTCAGCCTGCGTGAGATGATCTCGATGAGATGGTACATTGTCTCGAGGTACGTGAGGTTGCTGGGCGTGGCGTCGTGAGAGCTGACGGGGATCGGGCAGCTGGGGAAGTTGGTCATCGGTGACCTGTCAAACGACAGGGACGTAAGGGTGTCGTGCCAGACAACTGTCCACCACAGCTTCCGCCGAATCATCTCTTTGACCTTGATCTCAGGCGGCGCGCTTTCCCGCCCGTCCTGTACACTCGGTCGATGCAAGCCCAGTGATTGCGCGAGGCGACAAGCCAGACCAGTCAACGCCCACGAAGCTTCAGCCTTCATGTCGTTCAGGAGAACAAAATTGGTTAGCAGCAGAGCTTGTATCGAGTCAAATGACGGTCTGAGCAAAAAATTGCCCATCCGCAGAAAGTGGAACGAAGTCTGGATGTACTTTTGCGAGTCTCTCGTGCGGACATGGTAAGGCGACTCCTGATACTGGGAGGCCACGGCCAGAACGCCGAAGAGGATAGCTAGCCATGAAGGGGTGACGCGACTCGTGGACTTGGTCGCAGACGTCGCATTGCGTGACCGGTCTTCGAGATAGACCAAGAGCTTCGCCTCGAAATCATCAATGTCGATTACAAATCCCCAGAAAGGCTGCGGTATGTCTTTGTAGGTGTGGAAGAGCCTGAAGCGTCAATGTCAAGTCCCGAGTAGGTGGCCGCATTACTTACTTCCAGACCTCCCTATCAGACGGCAGCTCTGTCGAGATGTCCTGTGCCAATCGTTTAAGGTGCTGCGATGACATGAGCGGAAAAGGAGCTGATGTTTCCAATCCTAGAATCGGCCGCATGTCTTGCCGAATGTCGACGCGGTCCATCCTATCTGTCGGCGATGACTGTTCGCGCAATAGCGCAGGTATACTGTTCTGACCCATGTACCGGTCCGGTACGGCATCTGACTCCTCAAGACTAGCTGTCCCAAGATCAGTATGCGAGCGGAAAAGAACACAAAGCAGAGTCACGTACCCATTGTCCTAGGCCAGCTATCTTGTCGGTCAACCTTTCTACTGGCTTCCCGAGCATCCGAGAACGACCGCGCTCGCTTCTTCCCGATGATTGTGTCTGGTAAGACCGACGTGCTCTTGCCGTTCGAGGAGCGATTGGGTTTGTACGAGCATAGCTGTGGGTGCTCTCTCTTGACACAGTTCTCACAAGGCTGCTTGTTGTCACACTTCACCTTGCGCTGCCGGCAGGGCCAGCACGCAGTACCTGGGAGCATAGAAGTGAGCTACTGGCTGTTCCAAGGCACATGGTGACATACCGTAGCGCACCTTTCGATGAGAATGTATGATGCGATTGGCTTCTTCCGGGGTGAGCTGGTCGACTGAGACCTGCTCCTCCGCGTCACCCTGACCATTGTCGGCCATGGCTTGGGCTAGCAATAGAGTTTACGATTCAACACGCGCTGTTGGCTCGTCATGAACATGCAAACAGGTGGGTCTCGTAGTCATGGGCGATACAACACTGGCGCGCACACATCCACTGTTGGCTTGTTGTGATGGCTTTCGCTGAAGACGCTGGGCAGCTGGAGTACCCTGAAGCTATGGATGCCGAACACCGAGAGGTGAAGACAATAGAGGGGACAAGGAGTGGGCGAAACTCGGGCTGTTGCCGCCTTCGGGGTAAACAAGGATCATAGTTCTTCCGGCAGGCAGCCTGAGACAGTGGGGGAACCCCTAGGCGGCAGGCGCTCGGACCCCGACGGGCTAATCGCTGTAATTAATTAATTAAACGCGGAAGGAACCCCTCTTGATCCTCACGTGTTTGCGCTCCTCACTGGCGTCGGGCTACGCGTCTCCTCATCAATCCACGCCCTATCGAACAATTGACTCCGACTCCAGCTTCAACGACTACTGGCTCTCACTGGCCGTCTTCTACCAGCCCGCATGACTCACATTCCGGGGTCGTGCGACCCGTCACGAGTGACGCTTGACGATGGCCTCGACCTCCCATCCTCATATCCAGCCGCGACGCCTAGGAGAGGAACTCGACAAGATTGTGCGCTCGTTGAACGAAGATTATGGACTTGCTATTGAAGGACCAAAGTCAATTCGGCCACCATCTGCGCAATTGAGTTTGGCAGAGACACCGGCGCAAAAGTCTATACATAGAATCTACGCGCGATTGGAAAAACTACACGGCAAGAATGCGCTATCTGAGAAACTCGTTCGCTTCAGAATTCAAGCTGAGCAGGTTATGAGAGGATGGGTCTACAAGCCCCTCGCCAATGTCGACACCCTTCCTCAGTCTCGCCGGGGCGCCCCACTTGGTGCCCGCTGCGAGAAGGAACGGGCCGAGTTGCGTCAATGTCTCTACAACATCCTCCGCGACAGGTCGCCGACGAGCATGAGTACAAGAACCCATCGCCCTTGCACGCAGAAGAGAATCTCTGATGAGTACCACGAGGGACCGTCCAAGAGGACGCGCAGCCTCCCCAGCGAAGATGAATCAAATCACAGCATCGACCATGTCCCTGTTCGATCAAAGGAATCGGAGCGCTTGCCGCGGCCGGGCCTGAATACTTTGCTGCATCGTATTTCCAATCGCTCTCTAGGGACGACGACATCGGCTAATTCGAGCCGTGACTCGTTACAAACTAATGTCTTTTCATTCGCCGGACCCGACGATACCCTTTTCAGTACACAGAACACAGATGCAGAACACGGGAAGGTCCTGGAAGATAAGCTGTTTGTGCAAGATGGCATCCGGTTGAGCCAGGAGTTCGACCCGGGATCTCAGGATATGGAGGCTTTGAACGAGTCCTTTTCGCTTTTCGACCGCGAAGAGGACACCAGTCATTGTGACCAGCATGTTCCACCAATCGGTAACCCAAGGCCCTCCTTTTCCACATCGCCGAGAAAGCCCAGCAACCTAGGCCACCTCTGGCCCAAATTCCCCTACCCGAAGCTGACCCACGCGCCCCTATTCGTCGCATGGGAGATCGTTAGGGCTGCCATGAATTGTGGAGTCGACTTGGATCACTTTGACATGGAGTACAAGCCCGGGGAAGAAATTTGGAGCGATCAAAAGAAATTTTGGAACATGCTATCTGATCATCGACTCTTTCTCAACAAGGGCATGCCTGCAAAAAGCGAAGCAAGCTGCTGGCAGGCATCGTTGAGGGACTTCCAGATCAAGAACAACCGGTGCATAAGTTTAGAAGCCGAATTGGTGCCGACGACAACGCCCTGTGGACCTCGTTACCAAGTGAAGCTAAGGCCCCTGACATCGCAGATGAGTTGTCGTCTCGAAAGGCGATTTGGGAGCGATCGGTTCTTGAAACTGATTATCCCGGCGCCCTCACGCATGAATGAGAACGATACAGAGGATCTGTGCGCTTGGCTTCATGGGGACCACCACTTCCTTGGACGCATCTGGAAGCCTTTTTATTCAAGCCCTCTCAAGACGCCGGCATCGCCGAGCCTTAGTGACAAAGCACCTAAGGACCCCACTGATAACAGACAGAAGAAGCATTATGACTACCAGGAACGTGTTTACTTCTTCGCTGTCGACGGCAACCATTTCCGACCGCCTGAAGACCCGGCTTGCCCCATCCCACCGGCCCACGAAGCTCTCACTCCACAATGCCGAACAAAGCTGAGCTATGCAGACTTTCTCGACTGGGCCATCAGCGCACGGAGCTCCTCCGAACAGCCCTTCCTGAAGTTGTTTTCCCGTATAGCTCTCGGACTCAGCAAGACTGACCCTACCGTGATACTTGAGCCTAACCAAATTTATCACAAAGAACAGGATCTTCTATCGCCGACTGGCGCGGTGATGAATGACGGCATCGCTCGCATGTCACGAGCCTTGGCCAGGAAGGTTGCCGAGTGCCTCGAGCTAGATGAGCTGCCTAGCTCGTTCCAAGGGCGATTCGGAAGTGCAAAGGGCATGTGGATCGTGGATGTCCACGATGATGGGCTCGAAAAGTCCATCTGGATTGAGACTTACCCTTCGCAACGAAAATGGAACTGCGACTTCCAGGATCCGCATCACCGTACTTTTGAAGTTCGATCGTATTCCAAGGAGCTGCGTCCGGCCAACTTGAATCAGCAGTTCATCCCGATCCTAACGCACCAGTCAAAGGACCCTACTACCGTGACCAATACCATTGTGGAATGTATTGAGACTGGACTCTGTGCGGATCTGGCAGAGCTGCGGGACGCTATGCCAGACAGTCGCGATTTGCTCCTCTGGTTACAACGGGCTGGTTTCATGTCCACATCCAGTCGCCAGTCGCAAGGACAGATTCCGTACTTAGGCGGCGTTCCGGACGACGAAGGAGAGCGAGCGTGTGCTACACTGCTGTCTGGGTTCGACGCAAAATGCCAGTACACATCGAACTTATTCTGGAGGATGGCAAACAGAAAGGCCGAGGTCCTCAAACGCTCCATGAAGATCCAGGTGCCCTGCTCCGCCTATGCGTACATGGTCATTGACTTTAATGGCATTCTTGCGCCGGACGAGATACACCTCTCCTTCTCCACCAAGTTTCAAGCGGGCGACTTTTCGGATACCAACATCGAGGGGATGGACGTGCTCGTAGGCCGGTCGCCCGCTCACTTTCCTAGCGATATCCAGAGAGTTCGCGCGGTGTCGAAGCCGGAGCTCAGGCGCTTGAAGGACGTTGTCGTCTTCCCAAGCACTGGCGACACGCCTCTGGCGGACTTGCTGTCCGGGGGTGACTACGACGGCGACATGGCTTGGGTCTGTTGGGATCAGTCGATCGTGGGGAGTTTCCAAAACGCGGACCCGCCTCCAAAATATGACTTTGTCGAGGAAGGGTATTTGACCAAAAATCGCGCCCGCTTTTCGGACATTGTCCAAGGCCATGATGGGGATATGGACAAGGCTTGTGAAGACTTTCGAATCGAGGGTCTGTCGTTCGCAATGGAGCCTTCGCTGTTAGGCCAATGCACCAAATATAAGGAGAAGTTAACATACTGGACGAACAGCGTTAATAGCGAGCAGGCGATGCTTATGAGTAATCTCCTGGGCGAATTAGTCGATCAGAAAAAGGCCGGCACGACGTTTACGGAGGATAATTGGCTCCGGTTCCGCCAGGAAAGACTGCAATGTCCAAGAACGTACGCCGTCCCAGAATATGAAAAGGAGCGCGCATCCGACGCGTGGGGGAAGAAACTGCCCAAGGACAAGCACGTCCTGGACTACATCAAGTTCGATGTCGCCGAGAAAGCTCTGTACCGAGCCCTCAAGGATGTTAGTGCTGCACAAGCGGCCCGGGAGCCTCTGGCGTACGATGAGCACGTCTGTCAGGTATACCGAGAGTGGGAGATGATCGCGCGCGGATCGACTACGCGCAAAAGCGTAATGGATACGTTGCGTGCCGACCTCCATGACCTGGAGAAGAAATGGATGGATTCAGCCCAGGATAACATGGACTTTAGGGAAAGGGTGACTTTGCACTACGAGCAATGGGTCCGGATTGCGCCGCCAGTCCGGGTCCGGGGTAACAGTGTGGTGAAGCAACTCAAGGGGCTGCACGATAGGTTTGTCCCCCTTGGTGTCGACTACTACCAGACACTGGACGACGACGACTGGACCGCGCCGTCCAGTCATTGGAGCCTACTGAAGGCATCGGCTACGTTCCGCATGTTCTACAGCAAGCGACAGGACTTTGCCTGGTACATGGCAGGGAAACAGATCCTTGCACTGAAAGCAAAGGTCATCTCGAATAAGCCCGAATACCAGAGATCGTCAGCGTCTACCGTGGTCCCGTACATGATGCCCCTGCTTAAGCCGGACGGCAAGGCCATTGCCAAGCTCGCCGCGAAACGAAAGGCTGCAGCTGCGGAGTCTGATCTGGAGGACAAGGTGGATGAGGCCGAGGATTGGGATGAGGTCGGCACGGTCATTGACGACTGCTGATGATGGGATTTTGCGAATGTGCTGGTCACTGACGCAAACAACGAGACAGCTCCTGGATATGGATTTCATTTCTTGGCGTATGGATTGGATCATGCCTATTTGAGGATCCTGGGCGATAGACGGTTAAAATGGATAATGAACTGCAAGATGGCCGGCTTGATTTTTAGACGGAGCATCGTTTTCAGGCGCTCCACGACTGAGTCGAAGATGCTGACGCTCTACAGGGCGACGGGTTCCTCTCTGCCAGCTAACGTTAGAAAGAAGCCTAGACAATCATACAATCATACAATCATAGAACGATTGGACCGCTTTTCGTCCGAAACTTTTGCCTCGCGGGTCATTCACGGTGGTCAACGTGGTCCTCTATCCAGTCAATATTCGAGTGACGCGTCCTGGTCATCCGATGTTGCCCTTCCTTTCTTCTATTTTCTTCTGTGTTCGACTTCTTCTCACCTTTTCTCTCCTCTGTTTTCTTTTGCCTCCGATCCCTCTTCCTCACCTTTCATTCTCCCTTTCCACTCGCTACCATCTCCTTAACCTTCCCTGTCACATCCCACGTCTTTAACTTGCTATAAATTCGCGAGAAAAGACTCCTGAACATGTCGGTCGCCAAAGTCAGCGCGCGGAACCGAAACCATCGGCACCACGACGCCATGGACGAGGCATCAGAGGAGCTGGTTCACCAACTTCTCCTACAAGACGTGGAGGAACTCGGAAAATCCCCAAAGGGCAAGCAACAGGAGGGGCAAACCACTGACTTTGAAGTGGCCCTCAGTGTCTACCAGGACAACATCCGCGCCGCCAGTGACCAAAAGATGGCGGCCAGCATTGCCGAGGCTTTACGATCTGACGCTGCTTTAATCAAGGCACACGAGGCCATTGAGTTCCAGACCAGATATGACAGAGCCGTGGCCCTTTGCATAGGCAACCAAGCATCCGACAATGTCGCCGCTGCTCCTAGCAAGGTCCCGCGGCCCAAGCCAGAACCCGCGATGGACGAACATATGCTTCGCAAACTCGAAAGCCTCAACAACGCATCCACGGGCGGCGAGTCCTGCTCGTGGGCGGCGAGTCGTGATCCCTCACGTGGACCCGACGGGGAGCCCATCGAAGTGCAGACGTGCATTAGCTGCACGGACACTGCGCCCGTATCTGTCATGGTCAAGACAGGCTGCTCGCATTAGTACTGTAGCGCCTGTGTCAACACCTTGTACAAGGGCTGTCTAACAGACGAGTCTCTGTTTCCCCCACGCTGCTGCAAGGTGCCGTTCAACCTGGACGACGTACTGGACATGCTGGATATTAAGACTGTCGGACAGTACAAGGCCAAGGAGGTGGAGTACGGGACGACAGACCGCACGTACTGCCACAAACCTCTGTGCTCGAACTTTTTGCCGCCTCTGTTCATCAAGGGTAACGAGGCCACCTGCGTCAAGTGTGGTTCCAAGACGTGCACGCTTTGTAAGAAGGCGAACCATACGGGCGACCCATGTCCTCCCGACGAGAATGTCGCCTTGTTCAAGGAGTTGGCTCAGGAGCAGGGCTGGCAGCAGTGCGAGAAGTGCAATCGAACAGTCGAGCTGTCAAGCGGTTGCTACCACATGAGTACGTTGGCCCGGTTTCATTGTCTTGTGGTGTTCCTTGCTAACCACCTTGTCATATAGCTTGTGTCTGCAAACACCAATTCTGCTATCTTTGCGGTGTGAAATGGAGAAACTGCTCTTGTCGTCAGTGGGACGAGCAGGCGCTCCTCGGTCGAGCTCAGGAGATTGTCAATCGTGACCCGGGCAATAGACATCTGCAGATTACGGAGCAGCGAAGACTCCTCATGGCACAAGCCAATGCACTGCGGGCGAATCACGAGTGCACCCATCGAGCTTGGACTTCCAGGCGTGGCGAGTTTCAGTGCGAGACTTGCTATCATACCTTGGATCAGTTCATCTACGAGTGCAGGCAGTGTCAGATCATGGCGTGTCGTCGATGTCGACGGAACAGATTATAAGTTTCTAGGACAATGTGCGGGACGAGAGCGGTAGAGCTTAATCATGAATTTTCTTTTTCTCAGTATAGGCCCTAATACTCGCGATCCTTTCTTTATCAATTTGTGAGAGGTCTTAGTAATTTGTATGCACAATTTTACATGAGAGATAGCCTTAGATGCCCTTGACCCTAACTTAGAAGGTTATATTGGCGTCCAATGTCAACAAAAGCAAAGAAACAACCGAGGACCCTAGCACAGCCCCCAGCACATCGACCCTGCGGCCAACGCCCCAGGACGACCTCAGCCTCGCCAACCAGGTCCAGTAGGCGCAGAGTAAGCCAAAAGCAATGGCATCGTACAGCCCTGGCTTGTCCCGATCCATCATTCTCCCGTTGTGACATATCTGCGCCCCCGGGCGCATCGTGTATGCCGAGTACAGCCAGAAGGCCGAGGGTATGAGCCACAGCGCCGCCTGGAGACGCGTGTGGTAGGCCCGGGCCGACCTGGGGTCAGCGGGGAGCCTAAAGTATGGCCATATTGCTGCAGTGAGGGCGGCGAGGCCGAACTATTCGGTCGATCATTGTCAGTCGTCGTCCTCGGATGGCGGTGACTGGGGCACGCTGCTCACCAGGCCAAACAAGCTTGGTACGAATGTTTTTTGCGTGCAGGAGGTCATTCTGCTGTGTAGTTTCATAGACTGGGCTTCGTGGATTCGAGGATTAGATAGGATCTGGGGAAGATGGGCTTTTCTACATGGCCTAGGGCTAAGTGATCGGCGATCCTGCTGCGTGGCAGTGCTGGGGTCAGCAACGCCTATGCCACACACGACATGTATGAACAGTATGGTATGATACGTAACGTCAAATGTCAATTGCTGTCCTTGTACGGAGTACGTACATTGTGTAACTACTGCCCAGACCAAACGCCGGTCCCGAAATTTGAACGCCGGTCCCGAAATCCAAACGCTATGTGTCCCCTCCTACGCGTCGGAGGCGACTGGCTTGTATTCGCCCTGAACGTCGCCGCCCACCCTGCGTTGCCTCCGCATGTAGCAATACCACGCGACAGCGACAAAAGACCCCACGACAGCAACGAGGCAGACGCCGATGCTTGGCAGGCCCCACGAGCTGTCTGCGGCGGTCGGGGCGACAGTCTTGACAGACGCAATGTTGCTCTGTATGACTACAGGCTGACCCGTGGCCAGATCCCACACCAAGGACGCCCCGAGGACCTTGTCATCCTTGTCCAGCGCAGCGCAAGCGACGTACTGCCCACGCGCGTCCGCGCCCAGTGACGTTACCGTCTCGAAGCCCTGCCTGTCCACGGCGCCACGGTAGTTGTCCATGTCCTGGATCGTCGCCGGGTCGTCTCCCACAAAGAGGCCCCAGCGAACAACCTCCGTCGCGCCGTTCCACGAGAGGTACACGGTCGCATTCTCCGCGGTCCCATGCGGCGTGACATCCACACCTATGCTGGGCGGCCACGTCGGGCGTCCGGTCCAGTGGCCGCGCGTGACGCGGTAGGCGAACATGTCGGGTGTGTTGTCGACGCCCAGCCGGCCGCGCTGGACGTCCATGGCGACGCGGCCGTCGGCGGTGTACTCGACAAAGCCGGGGGACCAGCCCCAGGCGGTCATGACGTTGCCGTTGGGCAGCTTCTGGACGCCGCCCATGGCGCCGGCGTCGACGTGCTGGGGATGGAAGTACTCGTGTATGAGCTCGGCCGTCATGGCGACGGTGTCGATCTTGATCTCGAGACCGCGCGAGGCGCAGGGCGTTTCGCCGCATGCGCCCGTGTGCTCGCCGTGGTTGTCGAACATGGTGATGGTGGTCTCGTCGGCGTCGATGAAGCGGGCGTCGTGCTGCCAGGTGAAGTCTGTCGCGCGGCCGTCGCTCAGGTCCTTGAACTGGCTGTGGTCGCCGCCCAGGGTCCAGAGGGGACGGCCGTCGTCGTGGGAGATGAGGGTGAGGAGGCCAAGGTGGCGGCTGGAGACGAGGTAGTCGCCTGCTTGTGTCTTTACGCGCGTCAGTGTCGAGGCCCTCAGATACTAGTGAAAAGGGCGAAGCAAACCTTTTGCACCGAGTTGATGTGGAAAAAGTCCAGCCCCGAGGTATCGGACACGCCAAAGCCAGGGGAATACCTGGCGTGCGTGTCGTTGACATCAAACCAGTGCGAGGCGGACCAGTTGAACAGCAGCTCGTTGGTCGCGGGATCGACCTCCTGGAAGCCCGAGTCCATGAGTAAACCGTCCTCGGAGCCACCCCACTGCGTGCAGTTCCAGGGGATGTTAAAGTAGGTGGTGAAGATGACGGTATTGTCATGCGTGATCTGCATCTCGTGCATGTCGGCCAGCGCGCCATCAAGCCCCACGGCGGTGACGTTGTACTTGAGGTTGTACTGCTCGTCCACGACATGGCAGTAACCATTAGCATGGCCACGCGAGTGGGAGCCCTCCCAGAAGGTCAGGTACTGCGTGCTGTTGATGGACTGGACTTGCGAGTGGTAGGCGTTGCGATACTGCTGATCGGCGTAGACCAGGCTGAGGTCTTTGCCGCTGAGGATCATGGGCCCGCCACCCTCGTGTCCGTACACGGAGCCGATGAAGATGTAGGGGGGCGAGTCTTCGGTCAGGCTCTGGTCCCACGCATTGACCTGGAAGACGGGTGCGATGATGGGCGAGGAGCGGAAGGTCTGTTGGGGGAAACCATGGTGCTCCTCATCGAGGCTGTTGAACTGTTCGACGCTGGTGAGAAGCTGGACGTCGGCTGAGGCGAGGCGAGCCGCCAAGGCTGCCAGTGCGAGGGATGATTGCCGCATGGGTTTCGTATATTCGCTGGTCGGGTAAGGACAGGACGCATCAGAGATGCTCAAACAGACTTGGAGAGGTCTCTGGAAGGGTGTCGTACAGATGAAGAATTAAAGATGAAGAGGCTGAGCCTGATGTGAGACAGCCACGCACAACGCAGGCGATGTATCGAGGCAAACGAGATGACGCAGCGCTTTGAGAATGATTGAACGAGTGAACGAGTGAACGAGTGAATGAATGAATGAATGAATGGCAGAGCTGGCGACGCTCGATGCGATAGAAAGAACAATCAAGGGTCCAGCTGGACTGTGGGAGATGGAGAAAAAAAGATGGGCGGAGCAGCGACAGGCCGGCTTCGTTCTTTCCTTCTGTCATGCCCACCCTAAGGTAGACTAGGTCATTATTATTACCAGGTAGAACCACCCTGAAGCAGACTGTCTGTCGCCTGTCCCTGAAGCTAATGCAAGCCTGCAAGGGCCAGAAGTCCAGGCTCCCAGTCCTCTCGCCCAAGACTCAAGAGGGCCAAGAGTCCAAGACGCAAGCCAGGGTCAACCAGGCACAGGCGATCTCCGATAGCCCATGCTGCCGATCACCACGCCCGATCCAGCGTAGCATCATCCGGGATCTGGACTCTGACCAGAAGTCCAGGACTCCAGGAGTTGACTATCAATTGACACATGTAGCCATTAACATTGAACTACATCCCGAGTATTCGACCCAGCGGGCCGAGGAGCATTGTTCACCATGATCTCGAGAAGCCGAAGGGCCGACTGTGCAGCGGCTGAATTATTATTAAAGTCGTAAATTGCGTCCGAGACGGGAGCCTTGCCCATGGCCCTTTTCCCGCGTCGTGGCTTTTGTGGCTGCCCTCCTCCTCGATTGATTGGGAGACGCACCCTCGCGACTCGTGGACCGCACCATCCACGTTTCCTGCCTTGTCACAACCACGCGTACTGTGTCTTACAACTTACTCACGTATTGTGTCTCACAGGCTACTGACACATCAGTAGCACGGTAACACACCAAGCAGAAGATTGCATCGCACTCTGTCGACATCTTGAGGCTCTAATCTGACCACCAAGGTCGACGATGCTGGACTCCATTGCCAACGCATCCAGCCGTTCAGTCATTGATCAGCCGCTGGACTAAAAACCAGCCTCAATCGTTCGCCATCACTAGCTCCAGGGGCACATGCAGTCTCCCGCTTAGGGGGGCCCATGTCTTTCGAGGTCACAAAATCATAATCAGGCCCTACGAGGCCAGAGTGATCTCTACAGAATGAGATGCGATCTTCACGTCTACGGGTCAAGAAGCCAAGTTGACATCAGCTTACAGAACACTGTATCTACGCCAGGGGAAGACAGGAGACCTCACATGGGCACTGGGCGAAAGGCAACAACCATGAAGGGCAAGACGCAACCTATCTACTACTCCAATCCTCCACCATCATATACCATGGTCCCAGCAATCGTCATTTACGCAAATCCCCCACTGTAGTCTACCTCATATGCCTCGCCTACATCTAAATCGGCTCGTCCCGTGGCTCAATCAGCACCTCGTTGACAGCCACATGCTCCGGCTGGCAGACGGCATACACAATCGCCCCGGCCACGTCCTCCGGCTCCAGCACCTTGGCCCCCGTCGGCTCCCCAAACTTCTTGAGCGCCTCCGCGTCCGTCGACATGCTCAGTAGGTCCGTCTTGACGTTGCCCGGCTGGATCCCCGTCACACGGAGACCCGTCCCCGCCGTCTCCAGCCGCAGCGACTGCAGCGTCGCCTCCACAAAGAACTTGGACGCCGAGTACACGCCCAGGCCGGGGAACACCTTGCGTCCCGCGTCCGACGAGATGGCCACCACGTGGCCCCCGCCCCGCGCCAGCATCCCCGGCACCGTCGACGACAGGCAGTGCAGGAGGCCCTTGCAGTTCACGTCCACCGTCCGCTCCCACTCGTCCGTCTGGCAGTTGGCCATCATCGTAAAGTACATGACGCCCGCGCAGCTCACCAGGATGTCCACCGGGCCCAGCTGCTCCGCCGCCGTCTTCAGCAGTGACTCCACGTCCGCCTTCTTGGTCACGTCCGTCTTGTGCACCAGCACCTTGACGTGGTACTGCGCGAGATCCTTCTTGATCTTCTCCAGCTCCTCGAGACGGCGCGCGGCAATCGCAACGTGCGCGCCCTCCCTCGCCAGGCCAGCTGCCACGGCAGCACCAATACCCGACGACGCGCCCGTGATGACGGCAACCTTGTCTGCCAGGCGTCCCTTGCGCGCCGGTCTTGACACCGCGGTGCCGTTTGTGTGCAGACGCTTGGGCGGCCGGGGCAGCCAGCCGCGAGCGTAAAAGTGGCGAGTATACGTCTCCAACAGGGCGTTGTCAAGGTGCGGCCTCTTCACACCATAAAGATCCAGCGTCTTCTGCGTCGCGCCATCCTTGAGCGCAATCACCGACTGCAGTCCGTGCTCGGTCGGCATGCCGCCCTTGAGAATGTCCACCGTAAAGGGCTCGTCGCCGTGTCCACTGCCGCGACGCTCCCGCCAGGTCGCCACCCATTCGGCCCAGGGCACGCGCTTGGTCGGGTACCCGAGCTCGCTCAGCTTGTCGAACAGCACGCTCATTTTCAGAGGCGCCGCGTCGCCAAAGTGGTACACCACCTGGTCGCTGCTGCTCTCGTGGTCGCACAGCGTGACGATCCCCCCGCTGACATAGTCCACGGGCGCCATCTCGGCGTACCACCCATCCACCTCGGGCGCGATGCCCAGTTGCAGCGACTCGACGATCAGCGCGTTCATGAGATCGTATGTGTTCGTCGCGCCCGTCGTGCTGTGCCCGCTGATGGTGCCGGGACGGTACACCCGCACGGGGATCCCTCGCTTGCCGGCCTCGTAGACGAGCTTCTCGGCCACCCACTTTGTCTGGCCGTACCCGTCCTCGAGCTTGGTGGGTACATCCTCAATCGGAATCGTCGAGTCCTCCGGCCAGCCCTCCACGGACGCGGGGAGCACACCGTTGGTCGAGACGTGGTGCACCGTGGCGCCACCGCGCGAGGCAAGACGCAGAATCTCGCGCGTGCCGCGGACGTTGGCGTTGCGGAGGGCTGCGTAGGGATACACCAGGTTGACGGTGGCCGCCGCGTGTACAATGACCTGCACGCGCGCCGCCAGCTCCTCAAACGCCTCGGGCGACAGACCCAGCCGCTTGCGCGCCAGGTTGCCCGCCACAATCTCGATGCGGTCCAGGTCCGAGTCGTCCCAGATGCCCAGGTCGATCAGGTTCTTTCGGATACGCGCCATGCCCGCGGGGCGACAGTCCTCCGTCGGCTCCGTGAACCGCACCATGCAGATGATGCGCGCCGACGTCTTCTCCAGCAGCGACTTGAGGAGGAAGGCGCCCAGGTAGCCCGTGGCGCCGGTCAGGAGGACGCTGTCCGCGTCGCTCAACTTGCGGAACGCGCTGCCGTTGGTCGTGATCTCCTCAGGGAGCACAGAGTCCTCCTTGAGTACGGCCGGCAGGTCCGCCTGGACGGCAGCCGTGTGGCCGTCGCGTGCGGCTGTGATGGCTTCGAGGTGGCCCTCGAGGGTCGGGTTGCCGGCCAGCGGGCCCAGTGGCACGGGGAAGCCAAAGGCCTGCGAGAAGCGGCTCGCGAGCTCGGCCAAGATAAGGGAGTGACCTCCGAGGTCGAAGAAGTCGTGCTTGGGCGTGATGCTCGCGGCGGGTATGTTGAGCGACGCCGCCCAGATCTTGACAATGGTCTCCATCTTGATCTTGGTGTTCTGCTCCGTCGCGCGCCCGTTGGTCGTCGGCGACTTGGGCGACGGCGGCGGCGGCAGCCCCTTGAGGTCGATCTTGCCGGACACGTCGTGCGTGGGCAGCTTGTCGACCTCCACCCACAGAGGCGGGATCATGTAGTGCGCCAGGTGCGCCGACAGGGCACGGCGGGCCACGGGGCTGTAGCCCGACTCGTCAACCATGAGGACCGTCCTGCCGCGTGGCTCGTCCTTGTCGGACACGACGTACGCGACGAGCTGCCTGGAGAGGCCCTCGCCGTGCGCGACGATGGCGCAGTCGCGGACAGCCAGGTGCTTCACAATGGCTGTCTCGACAGCGGCGGGCTGGACTGTGTAGCCTCTCGTCTTGATCATGCCACCCACTCGGCCCGTAATCTCCAGCAAGCCGTCGGATGTGATCCTAGCTGTGTCGCCTGTTCTGTACATCCTCGCACCCCTTGTCCTGCTGAACGGGTCGGGCTGGAATGCCGCCGCCGTCGTCTCTGGCAGGTTCAGGTAGCCACGGGCCAGCAGATCTCCTCCGACATACATCTCGCCGCTCACGCCAGGGGGAACGCGGTTGCCAGCCTCATCCAGAATGTAAGTGCGGAGAGGGTCCACGGGCAGTCCGACGGGGCAGACGCTCACATTGTAGTCGACAAATTTGCTGATCTCGCCCGCTGCCACCTCGTGCGTCTCGCTGGCGCTGTAGACGTTGAAGATACGCGTGCCGGGCAGAGCCGTCAGGGCCCGCCTGCACAGATCCGTAGTGACAACCTCGCCATTGAGCCAGAGGCTCTTGAGCTTGGGCAGCTTCTCGCCGAGCTCGGGGTGTCTTGACAGGACCGTCGCGAGCAGCGTCGGTGTCATGAGGGTGTCTGTAATGTCCTTGTCTCGCAGCAGCTCGGTCAGCGCCTGCGGGTCGTAGCTCACGCAGTCCGGCACGGCGACCACTGTGGCGCCCCGTAGCAGCGGCCGGAGAATCTCCCAGACGAAGAAGACATTGCAGGCCACGCGGTCGCCGGGGCCCAGGTCGCGCAGGTGGAAGCGAGCATCGTACGAGCGCACGGCCGCGCGGTGCTCGTTGGCGATGCCCTTAGGACGACCCGTGGTGCCAGACGAGTAGGAGACAAAGGCCAGCCTCTCAATGTCGTCCTCGGACGGGAGCGGTTCCCTCGTGGCAAGGTCGACGTGCTCGCCCTCGTCGTCGGCCGCCTTGGCATCCACCACAATCAGCGGCACCTGGCTCTTCACGTGACCGGCATGCGCCTGCCTCGTGATGATGACGGCCGGTTTCGCGTCGTCAATCACGTCACGCAGCAGCGCGCTCGGATACGCCAGCTCGAGCACGAGGAAGGCACCACCAGCGCGCAGCGCCGCGAGGCAGGCGATCACGTAATCGGCGCTGCGGCCCATGAGGACGCCGACAAGGTCATCACGGCCCACGCCCCGGCGCCGGAGGCGGTCTGCGAGCGCCCATGTCTCGCTGTCCAGCTCGGCATAGGTCAATGTGCGGTTCTCGTCCTCGAGCGCGGGCGCGTTGGGCGTCGACTGGGCCTGCTGCTCGAATTGTGACACGAGGTCCTTGTGGACGTCGAGGATAGCCATTTTTATTTTTTCTCCCTCCTCTCTCCTTCTTCTTCTGCTTCCTCTGGATCTGTACCCCTTGTGAGGCTTCTGGTGATGTTACTGGTCCAGTCTGTCTGGTGGAGTCGTACTGGTCCTGCAGGTATCGCGTCTGGACCCAAGCAAGCAACGGGAAATGATTCAATATTGCGCAACCCGAGGACGCGGTAATTAGTATCTTGGATAAATCGGGTATGAAAGAGGTGAATGGACAGGTCGGGCAAGAGAGCACGAGGACAGGCACCCGGGTCCTTTTTATCTGCTCTCCCACCTCATGTCGCTTTCCATGCTCTTCTATCAAGTTAGCGGCCCCTGAGCCCGATGGACCAGCTTATCGTCCATCTCCAATTGTTTTCGCGGGTTTCTCCCCATTTGAAGCTAAATTCACATAACCCGCATCCCGTTCGCCTCGCTTCGCCTTGTTGACCCGCCCCCTCCTTCATCATCGGCCATTCACCACGTCGTCACCTCCCACCACGCCCAAGCCTCGCCTGCGAGACGTCCCAGGTATCCTGCGATCTTGGAGGCTCTCAGGCTTCACTGCGCCCTGTAAATCAAGGTTCCAAGCGCACCCCCATCTCCATAAGGTTCCCCATCCCATTCCAATCATGGCGCGGTGCCCCTCCAACCTTTAGGTGGGTAGGAGGGTCGCACTCCACGGGAGGACGCGGTTGGCTCTCCATGGCCCCCTCGGACCGTCGCTATCGAGATCATGGAATTCTCGATTGCCTTGCGACGACCCGTAGCAGCACGCCGCAGGAGGTTTATTTCCATTCGACCGGACCAGGCACGCCGGGACTTTTCTCTGGCTCTTCTGCTGTGCAGTGAACGTCATAGTGGTGATGAAGGTGGGGGTTCCCGCGGGACAGGACACAGGGCATGGCTGCGTTCGTCACAATGTGGCGCATCTGCCATTGCCATCGCAGATTCCGGTTTTTGGTACTTCTGGTTGGTAATTTACTTATTTAGACAGACGTCCTACTACTGATTTAGTCCGTCCTCGCCAAAAGCATGATGATGCACATCAGTCCCCCGTGGTGGCGCTGTACGGACTGGAGTACTCCGTATAGGGCTCAACAGCGCTGGAGACCCCTACGCCAAGCGCTGCCAAGCTAGAGAACTCTCAACAAAAATTGGCTGCCAGCATTTGCATGTGATTCTGCAAGGGCGACGTGCCAAGTCTGCCTCTGGATCTTGCAACAAGATCGCCACGTGAGATTTCTTGATCAAATGCACAAGGCTGGACATTTCCGTCACTCGCCTCTTGGTACAATAACGCTTCAATTGAACTGATCATGACGCTACGAACAATAATCGCCATCCACGACGACAAAACCCCCCTCTCTACTTCTCGTTGTGCGACAGATCCACCTCCTCTAGAGGCACCACCTTGGACCGCGTCCAGAGCTTGGCCCCGCCGTAGAGGACGACAAAGATGATGATGCTGATGTAGTTGGTGAAGAAGGCACTCGTCTCCCACTTGATAAACACCTTGAAGCCGCTCGTGAGGGCGATGAGCGAGCTGAAGAAGAGGCCGAACCAGGAAAAGTACGGCTGGAAGGGGGCCTTGTACGGCAGGTCGTCGCGCGAGATGCCCTTGTACTTGAGGGCCTCCATGAAGCGCAGGTGGGCAATGTTGGTCAGGGCCCAGCAGATGAGGCCGGCCACGGTGACAATGGCAAGGAACCAGTCAAAGACCACGGCGCCGCCCGCGCCCAGGTTCATAAAGGCGAGCAGGCCGACGGCCGAGCAGACGCCGACGGCGTAGTAGGGGATGCCCCACTTGTTGGTGCGCTTGAAGAACTTGGGGGCGTGCCCACCGTCGGCCAGTGACACGAGGATGCGGCTGCTCGAGTAGACGTTGGAGTTGGCGGCCGACAGGACGGCTGTCAGCAGGACGGCGTTGATGATGTCGGGCAGCACGGGGATGCCCGCGAGCCGGACGACGATGACGAGCGGCGAGGCGGACGCGTCCTGGGCGTTGCTCATGAGCTGCGGCTCGTTGAAGGGGATGTTGATGCCGAGGAAGAAGACGGTCGAGATGAACAGGCAAAAGATGCCCCAGAACGTCCAGCGGATGGCCGAGGGGATCGTCTTGCGGGGGTCCAGCGTCTCACCAGCGGCGATGCCCACAAGCTCCGTGCCCTGGAAACTGAAGCCGGCCGTGACGAGGACGGACCAGAAGGACACAAACTTGCCAAGCGCCGGCTTGGAGTCGACAATAATGTCGTCCGGCTTGAAGGCGCCGGGGCTGTGCCAGTACTTGAAGCCAAGGTAGCCCTGGTCGCCGACGCCGGCGTTGATGCAGATGGAGAGGATGACAAAGCCCACAATGGTGATGACCTTGATGCTGGCGAGGTACATTTCAATCTCGGCAAAGATCTTGGCGGGCAGGAAGTTGATGACGGTGAAGATGGCCCAGAAGATGGCGATGAAGATGGCGACGCTGAGGCTCTTGTTCCAGTACTGGATGATGAGGCCGGCGGCGTTGAGCTCGAGCGCAAAAGTTAGCGACCAGCTCAGCCAGTAGACCCAGCCCATGGCGAGACCCAGCGAGGGATCGACGAAGCGCGTGGCGTAGGTGGTGAAGGCGCCGGCCACGGGCACGTAGGTGGCCATCTCGCTGAGGGAGATCATGACCGAGTACACCACGGCACCGACAAAGGCAAAGGCGATGAGGAGCGCGGCAGGCCCCGCAGACCCCAGGGCGCCTCCCGTGCCCAGGAACAGACCGGTGCCGACGGTGCCGCCGATGGCGATGAACTGCAGATGGCGACTCGTGAGGGTGCGCTCGAGGCCCGTGTGGGAGGAGAGCGCCTCGACATCGTCGGGGTTGGGTGCGGCCTCGTTCTTGGCCACGGGCACAGCCGGTGCCTCCGCGGGTGTCGTCTTGGACCCAAAGAGCGAGGCGACCTTTTCGTTCAAGTCAGGCATGGTGGCGGTGATGGTGTCGCGGTCGATGTCGACGGATTCGAGAGGGTCGAGGCACGATAGGGGAGGGCGCGCAGGACGCAAGGTTGGCCGACAAGACAAGTTTCGAATGTCCGTCTCGTGGAGTTCTCCTCACAGACGATGGCCGGGTGATGATTACCTTGGTAGATGTTCCTTTCCTGGACAAGCTCTGAGCTTGGGGACGCGGTGGGAGGCTATCACGACTTATACCTCGCCCCAGCCTCGAAAATTTCTCTCGCGCGTGGGCGGCCATGGTCCGTGGGGACCCGTCGTGCCTGGGTTTGTGCACCTGTGCTGGCCCATAATTTGTTCTTCCAAGCAGCGCCATCACGGAGCCCACGATGGAGTCGGCCAGAGCTCTTCATCGTGCGAAGGGTGGTTTCGGCCCGTCACTCGGGTTTGGCGCGGTCCTAGACACCCGGTTATGCAGGCGGGCTCTGGGAACTCTGCATAGAAAAAAAAATGTTATTGTGGGCACCGGGCCCGTCTAGACGTCGCTGCTCGTCAGAGCCTCCATGCCTGGCTGCTTGCTGTCCCTCGACGTGAGAAAATTTCCTTTCCCGGCGCAAACCGCTGGACTGCAGGCGTCTCATTTGCCGCTACGGGTGGGCAAGTGCCGCAAGTTACGGCGGGATATTAGATCACAAGGTGCCAACGGTATCAACCCCCGCAGTGCAACGACACTACACCAGTGGCCCCTCCCACACTTTATAACCTACACACTTTTCAACATACCGCCACGAACGAATATCGAAGATTATCAGGCCTTAATTTTAGATACACGTAATGAGGGCCTTTTAGCGACTTAGATTCTTAAATTTCTAAATAATACGATCGTTAGTGATAGTGGGAATATTATATTAAAAATCACGCTTAAAAGAGCGCTAGTATCATAGACTACCCCTCGTCTAATAGCCCGCTAGACCCTAACTATCTTAGAAGACTATATTTATAGCTAGTATTTCTTAAATACCCTAATCAATAATATTCTCGAAGATACTAATTTACGGCTATAAGAAGCTAGTAATCCTATTATTAGTAAACGGACCTTATTACGCTAGCTAAAGGCGTGGGGCTTATATATAAGACACCAGGCGCTAGATATCTCGGACGCCTTAATCGATCGGATTAAATACCTTTTCTTTAACTTCGGGCTATCCGATATATCGATTCTACGGGAGCTTTATTAAGGAGGCTTCCACGCCCACCTCTCGGCTATAAAGAAGGTCCGCTAGTAGCACGGTATAAAACGCCGGGTTAGGACCGTTAAAGAATAATAAAAGAGGCTCGATAACGCCGTCGAATTCCTCTACCAAGACCTCTAGAGGAGCGGCGCGGCCTTAAGCTTTAGCAAGGGCTTGCTATACTAATATATTCGTTAGAAGGGGCAAATTATAGTCTTATAGCGCCGTCTATACGATATTTATCGGGCTGCTTTTCTAGAGGAAGTCGCTAGCCGCCGTGATAGTAACTTCAAGCAAAGAGGCGACTTTCGCGTGCCCGGACCGAACTTCTTATAGTCCCTCGATAGCTATGAAAAGCTTAGGAAGGTCGGCTTCTAGATTTACGGTTATATCGACGCCTATTCCCGCTGTATTATATAGTTTTACGTGGGCCGATTAGCAATAACGTCTCTTAGCACGTTAAAACAATATCTTAAGGCCGTCCGGCGCTTGCAAAAGCAGCCCTTTTTCACGAGATCTAACCACGGCACAGAGACGCCGCTATAGGTAGCGGCGCAAGCGTTACTCGCTAAAGCTAGCCCTAAGAAAGTTAAATATACCGATAAAGATAGAAATATTCATTATTATGCCTAAGGCGATCGGCTAGATAGCTATTATTTATATAGCCTAAGCACAAGGAACGTAAGGATCGAGTCTTAGTGGCGGCAGCTACGGCGTGGCGTTATAGACCGCTAGATTATCTTCTTTAACGAATTAATCGGCTATAGCCTCTTCCGCGAAGATAGCCTCGTCGATTAGGTAGCCGTCTACGCTATCTACGGCGAGATAATCCGCGATAAACTTACTAACTTTATTTATCTATGGAATAGGCATATTATCCGTAACTAGAAGAACCGACCTAATATTAGATCTAGTATACTAAGGGATTTATATTATATAACCGCTAACCTAGACTAGGGCGTTCCTTTCGATAATAACGACGATAGCCTATAGTAGTAGCTTCTTCGCGAAATATAGGAGCCTCTCGAGACGATAGATATCGATAGTCTGCTGCCCGCCGAGACAGAGGCTTAGTATAAGGCACAGCTCCAAGGGCTTAGCTTCGAGGCTAACCTAGTAGAAGAGGATAACCTTAAAAGGCCGTTTATTAGCTTTTATTTAAAGCTTCGCGAGATTATCGAAAAGCACTAAAATTCCGGCATATAGCCTATCTTAGCTATCTCATAAGTTTATACTAGTAGCGCTACCAAATACTAACGTCTATTATAGTAGAATTACCTCGACGATCCAGGCCTCTATAGTAACGCGATACCGCCCGAATTTCAGGCATAAATAAGCCAAGCTATCGAGGAAGGGGATAATATAGAATAGATCGCGAAAAGCTTTATTTCACCGCTATATAGGGTAGTATTTAAAGCCTTACGCGACGGGCCTATATATATATATATAATCCTTATACTACTAGACCCACTATAATTTCCCCCCTATAACACTATATAATATCCGCGAATATAGCCCTTTCCTACGTTCTTTCCCTACTAACCGGCGGTATTATATTAAACGGCAGGTCTAATCAATCTCTTACTTTCGGCTATGTATTTTAACGTCTATTTTAGTAGTAGAAATACCCGAGCTACCGCTATCGATTCCCACGGTCTGCGACACGCACCTATAACGCGAAAAACACAATAGAATACGCGCTGCCTCCGTCGGGCTGCTCTACCCCTTCTATGGCCGGCGATAGCCTAAGCTAGTCGAGATCGACGCCCTAGATACGTTCAGCGACCCTCTAACGCCTATAACTATATATAGATCGCCGTTAATCAGCGGCTACGCGTCGTCGGAAGGTCGTGGTATCGCTAAACAAGCGCTACCCCGATCATCCTCGTTATCTTTAACGCGTAGCGATCGCCTTAATAACCTACGTGGCCACATAAGGCAGGCTATTATTGCTATAAGGCCGGCTAAGCCTGTCTCGCCGTTTAAAAATCCCTATAGCCTTAAAATCCAGGTCTAGCTAGTCTATTCCACCGGTCGCAGGCTCTAAGGTAGTATCTTCAAAGCCTCGAGCTCTTTATTAATAAGTAAGCTAATTCAGATATTCTAAAATATAGCTAATTCGCCGTAGGTAGAATAGATCTACTACTTATCTCGTGGGCCGACCTTAGATTCCTTATAAAAGCCGATTTTCTAACTATATACCTTAAACCTTCTATTCTTTATAATACCCTTAAAATACTCGATAAGTCGATAATATATATCGGCACGTCCTTCTAGAAGAACGGCAAATAAGAGCTTAGGTAGTTTATATCGGTTTCCTTAAAAAATAACAGCCTTTGGGATATACTAGGCTAAGATAATGATTTCCAGTGGGCTATTAGTAATAGCCGGGTTGTTATATGGATTAAGCTTTAATTTATCGAAGATAGCCCCAAAAAGCCTACCTTAAAGCCACGGAAGCCGCGGTCGAGGGCCAAGTCTACGTGTTACGACCCAATATGCGGCCTTCACGTGCTTCCAGGCACACCCCACTATTTTCCACCCATTCACAGCACGATTATCACTTACACGAATAATCGCACCTACGATTATTGCGATTATCACGAATCACTACGAACAAGCAGAATAGATTATTCTTAAGGATAATAATTACCTTAGTATATAGGAAGCCTAGCTTTACTATAGTTAGTCTCTACCTAGCTCCCTAGCTATTAATATAATTATCTACGTAAGATCTACTATCTCGTATATAGACTATAACCCGACCGCTTAAGTTAATAATATCCTAGTATACTTAGTTTATAAACCGACCTTAGATCTACCTACCTTATAGTTAGTCTAACCCGAACGTTATATATTAATAGCTCTTATTCAATATACTACCGTGTTAAGTACTTAAGTAATACGATACTATAGCTAGCGAATCCTCTAAGATAACCCCTAAGTCCGCCGAAAAGGGTAAGGCCACGGCTAAGCATACCGAGCCCTCCTAGACGGCTTAGTCCATAGACTTAGACTCGGACGAGTCCGATAACGAGGATACGAAGATCCTTAAAGGGCAGATCTAAGAGTTATAAGGGCAGCTACGGCAAGTCCTCGATATATAGGCCCGTGATAAGTAATAGTACGACGAAGCCTACCGTTCCTTCTACGAAGGAATAACCTTATAATAATAGCAGGCCGCCTAGCTAAGAAACGAGATAAATAGCGTAAGTAATAATACTATTCGATAGGCTACCGGCAAGGACCTAGGAGAGATTATAAAGCTACGCTAACTAAGACTATTCGATAGTACGACTAAGGACTTTTAAGGGTTCCTAACTTAGGTTAGAGCCTACTAATAGTACTTCCCGTCTATCTTTCGTACGGAAGAAGACAAAGTACGCCACGCGGTAGGATATTTATTAAGAGCCGCTCTCGTATAGTTCGAACCCACTCTTAGGGACTTCGTAACTAATACCTATTAATACCGAAAATAAAAGATAAAAGATATCTTCGCGTACTATAATAACTTTAAAGAAATATTAAAGGCGACCTTTAGGACTATCGACGAAGAACGCCTAGCTAAGAACTAGCTAGAGGCGTTAAAATAAAAAAGGTTAGCCTCGGATTACGGCGCCCTATTTACCTAAATCGCGTCTAGGACTACCAAGAGTAAAGGAGATAAGATAGCCTCTTTCTACCGAGGTCTTAAGGACGAGGTTAAGGACGAGCTATATAAGGAAGACCGACCCGCCACCCTCGCGAGCTATATCGCGATAGCCGTTAAGATCGATAACTAATAATTCGAGCGACGACGCGAGAAGAAGGGATAGTACTTTACTAATACCTTAAACCGCGATCGTAATAATAAAAACCGAATCTACCCTAATATAGGACGACCGCGATTCTACTAGAGTACGGCTCTCGGCGGAACCTATACGGGACTAATAGATCTCGACGCGATAGAACGAAAGCTCGCCGCGATAGATAAAAAGAACCTTACCTACTATAACTACGCTAAGAAGGGATACTTTACGCGCGAATATTATTCCCTAAAGAAAGAACGAAGCCGGGGCTAGAAAC